TGTGGAGGTGTTGGTGTGGCTTTTGCATCAAGTTTTGGAGCTATTCTGGAAATTATTGGCAGTGGCGTACACACAATCCATGGGGCCCCGGTGAGAAACTGATCCGTGGCCCCCCCCCCACTCCCTTCTCTCCCCCGATCCGTGCTCCCCTCTCTTCCCCGATCCGTGCTCCCCTCTCTCCCCCGATCCGTGCCCCCCATCCCCTCTGACACATACATACATACATACACACACATCCCTCCACAGACACACACATATATACACACAGACCCATACATACAGAGACACAGGCACACACACACACGCAGAGACACACACACACACACATACATAGACACACACACATACATAGACACATACATATGGGGCCCAATGGATTGTATGAACGCCACTGCATACATAGACACACACGTACATACAGAGACACACACACATACATACAGAGACACACACAGAGAGACATACACACACATTCCATTCATATTCCAATATCAAATCCAAAGGCATGTCCATCCTGTTCCACAGGAACTGGGCCTGTCCCTCGCGGAACAACAACCTGTGTAACTGCACTTCTAAACTTTGTGATTCAAAGCACATTAAAACAGTGTAATAGAGAACATAAAATAAAACACAACCAACTAAAAGAAAACTGTATACAGCCTTATGTGGTACACAATACAAACGGGGATAACCCCTAGTAGAAACAAAGAAAATAATTGGACATTGTGTACCAATGGAGAGATAGGAGATATTATTAGGAGAAACAATAGGCATATACTCTGAAAGGGTTCCGCCCAATAACATTTTATCCATAAACCATAATGGCTTGTTCATTTGATGTTCTTACCCTCATTGTAAAGGGACCCAACTTGCTCCATCAAAGGAGACTGGCATTCTCTGAACATGACACCAAACCAGCCATGGCTTGCTTGTAAGAAACACATTTCTGCAGACGTAATCCACCTCAGCCCAAGTCCCAGCTAAACCATTTAGACTTCTATTCATATTCCAATATCAAATCCAAAGGCATGTCCATCCTGTTCCACAGGAACTGGGCCTGTCCCTCGCGGAACAACAACCTCTGTAACTGCACTTCTAAACTTTGTGATTCAAAGCACATTAAAACAGTGTAATAGAGAACATAAAATAAAACACAACCAACTAAAAGAAAACTGTATACAGCCTTATGTGGTACAAAATACAAAGGGGGATAACCCCTAGTAGAAACAAAGAAAATAATTGGACATTGTGTACCAATGGAGAGGTATCAGGGAGAGTAGTCTTGTAAAAGTACTTAATGGCTCCAAAATAGATATTGGAGTCTAAGGTGCAGGTATACAACTAGAACCACAAAAAATAATAAGATGAAAGAAAAAAAGTCTTTATTAATTAATTTAGAAATTGCAATTAGCAATCACCCAAAGTGCTCCACACTAAAACAATAGTGGAAACCTGAAAATAATAAAATCAACAATTGATAAGGAGCGCAATGGCTCAATATAAAAATCTCTGAAAACATATAGTAATGAATAATCAACAGAAGCACACGTCTGTGCTAACAGGGAAACTAAGATTAAAGTAGCTGAATATAATACTATTATGGGGGGTATATACAGCTGGTGGTGGTCAGTAGCAACCTACTAAAATATTTACAGGAAAATATTTCTAACCAAAGTAACTATAACAACCAAGCAAATTTGTCATGGAATCTTTATACTTAATAGTCATTTATTGGGGGAGAAATATATTGACTGATGATCTGGTGAGTGACATTTTAAACAGCTTCTGGCCTCAACTATTAAACAAATAAATACCTTGTGGGCTACTTTTGGAAATCAGCCATATTTGCTTGAGTGTGAAAATATTACTGCCTGATATAAAAATATGTATCCAGCAAATGTTTAGCTGACATTGTGTTTTTGGTCTGTCATTAAGTATTCCAATATTTAACTACACGTGTAAGAAAGCCCTTGCATATGTCATTACCTTGATAGTGGAGGATAATGAGGTAGCAGATGTGACAAAGTTTTGAGTGACACTCCTCCAGCCCCACCATGCAATGAAGCTACCAGGGCCCTAGACATGGCAGAAAATATTTGGGTTACAATTTTCTAACTTAGCAAGGGAGAACTCAGGGTTTGTGGGCAACTGGTAGTTCAGTGTAGTTTAGACTAATTGATTAATTCCCTATTTGCCTTTGTAGTCAAAAAAATTATAATAGGTAGACTTATTGACCTCTACTGCATAAGTGACTTAGAGCTCTTTTTCATTTACAAGTAATGGTGTTTTCAGATCTATGTGTTATTCATTAATATTGGAATTATGTTTGATATATCTAAATCATTGAGGACTGTAACCCTTTCCCTTTTTTTTTTTTTTTTGTACCCCTTTTTAAAATGGAAATATGAATAAAAATTCAAATTTAAAAAAAAAAAAAAAGATTAATTGTAGGGGGGAGACCACCCAGTTAAGTCATCAAGAGATCATGCCCCATTCATTTTGGGAAAAGCACTTCACAATACAGTAATTTGGATGTTTAACATCATCTAACATCATTTAACAACAAAAAACAGGTGTCCTAGGTATTATTCTTTTAATGCTCTGTTGCCATCTTCTTGGTTACTAATCACCTTTAAGGTTCCATTTCTCCATACTATAAGTTATTTTGGTGCTTGAAGTAACCCTTTAAAATGTATGGATACATCTTATTTTCTGAAAAATACGATATACATATATTACATATTACACAATAAAGGACTTTATGGGGGTTTTGTATAAACTTCTGGGGCAAAATTCTAAAAGTGTTGCAATCACTATAGAAGCCAATGGTAAGTCCAAATGCACCACTTCTAGAACTTTGCATCAGAAGCTTATACATAACCTTCATAATGTCACCGGCTGGGTTAGAAACATCCTCCCATAGAACTACCTCTTATATGACTTAGTAGTGGTATGTGAACCGAATGGTTGTTGTGGTTCCTTAATTAGATAATAAAAATAAAAATCCAGCTCTCTTATCTACTAAACAGCAACTTTGTTGCAAATAAAGGGGGTTTAGTTACATTATATGATCATACATTGAATAAGCCTGCCACAACGCCAATGTACCCCATCTTTGGCAGCCAACTGTCTGCTAAATGAGCTACTTACTTAATCAGATAAGCATACATTTTGAGATGCAACCAAGGGCTTACCCCATTAGTAGAACCAAAATAGGCTTCTAGGTGACTTAACTAGTGGACAAAGCTTTGGTTTGAGCTTTAGTTGATGCCTTTAAGAGAACTTTTGATCCACCAGGCAGAATAGCTAACACAGTCAAATCCCTTCTGTGCTTGAATCAGGGTAATAGATCCTTGGTGGAAAGAGCTTTAGAACGCCACACTCTTGCAGCAGAAGTACTCAAGAGCAATCAGGCGTTCATGGATGTGTTTATAAATGGATTCCCCAACATAATTTTGGACGAAGTAGCCTATAGGGACCTCCCAGAGACTTTGGAGGATTTAATCACTTTTTAAACTATTGATGAATGCCATAGGCAAAATACCAGACAGACCTCGAAGGGATTCTATCTGTTTAGAGCCTTCCTTTAATCACTCTGATTTTACGGCCTTGGCACTTCCTGTTCGGACTTACCCGTTTATCTATCTGAGGCATAAAAACAATATAGATGGAGAGAAGGGCTGTGTCTAGATTGTGGGGAAAAGGGGTAATTTCTGCTTAACTTGTCCTAGCAGTACCCACTCTGAACACCCAGTTACTGTGGTTCTTATAAAAAGTTCTCAGACAAGTCAATCTGGTAGTTTATAAACTATTATTGCCCTCTGCAATTCGCATACCAAATACGTGTCAAATCTCCCTGTTGAAGCCCTTAACCTATAATAGACTCACAAGATGAATATTGCCCTTGTCTTCTGTTCAAGTAGAGGTACAACAAGAATATGAAGTGCAATCGATTCTTGATTCTAGATTTTCTTTCAGTCATCTGAAATATTATTGATTGGATGTTTAATCGTCCAATCTTGTGTTAATTCTTCGAATGTCCATGCTCCTCATCTTGTTCGGTCCTTCCATTTTTGTTTTCCTGATCATCCCGGTTCTTCCCACCCTTTGGAGGTCCTTGATGGGAGATTTTAGGGTACCTTGCTTTCTGGCTCCTGGTGCACACCATCTTGGAGGTTTGCAGACAGATTGTGACATCTCTCATGACAGATAGAGCTATAGATTAGATAGACAGACATGACTTCATATATTTGACCTTAGGAAAAGTTCCAATAAAAGCAATGATTGCTGTAATAGGGGCTGTCCATTCATTAAATTATGTGGAGCCTCCTTGGCCAAAGCTGAATACTTGCTACACCATATGTATATATAATGTATTCACACGGTATATATACACTGCAGAACAGCATTAGCAGCAATAGTGCCTTGCAAGGTGCACCATACTGCCACTTTACCTAGAACATAATGATACAATGATGTGTCTGATAAAAGTTTATTTTTATTGAAAGAATGGCACACACAGTGGACGGAAATGGCATATCTGACACCATCTCCATATTTAATTGTGGCATTTCCTCCAGCACTTGGCAGCTCCAGTCCCGCCTGTCTGCTTCTCGCGTAACACTACATGTATCCAGGTAAATTAAATCCTATAGTGGCAGCAAATGGCAACAAATAGAATGTCAATTACTTTTCTTTTAACATTCTAATGGCAAAATACATCATTAAAACCCTGGTAAAAAAAAAAAAAAAAACGTAACTACGAATCCCTTATCTTCATATCCATCAATACAAACGAGCAGGAAAAGAAAAGTACAAATAAAAAAAACAAAAAAAAACACACGTTCTTTTTTTTTTTTTTTGCCATCAATCAAGATGGCGGTGGCAGCAGCACCCCTCTCGGCTTCCGTACTGCGACTTCTCTTACATTGTGGGCACGGTATTCCCAGGGTTGCCCTCCAGCCTCACTGCGCACGCGCAACAGGAAACTCCATGATCTTCTGGCACAGGGAGCCCAGGGAAAGGGAAAAACAGCCACTGAAAAGAGAGATAGGGGAAGCTGGGAAATTCAGCAGAAAGCATAGGCCTGCGCCAAGCAACTCTATAGCCTCTGTCCTCTTTTTCTTTTCTACAAAAAAAAAAGCGACCCCAAGAGGGGGGTGGGTGGGGGGTAAACAGGTTCCAGGGCAGACACTGACAGCAGTCTATTATTTAGACACACAAACACTTTGGTCACTAGTCAAATAAACCCCACAAAAAGAATACAATAATCCAGGTCCCCCTCCAGACTCTGCCAAGAGACCAAGTTGGGGCTGCTGCAAGAATAACAACAACCACAACAACATCACCAAAAACAATGATGGAGGAGCAATAAGCAGGAACAGGTTTTATTGCTCTTTGTTGGTCCATGTATTTACCCCATTGCTGCAGAAAGGCCTGAGAGCAGAGAGGGATCTGCTGGGGGCAGTGCACAGGTCACTGGCTGCTGCTGGCTTCTCCATCACTACTGTGCCCCCCAAGGGAAGAAAAAGTTTAGATCTGGTGGAGGTGAGTGAAGACATGAAAGCACTTGTTTTTTTTTCTTTTTCTATTATCTGTGCTGATGATCCCTTTCTATTTCCACATGGCAGGGTACTATGTGAGAGAGACAGCAGCTGGTGTCCGTCTGTAACCCAAATGACAAGAACATGTCAGATCTCCAGGTTGGGGGGTTGGTGGGGACAGGGTGACACTTTGGGATGTCATGTCATGGTTATTGCATTTGCAGGTCTGATCATTCGTTAGAATGTTAATAAAATGTATTCTATTTAGGTTTGGCAGAATTGGAAGGTGGTGGGTGTGCTCATCTTGGGTATGTTCACTGTAGCAGCTGTATGTTGGATTTTATTTGTATGAGCTTCACCTGTGTTTGAGGCCCTGTTTCTGCATGTATTTTGACTTGGGTCCATAATTTAGTATACATTAATTGACATGGATGTGTAATTTGTTGTGATGGTGAGATAAATGCATGTGTTAGGCTGCAATCTTCTTTTACAGGTGTTTCAGTTCTTCTTAAATGTTGCTTTAACTTTGTTTTAATTTTTTTACTTTTAATTCTTAGTTTTACGTAAATATAACCTGTAGACACTGAAATATATGTGATAGACTGGAGAACCTGTCTGACTTTGAGTGGTATGTAGTTTACAGGTGTTCTTTTGGCATTTAAGTAGTTGTAAACTCCATTTGGCATGACTCCCTATCAGTCAAGTGGCTGGCTAAGTATCATGTGGATTTGATCGCTATCTCTTGTGAATGTCTGAAATGATCTACAGGTATCTAAATATCTGGTTGATAACCAATTCAAATGCTGAAAGTGTGTGTGTGTGTAGACATGTTATTTTAACCCCTTAAGGACCAAGCTTCTGGAATAAAAGGGAATCATGACATGTCACACATGTCATGTGTCCTTAAGGGGTTAATTCAGATTTTTCACACACATGCACATTATGAATGATGGTTATAGCAATGATATGAAAATATGGTTATAGCAATGATATGAAAGATTAATTGTTGAATTATACTTACAGGATTTTTCATAAACTGAGAATTGTCAAGGAATTTTTTTTTGTTTGGATTTTTCTCCAACTAGCCTAGTTGGAGAATTTTCCAGTTTGGGCTGTTTAACATTTTTGGTTCACTATAGTTTCTAATTTCGTAAATTAAACCTCATGCCACTGATAGTTATTCACTAAAATCCAAATAGCGTATAAAATTGTAATAGCAACATTTAGGCTAAAATAGACAAACCTTGTTGATAGCTGACTTGCAGAATTATTCAGTCATCAATTTTTGTCTTAATTTTGCAATTCTGGTTTCAATTTGTTACTATTGGGAAATTAGCGAATAACCTTGAGAGTTGAGGTGTAAAAAACATTGCAAGTGTTTTATGTATTTATTTATTTTTTGCCAAGACTGCTGTCATGGTAAAATAACTTAATTTGAGTGATATTTTTATCCAACTCACCTTATGGCCTTAACATTTCAATTAACTTGTTTGTTCATTTGAATTTAATTAAATCTATCCTATTAGCAGATATGTTGTTTTAATAACAGGACCACATAATATACAGATTATAACGATGACTATTAACGGAACACTTTAATGTTAGCAACATAAATCTGTATTCCTAACACTACAGTGTCCCCTTGTCCTCCCCTTGCAATGAAATTGTTAAAACGATTAAACCACTTACCTGTTTCCGGCCACTGGCTCTGTCTCTACCTCCTCCAAAGTAAACATGAGTGGGAATATAATGCCTATCCACGCGCACATTGAGTCAATGCTTTCCTATGGGGATTTGTAAGACGCTAGACGTCCTCATGCATAGCGTGAGGATGTCCAGCGTCCTTTCACAGAGTTAAACTCTGTGAAAGTGCAGGAATCTAATCCATGTAAACATTGTAGTTTCTCTATTTGTTTTGCATTGCAGGATTAAAGGGACAGGGGACACTGCACCCAGACCACTTCAATAAGATGAAGTGGTCTGTGTGACTATAGTGTCCCTTTAAAGGTTTACTCTAAACACTGTGGCCACTTCAATGATTTTAGGTGGTCATGATGCTTCACTATTAAATGTTACACATACACAGATGTAGACCTTTACTGCTGGATGTATGTCAATCTCAAAATCACCTTAAATGGATCTTGGATAGCCTATTTCTTTAAATATAATATTGAAGCTTCCTTGTCACCTTCTGGGGGTTTTGCATACATTGCAAAGAATCCAGATGGTTACTTTGCCACCTACAGTGAGGTGATCTGGTGCAGTGAGGTGATATTTACTAACTTGAAGCTGTCACTTTTTCTTTTGATACTTTTTGATGGAGTTGGAATTTCCATGAAAGATTTTATTTTTATGAAAGGCTCATAGTGGGGTGGGTGTGCATTAACGGTACTTGCACTGTATGACAGAGATTGCTGTGAAAGTGACAGCATCAGTCATCTTCCAGGGTCTTTACATGTTTTGCAACATTAGGTGGCACAGCAGAGGTGAGTTATACTTGCCTAATAATGTCTCCGCAGGGCTTTGCTATTTTTGAGCTTCACTTCTGGATCTTCATCCAACAGGATTCCACTTCAGTGCTGTATATATGTACATGTGCAAGAGTACAACACTAATGTCTATGAAGGATCCCGTGAGATTGCAGGAGCCCCCATAGATATTGCCTCGCGACAGACGAGAAAGTGCTTTTATTTCCCACAGCCGTGACTTGCAATCACTGGGGGAATTGGCAGAAGACTATGGCGGTATCTCCACCTTGATGGTAGTGTGTCTATCCTCCATAAAAATCCAATACCATATTTTGAGTATTATATTTATTGGGCTGGCAGAGCCACTTTCACCTGTTGTGTTCCAAATTGACAGTGATATTCATATATATTTCTTTAAGCAAATCAAATCAGACATTTTCAATATAGTGTACATTTGTTGTGTTTTAATTTTCTGGTCATTTTTTGTTTTTGTTTTAACATTGCATGAAAATATCACCTTAGTGAGGGTGTTTGTGATTTTAGTTATCTTATGTGCAATATTTAGACATTTTTGGACTCTTGGTTTATTGTTATAAAAGTGTTTTCTGTGACTTGCCTTTTTGGCACTGAACTCCCTACATTTCTGATAGTTCTGTAAGTATGTACATAACTCTTCTTCTTCAAATGGATTCTGAGTGGCTATTGCACTAGCATGCCACGGTTGCTATTCCTGGGTTTTTAATGTGTAATTTCCTCTTTAAACTAGGGCTTGACAAATTTGCTTTGAATCTAGCAGCCAGCTAAAAATGTTAGGAGCCCGTTTTTTTTTTTTTTTTTTTTTTAAACAGTTACATTTTCAACTACAGAAATATGATTGTTAAAGGGACACCATATTCAACAAAACCACTTCAGTTTAATGTAGTGCTTCTGGTGTCTATATCCTGTCCCTGCATACTTTTAAATTTTAACACTGCCTTCTCATAGAAAAGGCAGTGTTTACATTGCTGCCTAGTAACCCCTCTAGTGACAGTCACTAACACTAGAAGTGCTTCCTGGGTCAGTGCTGCACAGTGTTCAGCGTCTCCACACTCTGCATGCAGGCACTTTATTGTTCCCATAGAGATGCATTGATTCAATGCATCTCTATGAGGAGATGCTGATTGGTGCAGCATGGCATTTTGCTGCACATGCACAATAGCCCTCTACTCATAAAGCGTTGGCTTGGCTGAGTTCATCAAGACTGATTATCTCAGCCATAGAGTTGGGCTCAGCCGTGAGGGAAAAAGGTGATTAAACACCTTTCCTATGTGATGGAGGGGGTCACCTTAAAGGACCACTCTAGGCACCCAGACCACTTCAGCTTAATGAAGTGGTCTGGGTGCCTGGTCCAGCTAGGGTTAACCCATTTTTTAAATAAACATAGCAGTTTCAGAGAAACTGCTATGTTTATTAATGGGTTAAGCCTCCCCCCAAAGCCTCTAGTGGCTGTCTCATTGACAGCCACTAGAGGCGCTTGCGTGCTTCTCACTGTGATTTTCACAGTGAGAGCACGCCAGCGTCCATAGGAAAGCATTGTAAATGCTTTCCTATGCGACCGGCTGAATGCGCGCACAGCTCTTGCCGCGCGTGCGCATTCAGCCGACGGGGAGGAACGGAGGAGGATCGGAGGAGGAGAGCTCCCTGCCCAGCGCTGGAAAAAGGTAAGTTTTACCCCTTTTCCCCTTTCCAGAGCCGGGCGGGAGGGGGTCCCTGAGGGTGGGGGCACCCTCAGGGCACTATAGTGCCAGGAAAACGAGTATGTTTTCCTGGCACTATAGTGGTCCTTTAACAGACACACACACACTCGCTGACTGATTTAACACTCCCGAAAATATACACACATTTTCTCTCTCATACACTCACAAACTATATTTTTATTTAAGAATACCCAGGAGAGGTGGAGTGGATCTTTTTACTGGCGATCCTGTAATCTTAATGCTCTTATTGGTCTGCTTCCTCATGCACTGATTAGTGATGTCGGGGCCGGAGTGACGTCATATTCCGGCATCACTGCAGGGCACGCAAGGGGGCAGAGCAAGAACTGCAGGAAGATTACTGCTCCCTCAGCCGAACAGGCTGACAATCACCCAGACGCCAAGACAAAAATTTCTAGTCGCCATGGCAACCTTGGATCTGAGATTTGTCGAGCCATGCTATAATCACTATTGGGGGCTGTAGTGGTTATGGTGCTTATCGTGCCTGTTTAACTTAAAGGGACATTCTTTGTGGTTATAGTGCCTGGAGGTCACTGCTCTGTCTCTCCATTCTGTGTTAAACAATTTTCGAGCAGAATAACACTGAATGAGGGTCCCTGACTTCCTATAGCCCCATCCACACTGGAGGCAGAGATTACACACTTCCTTCTTGATATATCAGTTCGTACCTTCAGTGGCATTTTGATAGGCTGAATTCGATCAGCTCACACTCTCAGTTAATCACAACTTTTTGTTGCTCAAGCTAATGTTTCCTCATTAGCCCAGCAACGCAAATGGATTGGTTGCCTGGGATTCCTTTTAAGTAATAACAAAATTGTAATGCTAAGTGGACAGAGCCAGGGACTCCACTTCAATGCAATGAAGTGATTATCGAGCCTACAGGGCTTTTTATATCCAATCTGATAATGGTACAAGTGTCATCAAAAAGTGGGAGTGGGAGCGTTAGATCAATTTGTCATTGTTAAAATAACAATAAAGCTTTAGGAATACAAACCTGTATTATTATTGTTATAGTGCCCCTGTCTCTATTTTTCTAGCACTGACACTCCTTCGGCGCTGCTCACCTCCTCCATTGCTGCTCCAATCAAATACTCTTCCTAGAGGAGCTTTCCTATAAGTTTTCATGTCATGTGATCAAGTTTTATTTGGTCAGTGCAGAAAAGTTCTTCTAGTAGCTGTGACAGCTACTGGAGTCATATTTAACCCTTCCAGGTAAACAATGCACGTTCTGAAAAACAGCAATGTTTTACCCTGATGGGTTAGAATGACGGCACCACTGCACCCAGACCACTTAATTGAGATGAATGCGGTCATCTGTAGCTAACATTTACATTTTTATCAAAGGAAAGATTATAATGCTCTCCTTTATGCGTGTTAAAAGACCAATAGATGGTGTTTAAAAAGTGTATATATATATTTTTTTAAATACCATTTTGATGTATTTGTCACCGTTAAGAAATGTAGTAGAAACTCACTGGACTAATTGCAATGTCTATCCTGTAACCAGTGTGACCACAATTAGAACCAGCTGCGCAATGCGAAACAATCTCTAAATTACTCCTGGAGTCCTGGTCTATGTATAGATTAAAATGTGCTGGTTTATATCGGACCACGTCACTATACATGGCAGACTGTGTGTTATTTAAAGCTTTTGATTAAGCACATTGATTTATGTGTTTTACGATCTGCATGCATGGAATGATGCACATCCTCCACAATTGGAAAGAAGGGAATCTTGAACAACATAGTATATTTGGAGAATGGCAGGAGTCAACAAGTCGAACAGATAAAGATTTAGGTGCACAAACTTAAAAAAAATTTTTTTTTTTAGGAAGATCATTTTATTATGTTAATGGGTTAATACAAGAACCAATTTTTTTTTTTAGCTAAATGGCATGTCCCCTTTCTGCCACAGTCTCTACATTCACCTATTTCACTGTCTCAGACTTCATACCTGACTGCTAGTAAGAAGGGACGGAATGGAGTGGACAAGTGAGTGCTAAAGAGAGAGGATTCAGACTTGGTAATTAGAGAGAGAGAGAGAGAGAGAGGAGTTGAGTGCTGTGGGGCTTGTAAGATGGACAGAAGGACTTGATTGAGCAAGGAAAGCGAGAGATTAGCATAGGGCAGGGCTTGGAGCCAGCTAAAAAAGTTAGGAGCAACTCATTTTCAACGAGAGTGCAATTCTTAAAGACACTATAGTCACCAGAACCACTACTGCTTGATGTAGTTCTGGTGTCTATAGCCTGTCCCTGCAGGTGTTTCAGTGTAAACACTGCCTTTTCCGCGAAAAGGCAGAGTTTACATTGCTGCTTAGTAACACATCTAGTGACAGTCACTCAGATGGCCACTAGAGAGTCCTGGGTCACTTCTGCACCACATGCAGCATCCAGGTTCAGTTTCTCCAAGCTCTGCATGGAGGCGCTGAATGTTCCTCATAGAGATTGATTAATGTAATGCATCTCTATAAGGAGATGCAGATTGGTACATTTGCTGCACATGCACAAAATCCTCCCAATGCTTTCCTAAGGGAAAGCATTGCCTTAGCTGAGATCATAAAGATTGATCATCTCAGCCATGGCAAAACTGTCACGGCGTGGGAAAATGGGAAGAAAGGCGAGTAAAAACACCTTCCTCATGCGATCAGAGGGGACAGGTAAACGCGCATGCACACACTGACAGGCTCTGACACACACACACACTCTGACAGGCTCACATACACACTCATTCTGACAACAGGCTTGCACGCACACACTTTGACAGGCTCTCACACACAAACTCTTACGCTGACAACAGGCTCTCTCACACACACAAACTCTTGACAGGCTCTCGCACACACAAACTCTTGACAGGCTCTCGCACACACAAACTCTTGACAGGCTCTCGCACACACAAACTCTTGACAGGCTCTCGCACACACAAACTCTTGACAGGCTCTCGCACACACAAACTCTTGACAGGCACACACACACACACTGACAGGCTCTCTCACAAACATACACACAAACTCTGACAGGCGCTCACACACACTCTTTTGTCAAGCTCTTTCCCCCACACACACACACACATACAGACACTGACAGGCACACATATACACACTCTGACAGGCACACACACACTGACAGGCTTTCTCTCACACACACACACACACTGACAGGCTCTCTCACACACTCGCAAACACACACACTCTGACAGGCTCTCTCACAAACACACACACATTTTTGTTTTAATTCAAACCCACTCAGCCTCCCTACCTTTGGGAGAGCTGAGAAGGTCTTTCCTGGGGTCCAGTGGGGCTGCTCTCTTCCTGTGCTCTCTTCCTGCCTGTAGCTGCTCTCTGCTCCCTCGCGCTCTGAAATGATGCCGGGGCCAGAATAACGTCATATTCCGGCTCCCAACATCATTACACAGTGCGAGGGAGCAGAGAGCAGATACAAACAGAATACTGCTCCCTCGCGCGCCGACCACAATTTCTCCTGCGGGCGGCCACGCACAGTGCTTCTGCGGGCAGGCGGCAGACGCCATTTACCCGCCGCCTCCAATATTCATCATGACGGCCGCTGTCAAAGCTACTTCCCACACTAACTAGAGCTGGCAAATCCCAGACGCCAGGGCGAAATTTCTAGTCACTGTGGTGATCTGGCGCCTGGGATTTGTCGAGCCCTGGCATAGGGTATGTGTATTCTTGTAAATGCTTTCTGTGAGTTTCCCTCCAGCATTACCTTCATCAGATATGACAATTCAGAGTTGTGGCTATTTTACAGTGTTATTAACCAAAGTTGAGAATTCAAATTCAAGATCAAAGTCAAGAGGCTTTTGAATCGGCTAATTTGGACTTCAATTTAAAATTCACTTTGATTGTGTTTTCTTTCTAGAAGATTCTGTCGTTAGGCCTATCATACTCGTCAGCACCAGGTCCAAAAGGCGATTAATCCAGTCCTGGCGAGTAGAAATTCGTCACTGGTGAGTTTGCTGTGGACTCTGTAGGCTTGCAGTGGTAAGTAACTTTTAAAGGGACACAAAAGGCAACCAGACCAGTTCATCTTCATGAAGTAGTCTGGATGCCATGTCCCTGTCTCTTTAACCATGCAATCTAAAAGCTTGCCGCTCTGCAGGAAAAGCAATGTTTACATTGCTGTTTAAATGCCTTTAGCGGCTGTCACTTCAGTCATAAGGTCTCAAAGAGATGACCTGATTGGTGGGATGTTTTGCCATGCATGTGCACTGGCCTCACAGTCCTTTCCGATTAGAAAGCATTGGTTTGACTTGGATCAGAGTAGCAGCAGTGAGGGAGAAAAGATAAGTTAAGGACCGTTTTTCCTCCGGACAGGGGGTCCTTTATTTAGAAAATGTAATTCTTGGTGTGTTATTTTTATATATGTAATAATCCAGTTTATGACTCGGATCTGCTGCTGGAGGACTGTCTCGGTTGTCAGGCAATGCTCCTGATTGTATCTGGTAAGATAAGTATAATTTTGAGGGGCTTCACCAGCACCGACATTAGGACATGTCATTACGCCCTAACATCGTTAAAGCCCATACCGATCAGGACATAAAGTCCTAACAGCAGCAGTGGATTAAAGGAACCCCCTGAAAGAAAAAATAGTTTTTATTTATGTTTTCTCCCTCTCTGCAGCTGTTCCTGATCTCAGTCAATCCAATGCTTTCCTATAGGAAAGGATTGTGAGGCCAGTGCACACGCATGACAAAACGCTTCGCATATTAGGTCATCTCTATGAGACGTTATGATTGAGTGACAGAGTGACAGCTACTAGATGCATTTAAAGGGACTCTCCAGTGCCAGGAAAACATTTGTTTTCCTGGCACTGCAGGACCCTGCAGTGCCTCTCTCCCTCCCACCCACATCCCAAGTTGCTGGAGAGGTTAAAACCCCTTCAGTGACTCACCGGAGTCCAGCTCCGATGTCTCTCGGCGCTGGGTCAGGCTCTGCCTACTCTCCTCGGCGGGGGAGACCTAATGCGCATATGCGGCAATGGCTGCGCACGCGCATTAAACCTCCCCATAGGAAAACGTTATTCAATGCTTTCCTATGGGGATTTGGCGATGCTGGAGGTCCTCACATAGCGTGAGGACGTCCAGCATTGCTTAAAACACTTTTCGTGTTCTAAGAACACGGAAGTTCCTTTAGTGGCTATCTGATAGACAGCCACTAGAGGAAGACATAACCCTGCAAGGTAATTATTGCAGTTTATAAAAACTGCAATAATTACACTTGCAGGGTTAAGGGTAGTGGGAGTTGGCACCTAGACCACTCCAATAGGCAGAAGTAGTCTGGGTGCCTGGAGTGTCCCTTTGAACATAGTAATGTAAACATTGCTTTTCCTCAAAATTTGACATTGCATGGTTAAACAGACAGAGACATGGCATGCAGACCACTTCAGTGAAAAGAAGTGGTCTGGTTGCCTGTAGTATCCCTTTAGTGTCACACACTATGTGGACAAAAGGACTTGGGACACACCTCTTAATTCTTGAATTCAGGTGTTTCAACCAGACATATTGCCATAAGTGTATAAAATCAAGCACACCTAGTCATGTCGTCTGCTTTTACAAATGTGAAAAACAATGGTCGTTCTGAGGACCTCAGTGAATTCAAGTGTGGTACTGTGATAGGATTCCACCATTACAATAAGTCAGTTCGTGAAATTTCATCCCTCCTAGCAATTCAACAGTCAACTATAATTGGTATTATTGGAAAGTGGACGCGTTTAGGAATAGCAACAATCCAGACACGAAGCGGAAGACCATGTAAACTCGTTGAGTGCTGAGGTGCGTAAAAGTTGCCAACACTCTGCTGATTCCTTAGCCGAAAAGTTCAAAACTTCCACTAGCATTAATATCAGCACAAAGATTGTGCAGTGGGAGCGCCATGGAATGGGTTTTCATGGCCAAGTAGCTGCATGCAAGGCTCACATCACCAAGTACAATGCCAAGTGCTGGATTGAGTGGTGTAAAGCATGCTGCCACTGGAGCAGTGGGAATGTGTTCTGTGGAGCGATGAATCATGCTTTTCTGTTTGGTAGTCTGATTGGCGGGTCTGGGTTTGACAGATGTTAGGCGAATGTTACCTACCTGACTGCATTGTGTGAACTCTAACGTTTGGTGGAGGTAATGGTATGGGGCTGTTTTTCAGGGGTTGGTCCAGGCCCCTTACTTCTAGTGAAAGAAAATCTCAATGGTTCAGCATGCAAATACATTTTGAACAATGCTTTGCTTCAGAATTTGTGGAAACTGTTTGGGGGAAGGTCCTTGTAACGGGGCACCTCCATTGAAGGATGCGCCTAGCGCTTCCTGAGGACTCCAAGCACTGCAGCAGACACCACAACCACCACAGACTCCACAACCGCTGTACCTTGACTGGAGTCTGGCTTCTGTCCTCCTGGACCGTGTGGGAAAGACCCCTTCCTTCCACCCTGTATGAACCTCCAGCATCCAGGACTGTGTGGTGAAGACCTCTCCTCCAAGGAGAGCTTGTCAGGAACAAGCTCTTAAAAGAGCTAAGTGATTCAAGCTCAGGGGAGTATGCAGAGCATAGCAATCCCCAGTGTGATTATAACAGCTCCCTCCAATATCAAGACAAAGGTACATTTAGAGGGATCAAGAAGAACTGTCTAAACCTTTATTTTACTTGGGTCTAGCCCATATGGTCATCACATTAAGATTGCTGTGAAAACTCAATAACATCACAAACATTCAAACCAAATCAGGCAACACACAGTGACTTATCACAACACAATGGCACATTTCCAAATAGGTGGGGGGGAGACAATAACTAACAGAAAATATCTCACGTGTCTGCAGAATTAGCAATATGCAAATCTACCCGAATATGCAAATGAACCAGTCTTGCTATTCAGCTAGTGCATATTGCTGTTGCTACCAACAGAGGGCACTAGACAAGCTCCATAGCCAAATCCACCTAGTTGGTAGCAAACCTCAGCAGTACAGGAGAGCAGGCAATACATTACACAGTACACACACACACACTATAAACAATTACATTACACACACCCTGCACCTATAATGGGTACAGGGTGACTAAAACATAAGAGAAATAAAGCAACCTACATAAATAGTCTGTCTGAAGGTAGAATAGGGGCTTTAAAGCCAAATACATCAAAGAGTCATAGTCACAGGGGAGGAGGCTGGCAAGCAGGCCTCTCCAGGACCAAGTGGCGAAGGGCACTTCGTCACAGTCCTTTTATATTCTAGCATGACTGTGAACCCAGTGCACAAAGCAAGGTCCATAAAGACATGGTTGGATGAGTTTGGTGTGGAGGAACTTGACTGGCCAGCACAGAGCCCTGACCGCAATCCCATGGAACACCTTTATGATGAACTGGAACAGAGATTGTGAGCAGGCCTTCTCATCCAACATCAGTGTCTGACCTCACAAATGGTTTACTGCATGAATGGGCAAACATTTCCACAGCAACTCTCTGAAATCTTATGAAATCAGAAGAGTGGAAGCTGTTATAGCTGCAAAGGGGGAACCAGCTACATGTTAATGTCAATGTATTTAGACTACGATTTAATAAAAGCCTCCATAAAGTGTATTTGTGTATATGACAACCCAGGCAGAAATACCAGAAAATGTAATTTGCACGCCCTATATTTTCCAACTTTCCAAAACACCATAATCATTGTACTTGTGGGACATCACAGCATACAAATATGTGTATTTTATAGCAGCAAAAAAATGACAGCAGTATGACATTCACAGTTAAAATGCCATGCAGCACTTTATTTTTTTTTAGCCATGTAGCTCCTAAACAAAATAATATATTATAAGTGTGGGTGCACTTAATATGAAATCGGTAACTATAAATGTGTGGTGTCCAGTTAAAGGACCACTATAGTGCCCTGAGGGTGCCCCCATCCTCAGGGACTCCCTCCCACCGGGCTCTAGGTGGAGGAAGGGGTTAAACTTACCTCTTTCTCCAGCGCCGGGAGGGGAGCTCTCCGCCTCCTCTCTTCCTCTTCGGCTGAATGCGCATGCGCGGCAGGAGCCGCGCACGCATTCGGCCAGTCCATAGGAAAGCATTTACAATGCTTTCCTATGGATGCAAGCGTCTTCTCACTGTGAAAATCACAGTGAGAAGCGCGGAAGCCCTCTATCGGCTGTCAATGAGACAGCCACTAGAGGCTGGATTAACCCATAGGTAAACATAGCAGTTTCTCTGAAACTGCTATGTTTACAGAAAAAAAGGGTTAATCCTACCTGGACCTGGCACCCAGACCACTTCATTAAGCTGAAGTGGTCTGGGTGCCTATAGTGGTCCTTTAATTGCAGTGGCTTATCAGACTTGTATAGGGACTGGATCAAAGCAGGCTGGGCCTGTAGAACATTCCTGCATTTTTATACAAATATTCTTTGGAGAAACTTTAATTAGTGTCTGTGTTTGGGGAGCTACTGATTGGCTTAGAGGTCAGTGATGCCCCTGCCCCGCGGCACTCTGTCTACTTGTAACTAAGATTCAGAAGCTAGATTCCCTCTGGGGGACCCGGAGATCGGTGTTTGAGGCAACCTTTAGGGTTAGACCATTCGAGAACGGTTTAACCCCTCAAGGTAAAAGTTCCTCCTGGCACCATAACAACTTAATTTATTTGACGTTGTTTTGGTGACCAGAATGTCCCTTTAATAAATATAAATGCAATAGGTAATGGAGGGAGTGACAAACATGTCAGAGCTGCTTTAAAGCAGGCCTGTAATTTATAAGTGTTTTATAAAGATATGATCTTTATGAAATATTCATATTAACTGCGATGGAATAGCATTAAACTTCCAGTACAATTCCAAGATATCATAAGGGGAAAAAAGTAGGGAATGACCGCATCTGGGATAATGTGGGTCAGGGTATGTATTTGTGAGTTAGTTATTTATATATGACTATATACTAGTCATTGACTAGTTTTATGTTTGAGTGGCAAGTTATGACTATGCAAGTGAGTATGAGTGGCTAATAAATGAGTTTGTGATGGTGGCCAGTTATGAACGCATACATAAGTGAGTTACTAGCTAGTTATGTATGTATTTTATGTTTGTCTCCATGAAATGTGTGTGTTAGTGGACAACTATGAATGTATGAGTCTGTGTGTGGATAAGTGTTTTATATATGTGAGTGTAAAGTGGCTAGTATAGGAGTATGTATTTAAGAGTGTATGTATTTTTTTATTGTTGTTTGCATGTTTGTGAGCAGCTGATTTTGTATTTACACATGTATACATGTTCCTAGGCTTATGTATATTTGTGTATGTGCGTGTCTAGTTTGGTATTTGAGTCATTTCTTAGGCATACTGCCCAACAATGGGAGATATGGAATCTGGACTGGGTGAATGGTGACCCTGAGGGAGCATAGTCAATGACATGACCCATAACACTGCCAATGCAGATAATGGGCGGGTTCATCCACTTACATCATTCCAATTGCCCCCCAACTTCCAGTTGGCCTCCAGGTTACAGCCTTCCAGTTGGCCCCCAGCTTACAACCTTCCAGTTGACCCCCAGCTTACAGCCTTCCAGTTGGCCCCCAGCTTACAGCCTTCCAATTGGCCCCCCAGCGTACAGCCTTCCAATTGGCCCCCAGCTTACAACCTTCCAGTTGGCCCCCAGCTTACAACCTTCCAGTTGGCCCCCAGCTTACAGCCTTCCAGTTGGCCCCCAGCTGACAAACTTCCAGTTGGCCCCCAGCTGACAACCTTCCAGTTGGGCCCCCAGCTGACAACCTTCCAGTTGGCCCCCAGCTGACAACCTTCCAGTTGGCCCCCAGCTGACAACCTTCCAGTTGGCCCCCAGCTGACAACCTTCCAGTTGGCCCCCAGCTTACGACCTTCCAGTTGGCCCCCAGCTTACGACCTTCCAGTTGGAAAGCTCCCTGCATGGTCCCAGTGCCCTCTCAGGCATGAGTGTGTCTAATGATGCGCATGCACTGTGCCTGGGGACAGTTCCCTGGATTTAATATTATGTTTACGTACACACTATATTTAACACAAATATGTATTTGTGAAATATGAAAATTTTAAATAAAACCTAGAAATTCAATGTTTCTATTTATCCACTTCATAGGCCAGACATAGGCAACCTTTGGCACTCCAGATGTTTTGGACTACACCTCCCATGATGCTTTACCAGCATTATGTGTGCCCTGGCTGTGCCTGGTAAGAACTAGATTGTGATGTAAATTGCTAAAACTTTAATGCTGATATAAAAGAAATTGGAGGATAATATGACAGGTTAACAAAAGTTATGTTATATTTAATAATTTTTTAACTCGTGTAACTTCCAAAAATTACGGTTCTTTAGTTGCTGATTGCCTCTCACTTCCAGTCCCTGATTTTATGCAAATTTACTCTAGACTGTAGTTGCTATAGTAACAATCTGTGAATTCTGACCATTTTGTTGCTAAAGGTTCCAATTATAAAAAAGTATTCTTAGAAAAAGTGGCAGGAGACCGATAAGTATTATTTACTAATTGTGAAAGAACCAGAGCCTTCTATTGTTTGCATTATTCTGGAGTAGAGTTAAAACAAGTTAATCTGGTAGGAGGAGAATGTAAATTGTAGAGAGATTTTATTATTTTATATTGTATTAAAGTGACAATCCGTGCATAACCACCTATGCTCCTTGCATAACTTCTGGTCATGTGTCTGTCTCCATCATTTTGGTTTTAATATCTTCCTTGGCAGCTGAAATGAGGCTGTACCAGTAGGTAGGTTTCGTAATGTTGATGGTGAGGGTTTAGCCCTTCCTAGGTAAGGTGCTAGAGTCCCATGTGCATCTGTATGTACTCACTTTGCCAATATGTAGGTGTCCATTAACTCTGTCCATGATGACTTCACTATAACCATAAAAAAAAAAAAACAACCAAACAAACTCCTTGGTTTTGAACCCCTCCCTGTCACAGGTGCCTAATCCCAGGGCCTTATTTAGCCTTGTACTGCAGAGAGCCCCAGATGGAATTTTCCCCCAAGAAAGTGGGTTAATCTCATAAGCGCAGACATTAGGCTATTAGAGTAGGACCTGCCAAAGATGGGGTACATTGATGTTATGGCAGGCTTATGCAATGTATGATCATATAATGTAACTAAACCGTCATTATTTTATTTTAGCCTAGATTAGGTGTTTAAAAAAAAAAAAAATCTGTCAACATTGAAGTTGCTGTATAGTGGATAGGTGAGTGCGCTGGATCTTGTGTATCACTATAACCACCATGACCACTTCAGTGATTTGTAGGGGTCACGGTGCAGGATCTGTATATGTAGTATTTTAGCTTGAAACGCTGCACATGCAGAGCAATCAGCACTTCTGTACCGGGAGCTTATCACACTTTTGGGACACGTGAGTTTGGCAGTCTGGGCTGTCCCGTCTGTGCAAAAAATGTCATCAGTGTGCACGGCACACTGGCAATGGACGTTTAGAGCTTCTCCTTTGTGGACAGAACCTGCAAAGGGAAGCGTCTTTCTCCTCTTCCCTCTTTACTGAGTCAAGTCAGTAGGGCTATTTTTTTTTTCTTTTAAATGATATACTCTCCTATTCTCCCTTCCTTCCTTCTCGCCAGCACAGATTGCATGCGTGCACTATGAGCCGATGAAACGGTCCAATCAAAAGCTTCTCTCTACGGTGTCCATGGCACGCCTACCATGGGTGAATCTCGACTCGTCAAGGCTAAATTTTCACTTGCCAATAGATAGTGTTGAGTGGAACTTTTGAGCCCTGTTCTTGATGATAGAAAATTCCCAGCAATGAAGACTGTTAAGGCAGCAAACAATAGCTGGAAATATTTCTGATAATCCATCACAGCTACACAACTGGAATAAAGGTTGTGCTTTTTGCTATTCAGTGTTGTGAAGAAGACGTTAAAGGAAGTGTTTGGTTTTGTATTTCTATGTGTTTTTTTTGTTTTACACAATTTTGTACACTTTGCAGCAGAACATAGCTGGACAAATCTACTTAGAAAAAGTGTCTTATGTCTACCGGAAAGTAACTGATGATTTGCAATCATGGTTACACAAATTATAAATTGACAGTCGAAGATGGCATGGTGAACATTGCTCTCTGTAGATATGTAAAATAATGCATTTGTGATCTTTTTACCCTAGAAATGCTTGTATCTTGTATGTCGGAAAAACAAACAGGAGATGCAAACGTTAAACCTGCTTGTAAAATATCTTATGTACTCCATGTAATTAGAAGAGAAGAGAAGAGGAGCATTTAAATCTTTAAAGGAACCATGCAAACACTATAAACACTAATGGTTATTACAGTGCCAGCAGTGTTCTTTAAATGTATGGTGTAAAAAGGAGCAATCTGAATACCATAGCAGCTTACTCTGTTTGGAAAAGGTTATGACCTAAGGAGATAGGTACTAAAAGAAAAAAGAGTTAGTGTTTCGGCATTGCAGAAAGGGTTGCAGCGATTAGGTGTTGCCCAATTCTGCTTTAGTTAATCCAATGCACCGTGGTTTCCTTGCCTCATAACCACTACATTAAGATGTAATGTTAATATGTTAATGTTGCTGGGAGTATCACTTCAACAAAATTTCCTCCTCTGCCAGGAGGTTCCCTTGTAAATTGAAGGGTGAATTGCTACATGTTGGAAATGCACCCTTCTAACTTTTAAGACGAAAAGAATTAATTTGAAGAACAATCTTTTTCAACCGGGTAGCTCATTTAATAGACCTTACATGTCTGTCTATCTTGCCAGAGAAGCATATTTTATGGTTGGTCTGACTGTGTGGTATATTGTAGTAGGTTATGAGTGTAGCTGTAGCATATTTTCACACACTGCCACAGGAATATCTGCAGACGGAGTGTATGCACTGCAGGTGTGAACCATTGCTTTGAGGATTTAAGAGGAAAAGGCTACTTTTGGTACCGTTTTAGTGTCCATGGAAATGTTAATTATTTAGTATTATCTCACTAGTTCTATTCTCCACAGTAATATTAAATTGACTGCCAGTAAAATTATTACATTTTCTAAAATTAAACATTTGATGCATATTGTTCAACATAATAGAATTTTTCGATTTATACTTGTAGTTCCTTTCTTAAGGTAACCTATGAAAAATTGACCGGTGGAAAACATGGAATGTAGAATTTTAGATGTTAATCTTTACATGTTTATCACTCCCCCCCCCTGCCCCATTAGTAGACCAGTGTTTGTCTTATACTTTGGATGCAGAGATTGACAATCTTACCATGTTTTTCTTGATCAATTAAACTGCATTTAGGACAACACATTGAAAACTCTCATTCAAGCTTGTTTAGTTGTTTAATATTACTAGTTCTCTTCACTGAATCTTTGTGATTGGGCTTGGGGTTTATGTGATGCACGCATTGCTCCTATTGAAAACAGTGTGTCAGGGCAGATTCAATTTATATTCTTTTCTATCTGGTGTTTGCAAAACCTGCAGTATTGGAAAAGACAGACATTTAAGAGCTAGTTTAAAGGTTAGTATCTCTGTTACATGTTATTTTTTTTTCCTTATGGTTTGCATATGTTTTGTAATGCATTAAAAAGTGGGGTCAGTTCAATCCTGGGGTGCTAACCCTAGGCCATCGCAAACAAATGCGAAATGCATGCTTTCTGTTTAAATCAGTTGCTGATATTATTTATTTGTAGGGTTTTATGTAGTGTTCTGACGTAAACAGGTAAGCCGGTTTCTCAAGCTTATGTGCCACTGGCACATCCACGGCATGTTGGGCTTGATTGCTTTGCACAATAAGCTGTCTCTTCTGACTCACCAGGTTCAGTCACTGAATACATGATGTCAGAAGGTTCCTACTGGTAAGCATTTGCAAAATGTTTCTAACTGAAACACTGTGTAGAACTTACTATACTAAATACTAGCAAGTAAAGCAAATGATTTTAGTTTATTTATTTTTATTCTAAAGAAAGGCTCTCTTTGGGGCTGTGATATGTAGAAATTGTGATTTTTATTTATTTATATATTTATTAATTACCAAATATATCTGAGATTGATGAAGCAACATTTTCATGTACAATGGATGAACATTCACATTTGTAGTTGCTATAGTAACAGTCAAGGAATTCTTAAGTGCACTATATTCCCAGAGCATTTGCATACAATCTAGGAATGGGAGGAGATGAGAAAAATATGTGTTTGTGTATATGTATGTCTCTGTCCCTCTGTTTATCAGTCAATGCAAATTGCAGCCTCGCCAGGCTTTCTTTACATATTTTTTTTTCTTTCTAGTGATATTCATACTCTATCGCTGCTTGCCTCGTTCACAGTGGTATAAATAGACTGGTCATTACATGTCATTACACCTTAATCTTGAAACTCACACAGGATCTTGTTGGCAGTATGGTCATGTGACATGTAGAATGCTAAGGAGGTATGGCTTTTGTCACTAATCACATGCATCTTTTCTCCGAAAGAGACTATGGCCATTAGCTCTCATTTTTTATTATGTAGATCTGCCGTTACGTGCATGCAAAATAGCTCAAAAAAAGAGGGAAAGCTCTGTACAAGAGCTCTTTGCAACTTGTTTGCAGATGAACTGGTGAAGCTGAGGCTGCTCAGAGCTATTTAGTATGTAACATGCAGAGACCTCTATCCTATAAGTATGTTCAGGAGGGCAATACCCTCTGCTGGGTGTTAGGGAGTTAATGCAGTCTGACCTCCTTGCTCCACCTCCAGAAGCATTTTCTGTCTTCTGGGAATGGCTGCTATTCTTCCTTAGGGTAATAAATATCAATTTACTGGCTGGCAGTCTCTTTGTCCTGGTTATTTCATCTGGTTGGAGGGGAGAGAGAGAGTGTGGAGGATGATCTTTTTCTTCCCCCCACCCACTCCTAGTCCTTTTTGTGTCAGTGTTATGTGCCTGCACATACTGACACCCTGCTGAATTATCAAGGCCAAACTCAACATGGCAACAAGAACAGTTCTGTACCACTTTACTTAATTAACCCATACCACTGACCTATCACCTGCAGGCTGGGTTGCAGGGAGATTAATATAGCACTAGCACTAATCGGCTTGGTATGGAATGGGGGAGAAATCACCTCTTGGCCTCTGTGGCTTAAGGTCCGGCTATTTTGAACCACAGATGGGATTATTACCTGCGTTTTGATTTGACTCTGTTCTGAATGGGATTTGTAATCAGGCAAAGGGAAAATCAATGAAGTGTGTTGAAGAATTTGTGTATAAAAGGGTGAGTAAGCTGTTAATTTGTAGACAGCCTCATCGCACTGAAAGAGTTTAGCGATGAAGTTCACATTATATTGCACAGTATAAATGAAATAATAGTTACTGTAACTCTTCTCCAAATAGTAATAGTCTCTGGATCATTGTAGCAGATATAATTGGAGCAAGCCTGTTGAATTTGAAATACGTCACGTCAGTTGTCATTGTGGTTTGCTAAAAGTTGCTGTCATGTTGGTACTGTGATCCTTTCAATAGTGCCCCTTAAATCTTCTTAGTAATTCTGTGTGTCCTACAGATCTCCATCATATGCTCAGTCACACATGTACGTATTTACAGATTCTGTAACATTTGCTTTTCCCTAACATTTTCTGAAACTAATACTTTTTTTTTTTTACAGACATCATGGATCCTTAGCAACCTCAGTTGGTTGGTATCTCGCAGCTCCAAGGGAGGGCTGAAGGAGCAAGCGATTGATACCCAATCTCTGCCACTTCCCTGCACGGGAACCTGATACACTGTGATACATGCCATGCTGGGCTACCAGGATCTCATGCAGACCTAACGCCCGCACTGTGCCGCAATGAGCAGGTATGGAAATCAACAAGTGCATTCAGAGTAAACATTGGATTGGAATCTTTGTCTTCGTAAAATAACCGATCCCAAACTTATTAGTCAAAATATTTGCTTTAATAAGCATTTAGAATATTATTTCCTTTGTTGAAGGAATGTAGATATTGAGGTGTAGTGGGCCAGTCTAAACCAGGTTAATGTGTGTCCAAGGATTAGGCTAATGAAATATTTTATAGTCAAGCAGCAACCAACCTGTTGTTCTGCAGTTGTTTTGGGTGAAGTTTTCCAGTCATGCTCCAACATTCACAGATGTATGAAGCTAAGCATTTTAGGACTTCAAGCTTCGCCAAAGTAAAAAGTCATAATTCCCAAACAAGACAGCTGTCATATCTATAACTCAAACTTGCCTTTGGTTATGTAGTTTGTGTGCCTCCACCTTATTGCTTGATCAAGGATTGTATTTTATAGATACTTCTTCTTTACACCAGATAAATATGTGTAAACAAAACATAAAAGGACACTGCTTAATGCAGTAGTTCTGGTGAGTGTAGTCAGTCCCTGCAGGCTTTTTACTATAAGCAGTATTTACATTGCTCCCTAGGGACACTTCCAGAGGCTGCTCCTCAGATGGCCACTGGATGTGCTTCCTGGGGCCGTGCTGCAGAGTGTTCAGCACGAACGTTCAATGTCTCCACGCTCTTCATGGAGACACTGAACTTTCCACAAAGAGATGCATTGATTCAATGCATCTCTACGAGGAGATGCTGGTTGGCCAAACCGGCATCCGGTCCCACCCCCGCCTCCTTGATGATATCAGCCAATCCAATGCTTTTTTTATGGGAGATCATTGGATTGGCTGAGATCATCATTTCTTATGTCAGTGGTTCAATGGTGGTTTGAGAGCCGGCCAGGGCTGGCATACCTGTGCGGCGCTGGAAATAAGGTAAGTTGTATTACCTTTTTAAGGGGGACAAGCCACCTAAATGGTGGTTTTAACACTATAGGGTCAGGAATACACATTTGTCTTCTTGACCCCATAGTGTTCCTTTAACTTTAGCTTGCCTAATGTATATTATTTAAAGATCTAAACTACAGATGTCCTTTTTATTTAATTATATTTGTACTGTTATTTATATTTCTAGGCAAATACTTTATTCTTGCATTGTTAGGTTATTTGTTGCTGGGCGAAAATAATGAAATTTTGTAGTTCAGTATCCAGTTGGTAGTCTTGGATGCTGTAAAATATTTTAGAAATACAAATCTCTAATCAGGCATAAAAGTTGTATGCTTGTGATGTAACCCTCTGTCTTAATAGGTACAAGAGAGAAGAGAGAGCAAAATGAATGGTGGCAGTGAGAGTGGAGGAGGAGATAACTATGGAGGGCCCCCTTTGGTCCAAGTGCCAATTGGCTGGCAGAGGAGGGTTGAGCAAGCCACTGTGGTATACGTCAGGTGAGTTTTTGGCCTTCATTTAACTGTTCAAACATGCAGTTTCTCCCCTTCATACATGTGCATCACCTTGTAATATGTCTGTTGGTGAGAACCTATGGATTGTGAACATAAAGCCATGTTTTTTGGATAAAAGGTTAGAATGTTAGAATGTAGTGGGTATCTGTGTACATGAATCTGTGGGAGAGTGTAATTACTCTTTTTTTCACGTAAACTGGCATGAACAAAAGCAAAAAGTAAAATTGCAGAATTCTGCCTTGAGAAGGACGTGTTAAAGTGGCTGGTCTAAATAAAGGATTACTTTTGCACTATTCTTTTTATTTAAAGGATCACTATAGGGTCAGGAACACAAACATGTATTCCTGACCCTATAGTGTTTAATCCACCATTTGGGTGGCTTGTCCCCCCTTAGCACCTCTATAAAAGTGTAAAAATCACCTTATTTTCAGCGCTGCGTGGGTTTGCAGGCGCTTTCTCCGCCTCCTTTGTGACATCATCAAATTGGCAGATTTTTAGCCAATCCAATGCTTTTCCTTGCAGATCGTGGAGACGCTGAATGGCAGGGCTGCTACTGTGCAGCACTGAGCCAGGAAGCACCTCTAGTGGCCACTTTGAGGTGTGACAAGGCAGTGTTTACATGAAAATGCCTGTAGGCAATGATTATACTCACCAGAACAACTACATTAAGCTTGTAGTTGTTCTGGTGACTATAGTGTCCCTTAATGTAACTTTGTTTTTCATTGTGCCACTCAAATGAAAATTGTTAGATCTACCTTTTGTTGGCTTTTACAATTTGTATTCAATTAAGGGAGAACTCAGTGTGGTGGTTATAGTGCAAAGAGTCTGTGAGTGTTGTTCTGTGTTTTCTATTCCTGTCTTACCATCTTGGAGCAATGTTTGGCTAATAGATTGGGGAGGGGACTTGCCATCTAGGGTTGATGGATTTGGTAAAGGTAATGTGCAATTGTAAATTCTGCATTATTTGTGTGACAGAGGAAGGAGAGGTCTCTGGGTGCTGGGGAGAGCTTAACTTTTTTTCAAATGGTTTGACAGAAAAGCATGGGATAGCACCCACAGTCTCTTTGAACCATAATCACTAAACAGAGCTGTAGTGGTGATGTTGCATGGAGTGCCCCTTTAAGTTTTATATGATGTAAAGAAATAAGAGCAAACAAGAAATTGAAAGCAGACGACAACACAATCATTACAATTGACAAGAGTCATTGTCCATTTATCAGTAATTTCACCTGCAAGTTTGGACAACTATTACATACATGAACTAACCTACATTTTATGTCCAAAGAATCATGTTCATAGAAAACTTCCAATTTGTTGATCCTTTTGCTGTTTAGTTAATTTTTTTATATATTTTTTTTTCTTTTTACTTTTTTTGTTTGGTTTGTTTGACTTGATTTTGCTAACTTCATCATTTGATTGGCTTTGCAGTCCTAGTGGTACAATCCTTACCTCTATGGATCACTTAAGGAAGTATTTAGTCACTGATGGAACCTGTAAGTGTGGGCTGGAGTGTCCGCTTAACATCTACAAGGTAAGTCTGAGAGCAAGAGAGAAAATCATTCCCTAGTATGGTATTAGTTAGTGTTATTTGATATTTTCACATTTATATTTCCATGTCATTCAGTATATAACCATTGCTTGCAGTAACAAGCCATAACACAACTGTTTGCAAATGTTGGTTATTATATAGTTGTAGTTGAAATATGATATTCCCTACTTTTATTTTTCTTCATTATATCTTTTTGTTCATATTTCCAATTTACAGCTGTTCTGTGACCGATTACATTGTATGTTATATTGCTTTTCTGGCATTGTGAAGAAAAGAAGATCAATCTATCTATTAAATAGCACATTTAGCTCGGTGAAATTTAAGCTACATAGTTTGAGCCATTTTCTGCCTTTAATACACCTTAAAAGTACCCCTAATGTTGTTGCTGATCAATAGATCCAAAGCATCAAATTGCAAACAAATGCATAGTTCAGAAACATTGGCACCTTCTTCATATCACCACACTTCCTCTCTCTCAGCATCGTCAGTATGGCCGCAGAGAGAACTTTCCATGAAGAACCACAGTTGTTGAAAAACAGTTTGACAGAAATCTAGAGGACCTTGCCCAATGATTTGTTGTGGTTGTAATGCTTAGAGTGCCCCTTTAACGTCTGCCTAAATCTACTGAGTCCTAAAATATATGTCCCTCCATATTTAATAAACTTGCATTGGTATTTGTTGGCTTCTGTGGCATTTTTGAACTTCCTCTTTGGTAAACCTATATAAACCAACTTTTTTTTCCCTATCCTCATTTGTACAGGTGTTTAGCTTTGACCCCAGAGCAGTGGTGAAGAGGCGTAGTGCCGAAGACGTGAAAGCTGAGGAAGACATGACCAAACTCTGCAACCATCGTCGGAAAATTGTGGCCCTTGCAACCCTGTACAAGAGCATTGAGAGTACTCCCCTTGCACTACAAAGCCAAGCTGCTGGTAATTGGACTTAACTTTTCCCTCCTTTTGATAACCATCCTATGTTTTTTGTTTTTGTTTTTTTGCTGTTTTTTTTTTTTTTTTTATCTATGATTGGAAATTTGGAAAAATTATGGATCTGGTGACAAGGGTTTATCTAGCAGCTCTTGATGCTAATACCCTGCAGATTTTAGGAGAGATCTACTGAATGTGCAGGTTCTGGTTGATCAAATTGGTTCCAAACTATTGAAGATCCAACATTAGTTAGAAATGGTTTTCTCTCAATCAAAATGGTGGGAAACATATATAGTTTTAAATGTAAAACCGAAAAAGGGGATATGTGTAGGCACCCAAAATAGAACAAAATGTGAACAAACTGTTACCTGCAAACTCTCTTGTGACTGTATCCACCTCACTGTTTTAGGATTTTGTGATAATTTTAAATGTATTAAATTTTTTATGCACCAAAAATGATCCTAATTATTTGTTTGTTAAAATATCTTTATTATCATTTTATTTGTTTGTCAAATCACTTGACATAAAATAAGAGGAACAGTAACCAAAATGCGTAAACGACTTCTTTAAAGGTTACTTTAAGAACACCAACGACTATAGTAGTTATGGTGCCAGGAGTCGCCTGGTGCTGTCCCCACTGTAAGTAGTCAAACCGCGTTCGAATAATTTGACATTTACCTTATATACTTTATGCAAATATATACTTTAAGCAGAAAGTCTTCTTCTACATTAGATATATATGTTCCATCTCTATTCCAGACTCTCTTGCCTGATGAAATCCAAGAATGGAATTGATGTTGTTAATGCAGAAGGGAAACTTTTTATTTAGCGATATTTGAAGTTGTCCTACTTAAGTCTTAAAACACTTGACTACTTACAGGGGACTGCACCAAGGCACTGCTGACACTAGAACCACTGCAGCAGACTATAGCGGTTATGGTGCTTAGACTATCCATGTAAATTATATTTTGAAAAGCTATTAAACTCATTTATCTGAAATATCATTTTTGATTTTGTTAAGAGAAACAAAAATTGTATGGTCTTCAGAAGACTACAGTAAATGAAAGTAAACCATAATATACAGGTATTGTGCTTTGCAGTTGCATTTGACTATATGTTATCAGTGGTACTTAATGTTTGACACTAGTATGATGATGCATTTTTCAATCAAGGATTACCTCAGTCACCTATTTTTTGTTTGTATTGTAATAATTGTACAGCTTTAATTTTGAATATGATCTATTATGTACAGACCACAGACCCCAAATTAGGACAAGATGGTGCAGTGAAAGGAGATTCATAGTTCCTTCTTTTGTTCCATTTAACATTGATGTTGACAAATCTTGATGACGTCTGTCATTACAGGTTTGCCCACTAATTGGGTTTCCATTAAGCATTATTTCCCTCCCTCTTTTATCTTGAATATGACTCATGGGAGGTTCCCAGAAACCAATCTATTCACACTTACTTGACTTACACCATATACAGTGGAAGCCCCTCTTGGAAGGAAACTCTATGTGGGATAGGTAAAAAATAAATCTATATGTACATATAAATATCTTTTTGTGGGCATTTTATAAAAATGTTCCAGTTATGAATTACACTTTATTTTTTATATTACTTTATAAATGTGGAAAGTTTTCAAATTTCTATTGAACAGTGCCTCATCTTAAGTTTATCTGAACTATTTACAGGATGTGGACCCAGTCAAAATTTCCACGGAATGTCCGCCAGCCCAAAGATGGGACAGCACCCTTTGCCCCAGGACCCTGACATCTTCACCAAACTCATGATGGAAAAAGCCCACAACATGCCTACACACCATGTGGTGGAGAAACCTCTGGATCAGAAACAGGAACTCTTCGCTTCCAATCCTGGAGAAAGGTACCCTGGAATCCGATCCAGCCAGCGGCCTGCTCTGCCAAGGCAGCAAGGGGCACCACTTGGTGAGCCCTTTGCCTTAAGGACCTGTCCACCAGCACCATCTAATGGTAGCTATGAGGTGTTTCCCAGGACTCCGCAAGCCATATCACATGAGCTGTGCTCCAGCTCTTTTACACAAGTTAAGTCTTCCCAGAATCGACCTTCCTACCCCTCATGTAGTCAAGAACTTTCAGATTTGTCTCCGAAGTCTTTGTCATTTAGCTCTTGTAGTTATGTGCCTGGTGGCACTTTCTCTCGGACGCTGGAAGAGTCTACTCAGGGCCCCAGACGGCCTTTTGCCTTCCCTGAGAAGGATCCACTGGGCATTTTGGACTCAAACAGCTGTAGGCCTCCCAGTCCAAAGCAACACACATTGAACTCTCCCCCTCCACTGCATTCTCAGGTTCCCATCATGAATGCACATTCTGTTCCGGAACATAACTCTGGTAACCGATCTTCTCCTGCTGTGCCCCAACATTTCTCCCCATTTACCCGTAGTGGAGCACTAACGTCTCCATCAACAACGCGATCTTCAGTCTCTTCAATCTCTTCTCCAGCTGGCAGTATGGAGCCATCCCCACAACGCTCCCGTCACTCCTCTGCTTCCTCTGAGCACTTCCCTGGTCCTCCAAGGTCTAGTTCCAGATCTCCACGACCTGTTGGTTCTCCTAAACGATCTGTGCCCCACAGTCCAAAAGCAATACTTGAAGGCCTCCCTCCATTTGGGCAGGCCCAACTGGGATCATCATCAAATGCCAGCCATGCCTTAACCCACCAAAGCAATAAAGCAGCACCACCTGTGTCTTTGGGAGCAGCGCAAGGCTTACTAGGCTTTCCTCTTGGTTGCATTTTGGGTCAGCAAAGCAATGCCTCGTTCCCGGCCAGTAGCCTTCTAACAGCAGCAGCCAAGGCTCAAATGGCAAGTCAAACCAAACCAGAAGCCACGGTCCCTAGCACTTTACCTAGCCGGTTGCTCAACCCTTGTACCTTCCTCTCTGGAACTGGCACACAAGAAAGCCGGGGGCTGCCTAACAGGACTCATTCACAGAGAAGGGATGTATTAGTAAAGCGTAAAAGACAGAAAAATTCCCCAGGGCCTGATATTAGTACACACGAATCTGGTGGACCTCCCTTTTCACCCAATAGCCCTAGTGGGCTCTCCAAATTTAATCCTGGTGTATCAAAATTGTCTGGGATTGGAGGGCAGCTTGAGGAAGACCTGGGACGATACAAAGTCCCTCCTTCATATTCATTTGCTGGTCAAACGGTATCTTCTGTTCAAATGCCTCGTTCGTCAGCTGAGGAGTCTCCAAGCCAAAGCAAAAATCCCAGCCTTTCTCCAGCTTCCCAGGACGTTAGCAGTCATCTCCTTGGCCTTGTAGGGCAACTAGTCCAGACAGCTACAGAGCAGAACTCAGGGACACCTTTACCACTGAAGTTACCTTCAGGCTCTACGGGGACAAACCCATGTAAGTATACATGATGTATTGGTTTAGGGTATAAGTTTAAGTCTTGTGTAAAAATGTCTAATAATAAAGAATTCTGTTTTATTGTTGCAATCACAGATGGTAATCTTTGTATAATGATTTACTGTGTAATTGAATGTACAGGGCTGGACATGTGCTCTTGCTTGTGAAAAGTAATACATTCTATCAGACAAAGGAGGGAAAAAAATAATGCATTTCTACTTATTAATGTATGGGTTAGTGATTTTGCTTGTCCTAGGGGTAGGCAACATTTGGCACTTTAGATGTTTGGACTACATTTCCCTTGATGCTTTGCCAGCATTGTAAAAGCACAAAAGTGCCGAAGGTTGCCTACCCATGTAACCTAACTAATAAATGTTGGTAGTATTTTTTGTGTTATGGCTGTGCATGCACCTTATTTCTGCACGGATGTATTCCAATATGTTTCCTCTGTACTTATGTTGAGTGTCTATTTTATTTTAGCTTCCACTACAAAGCCCAACCAATCTCCAATTGCAAAATCGTCTCCTGTTCCCAGCCTATTACAGAACTGTGTCACTGAAGGCAACAACGAATTACCATGTGCCCTTCCACCTGGTGGGGATGGCTTCTCTTTTCTGGGCCAGGATCAAGTTCTGCCTTTTGTTGCCACTCCTAGCCTGTTAAACTTGGCAATGCTGGGGTCATTGCCACTCTCCCTCAGCCTAAATCAGCACCAACAGCTATTAAACCAAGGCTTGCTAAATTTACTCTCTTCTTCCTTATTAGGAAGTACAGAACTTGGCTTCATGGGACTGCAGAATCCACCACTTACTCTGCCATCTGCTGTAGGTGATCCAGAAAACAATGCTTTGCAGGCTTTGTTAATGGCATCTATCCTTCATAGTCCTCTTTTACCACTGGGAGGGCTGGGCTTGCCACATTTAGACCTTTCCCAACAAAACCATCAGCAAAGCAATCTGCTGTCCTCTCTTGCACCCTTACTTGACTCTCTACCGCCTGCACAAACTGACACAGCTGAGAAAACTGAGACGCCCATTACCCTTCCCGAGACCTTCTCTGAGAGCACTCTCCAACCACTGCTTTTCCCTCCTGTCTCGGCCTCGCCAGCCCTCATTGCCCTGAATTCAGCACTTCTGGCTGCCAGTCTTGGGGCTGTTGACTCCTCCACTTGCCCTGGACAGGTAACTAGCAATGAAGACACTGATCTGTTGGGATGTTTTGCATAAAGGTTAATAGAATGAGCAATCTATATTACATTTCAATTGATTTGTATGTAATCATGCCATGAGATTTGGTAGCCCTAAATGGTTAACACCGTAAAATATTTATTTCACCAGTATCAAATAGTTGGAAGCACTTCAATAAGCTGTTGTACTTATGGTGCTTTCAGTGTACTTTAAAATAAATAAATGCAAAAAGCATAAATCAAACCTGTTTATTACTAAAAGATGATTGCATAGGCCGACTATAGGTTGGCTATGGATTGTGGATTATATTTTTGACTTATGTTATTTCTGTCTGGCACAAATCAGATTCCATTAATGCCTTGCCCACATACATAAAAAAAAGAATATGGTAGATGCACCACCATCCCAATATATTTTGGAGAAGTGTTTTAAACGTACTACCTATGTTGTTGGGTTTTAATTTTGTTTTGTTTTTTAATGTGTTGTTTTTTGTTGGCTAGGTAACTACATAGGATTGTTACTTGGCTGTTATACATGCTAATCTACATTCTGTTACAGATCAATAGCTCCTGTGCTGGGTCTGCATCCATTACCACAACCACTAACTCACCTGCCTTATCAGAAGGGAAGATACCGTCATCTGAAACACACAGCACCTTCAACCTCCAGCAATCACAAACTTCATCTGGCAGACTTAATACTCTCATGCCACCTCTTCTCAACCCATTGCTTACAGCTGGCTTGTTAGGTAAGGTGAAAGGACTATAAACTATTTCATTTAGGTGATTAGGTAACATGAACCTTCTCTGCCAAAATATTGATACAGTACATTCCAGTGCAGGTGTCTAGGTTAATCATACTGCTCATAAATCCGATTTTCTTTGTATAATGATGATAATTTAGGCTAAACATTTCACCTCCATTTCATTATTCCTGTTGTTAATGTTGATCGAAAACCCTCACATTAAATACATTTTATAATTATACTTATCTATTTCATCCTTTCATCTCAGTCTCAATGTATGACAACTTGTCCTTTGTACAGTCTTGATGTTATGTGAATATGTCTGTGTGTCGATATTCTTACCATTCATGTATTTTTCACTTTTCTTTGATCTGAATCTACAGGTGATCTCTCCACATTGAATACAAATACTGGTGGGCATTTAGGAAACCTCCAGACGCTGCTGAGTGCTCATGCCCTGCTTCCAAACCAGCAGGCTTTTCTTCCTTCCCTTCCAGGACCTCTAGGGATGCACTTGTTCCAGGGACAGTCTCTTCTGCAGGGACACCGGAGCAACACTCAGGTAATCCCTTCCATTTTTTATTTTTTTTATTTATTCTTTATTTAGTCGTCAATGATGAAATGTTACATTTGAGTGCCTTTGTACATCAAGTCATGTTAACACTTTTGGATCCAAGAATTAAATATACAAGTAAATTGCTTAAACACAGTACACTTTTGTCCAACATTTCATTCGGTTCTTAGCTAATATTGCATTTTTTTTTTTTTTTTTCCAATGTGTTTTATTTTAGGCATATTATTGTTTACACATCGTATAAAACAGAATACGGGGTATATCAAGGGGTACAAAAGAGAAAAGGGAAGGGGGAAGGGAAAAAGGGGAAAAGCAGCTTGTACAAATTTACACATATCCTTCAGTACAGTACAATGTAATACAGTTTGAAACAGCTAACAATTCGAATGTCTGGTAATCCTTGGTAAGAGGACATTATAGGCATTATAGGCATTACAGATAGCATGAGATCTTCACATAACATATTGGAGGTAGACAAGCATTTGGCAAGTGAAAATACCTTAGGGCATACTGACTTACTCGTAGGGGGGCTGCTTTATGGGCCCATGGAGTAAGGGGTGAGGGGGAAACCCGGTTGGGGTTAGTGGTCGGATTATGGCACCTGGGGCGCCTCCCCCTCTCTAAAGAATATCCAACTCTGCCAACTTAATTTATACCTGCTTTGGTTATTTGTCAGCCGGCTAGCCATACGTTCATAAGCATGGAGTGAGTCCAGCCTGCTGAGGATTTCTGGCATTGTTGGCGTCAATGGTGATTTCCATCTATGTGCGATGGCAGTTTTAGTAGCCATGAGACAGTGGATCATGAAAGGGATTGCTTCCTTGGGAAGAGAATTCGGAAAAATATGTAGTAGAAAGCATTCTGGGGATTGGGGGATGTGCACCCCCAGGATTTTATACAGAAGGGCGTGTATGTCCCGCCATAGAGTGGTAATAGGCGTACATGACCAAAATAAATGAAAGAGGGACCCTGCGCTATTTTGGCATCTCCAACAGCTTGCGTCAGAGCCCGGGTAGATGCGGGCCAGTTTGGTGGGGACTAGATACCAACGCATTGTTAATTTACAGTATGTTTCCCATTGGTTAAGGCTATGGGACGCCTGTTTAGTTAATTTTTGGGCGCGATGCCATAAATCATTAGAAAAATGCTTTCCCAGATCTGATTCCCACTTAGACATATATGATGGTTTGGACAGTTTGTCTTGGAGCAGTAGAGTGTTGTAACATAGAGATAATGCTTTGATTTTTGGAAGCTTGCCCATGCATTTGTGAATGAAGGGTGATGTAGAGTCGGGTTCACTCAGGCTAATCCCGCTTTTCTGAATTATGTTTTTTATTCTGAGATAGGAGAATAGTTCCCCTGGGGGGATGTGGAATTCCCTAATCAGGTCTGGGAAGGGCTTGATGCCTTCAGCGGATAGTAGGGAACGAACCTGGGTGATCCCTTTCTTAAGCCATATGTCTAGGTGTATGTTTGAGGTTCTTGAAGTCAGGGCTTGGATTGGAGCGGCTAGGAGTAGGTCGTTATTCCGTAGGAAGAGCGGTGTAGTTTGTTTCCAGTTGTGAAAGAGCGCGACTGTGGTGGGCAGCAAGGATGTGGCTTTGGGAAATTTGGACCCGGCCCACAGGGAAAGTGGGATCGAGCCATTAGGTGTGCAGGCGTTCTCCAATGCCAGCCATATTGGGGGAGAGGGGCGTTCGAGGATCGTGAGGCCCTGGGCCAGCAGGGACGCCCTATAGTAAAGGGATATATTGGGAACACCCAGACCTCCTTTTGTGAACGGGCGCCATAGTGAGTTTTGCGCTATCCTGGGGGGTTTCCTCTTCCAAATATGAGCATTGATCATGGCCTGGAATTTCTTTAGGAGCGAGTTTGGGATTGTAATGGGGAGAGTGCGGAATAAGTATAGAATGTGTGGGAGGATCATCATTTTTACAGTGTGGATACGTCCTAACCAGGAGATCTCCTTCTCCTCCCAGGACTTGAGGAGTTGCTCTAGATTGTGAATGAGTGGCAAGTGGTTTTCGTGCGTTAATGCTGAGAGCTTCGTTGGCAATTTAATACCCAAGTATGAAATGGAGGAGTTCCGCCACTCAAACGGGTATAGTGTTTTTAGAGGGTTTAAAGAGGAAGGTGGCAATCCCAATGCCAATGCTTGTGTTTTTTTGGCGTTGTTTTTATAGAACGAGACCTTACCGTAAGTTTCCAGCAAAGTTAGTAGGTTTGGTAAGGATTTTGCTGGACGTGATAAGAAGAGAAGGACATCGTCAGCGAATAGGGCTATTTTTTGAGTCCCGATGGGGGTAGATAGGCCTTCGATCGAATTGTCACTTTTGATATGTCTAACCAGTGGTTCCATGCAAATTATAAAGATTAATGGGGAGAGGGGACAGCCCTGTCTAGAGCCATTGGATATTTGGAAAGACTGAGATAGGAACCCTGAGTTGAATACTTTGGCTTCTGGATTGGAATATAGGGCCATAATGCCTTTCAGGAAGTCTTGTGGTATGCCCACTGCAGTTAGGACAGCCCTCATGTAAGACCAATTAAGGCGGTCGAATGCTTTTTCCGCATCTAGAGCTAGTAAAATGCCATGTTGGTTGGTTTTTTGGGCCCAGGAGATGAGGTTCAGGAAGTGCCGCGTGTTATCCCCCGGTTGTCTATGTGGGACAAAGCCTGCCTGTTCTGGGGAAACCAGGTCTCTCAGGAGGGGTTGGAGGCGGTTGGCTAATAATTTGGCAAAAAGTTTTATATCTGCGTTCAACAAGGAGATTGGTCGCAGGTTGGCGCATTCGGTAGGTGGTTTGCCGGGCTTAGGAAGTGTAACGATATGTGCTAGCAGCATTTCTTTCGGTATTGTCCCTGAGTCCCTGAAGGAGTTGAAGAGGTTTGTGAGGTGCGGGGTAAGCTGTGTCTTGAATGTGGAGTAAAAGTGGTTGGAGAACCCGTCTGGACCCGGCGCTTTATGTTTGGGCAGTTTGCGAATTGCGTTTTGTATTTCTTCCTCTGTGAATTTGGCTGATAAGGTTGCGCATTGACGTGCCGATAAGTGCGGCAGCTCTGCTCCCGTCAAAAAGGTAGCTATGTCTGTGTCTAATGGTTGGTGTAAAGTACTGTCCTGTGCGAGGTTATAAAGTCCTTTGTAGAAATTGGCCAATTCGTCTACTATATCTTGTGGGTTAAACAATTTTGATCCATTGGACGAAGTCATGTATGGTAGTTTAGATTGTATGTATCGGGATTTTAGACGCTTTGCGAGTAATTTGCCAGCCTTGTTCCCCTGCATGTAGTAGGCGAGCTTTAATTTGCGGAGCTGTCGTTCCACATTTATCAGGGAAATATTGAGTATTTTGTCCCTTAACTTTTCAATAGTACGGGATAGCTTTTTAGATGGTTTGAGTTTATTAATTTGTTCTAAGGATTTAAGTTGGGAATGAAGGTTATCTGACTCGGTGAGGGTTTTCTTTTTGTTAATTGCGCCTGCTTGAATTAATAGGCCTCTTAGCACTGCTTTTAGGGCCAGCCATTTAGTGTCTATGCGTGTGCTGTCGGAAAGATGGTTCTCGAAAAATGATATTATGTTATCCCGAATTTTTGCCGCCGTAGTCTCGTTGTCGAGGAGGGATTCGTTTAGTCGCCAGGCACTGCGCCCCCGTGATGGAAACAAGGCCCTGAAAGTAGTGGTTACCGGCGCGTGGTCGGACCAGGTCCGGTCACCTATTTGCACTTCTATTATATTCGATACTGTATTTTTATCTACCCAGCACATATCTATACGCGAGTATGTGTGATGGACTCGTGAGAAATATGTGTAGTCTCGATCTTTCGGGTAAAGGGAACGCCATGAATCGTAAAGGTCGTGCCTGTGGAGTAGTGTGCTAAGGGTTGCGCTCATTGTGTTAGCAAGTTGGAGAGGTTGTTTGTTTGCTATTCTCTTGATGTCTAGATCGGGGTCTAGTGTGCAATTGAAATCGCCACAGATAATAGTGTGCCCTACACGGATAGTAGCGATTTTATACAGTGCTCTTTTAATGAAGGAAATTTGGGAGTTGTTGGGTGCATAAATGGAAGCAATTGTAAGTTGCATACCATTCAGCGATCCTACCACTACAAGGAGCCTGCCCAGCTCGTCTACATAGGAATTATCAAGATGAAAGACCCAATCAATATGGAACAGAATTGCCACTCCTTTCGTTTTGTTTGGTGCATGGGCATGAAATACCTGCTGGTATCTGGATGAGCTCAGTTTAGGGGGGTTTCTTTTGCACATGTGTGTTTCCTGGAGGCAGACTATGGCAGCCTGGGAAGTATGAATGGTCTTAATCACAGAGCTCCTTTTGAATGGGCTATTTAGGCCGTTGGCATTCATAGAGAGACATTTAAATTGGAACGTCATCTTAAAGAGATATACAATAAAGCTTGTTGGTCACAGCATACTGTCTGCCAGCGACACCCATGGGACCTGTGGATAGATGGTGCGTAGTGTAGAATAAGGGAAGATCGAATGGCTGAGTACGACCTGCACAGATATGGGACAACGGAGCTGCCAAGGGGATGGGAAGGGAATTAACAGGAAAGACAAAATCAACAAACAAAGGTATATACATTAACTCTCTCTGGGACGAGAGAAAATACTGGGATCCGGAGGGGAGCCTAAAGCTCCAAATACCTCGGATACCTTTGGGGGGTCGTGCGGAACAGGGCCGCACCCGGACCAGAATCTTAGAGTAAGCAAGAATGGAACGGAAAATATACGCAAGAGGGTCTGAAACCTGGACAGCATTCTCGCCTGCGCCCCCTCTAAATCCCTGATGCATTATAGTGGAGAAGGGTAACGTAATTATAGGGACATAACCGGGATTGCTGCGGCTGCTTGGCGGAAGGGGTTTTTTTTTTTTTTTTTTTCTTGTGATATATGATACATATTTCCTTCTATTAGGCTGAGCATGGTCGATAGTGTATCTAAAGACGTAATCATAGTTCACAGGAGGCGGCCACTTGGCCATGTGTGTGTTTAACGTTCATGGGGAGGAGGGGGGCCTAGGGAGACCTAGCCCTAGGGCCTACTGGAGTACAGGGGGATGAGATGTTACACATGGGGACCTAAACGAACATTATGACATAGCAGTTTTCAAGAGGGGGGATTACTCCCTTGCAAACATTCCTCAGATAAAACAGTAAAACATGTACGACCTCCCTTATTAGTATGAGCAATACTTAATGGAAATTGTATAAACTTTTTTTTTTTTTTTTTTTTCCTTCATCATGTGAACTATCCTTGCCCCCCACCCCACACCCTCATCCAACAATATGCCACCGTGTACGTTCATACGATACCACTCGTAGCAACTGGGGTCTGTGACCCTTAGCGATGTATAGGCTTAGAGCCCTTGCTTGAGGCATAAGCCAGCTGGAGACAGTTCAGGAGTAAGAGGTAGAAGTTCGTGACGGGCGAGGGCATCGACAGTCAGCACGGTGTCTTCTTATGCAGCTGTAGGGTGCATCAACAAGTGGAGGCAGGGAGATGCTGTCCTGTATGGGATGGCTGTTATCGTCGAGCGCCAACCATCTGCCATTCTGGCTGGGATTTCTTCAGGGTGGTCGAGGCGTTCGGTTGTTGGTGGGTGGCTTCTTGTTGGCCCCAGAGTCCCCAGAGTTTCAGCATGGATAAACCTTTCAGGGGGTCATCTATAGTGTGGAGCTTATTCTGCCGCCAGATCAATAGTTTTGTAGGGAATCCCCAACGGTAAGCCTGGTTGTGGTTGCGTAGGGTTTTGGTAATGGAGGAGAATTCTCTGCGTCTTGCCATAGTGAGGGCCGATAGGTCCGCAAAGATAGAGACAGCGTTATAAGGGTCGGGCAATGTGGCTTGGGCTCTAGCGGCCTTAAGAAGAGCCTCTTTGGCTTTAAAATGATGATAGCGCACGATAATGTCGCGTGGAACCTCCGCGCCTAATCTGGGCGGTTTTGGAACCCGGTGGGCTCTGTCCAGTTCCCAGGTTACCTCTGAGAGGTCAGGGACCAGCGCGGTGCTTAATGCGGTAATGTAGGCCGAGATCTGATCTGTTGATACGGACTCTGCCACTCCCCGGAACCGCACGTTGTTCCTGCGAGAGCGGTCTTCCATATCCGCCATTTTATGCCATAATTTGAAATTGTCTTCTTCTAGTTTCTGTATTCTCTCCGCCATCAGATTGTGGGCAGAGGAGAGATCATCTGTTTTGCGTTCGACCTGGTCGGTCCGGTCACCCAGCTCCTCTAATTCTTGGTGGATGCCCGCCAAGGAGGTGGTAAAATCCTCTTTAATAGTGGACCTGAGGTCCGCGAGCGCTTGTCTCAGATACTCCTTAGAGAATTGTGAGTCGTCTGATAGCGAGTGCGTAGGCGACTCGGTGCAGGGGTCGGGGTCCGGAGACTGAGCTCTGCTGGCGACGCCATCTTGGGCCTGCTTCAGCCTGTCTTTCTTATGTTGGCGGACCGTGTCCGTAAGTTTCGTCTGTTTTGAGGGAGACATTAGGAGCCGTGTAGCCTTATCTCCCGCTGGTTCAGGGCAATCTTGCGAGATTTCCTTGTTAAAAGTGTTTATTCTGGTCCGGGTGTGCGGAGCTCCTACTCCATGCGACCGATCTTGCCGGAAGTTGGACACGCCCCCCTAATATTGCATTTTTTAACTGTCATTAAAAGAATAAAACGAGAAAAAAAATATGTAAACCAGGAATCGGAAGGAGAAGGGAGTGGGTTTCCACCACGGCATGAACTCGCCATAATGTCTCTCATGGGAACCTATATGGTGTCCTTGTAGGCCTGCAATGGCTCCCAAATTTTTTAAAACTACGTTTATCTTTTGTCCGTACTCCCACATCTGATGCTCACCTCCAAGACTTCTCCAGGGCTGCATCTTTTCTGTGTAACTTCCATTTCCTTCTCCGTTAGACTTTCAGCCAGTCTCCAATCCTTCAAAAAATCTTTGAAAACTCACTTCTTCAGGAAAGCATATCATTTAAACTGTTAGCGGGTTTTCTCCCCTCCCTGTGTCCCCCACGGTTTACCAATCCCATGTTAAGTGTTGTAGAGTCGCCGTTGGCCCCAGCAGAGGTACATCCAGTCCCAGTTCTGCAAAACCTAGAGTCCGCCAAAAATTGGAAAGATCACCGGCTAGCTGTATGAACTTCGTTTTGCCATTCGCAAAAGTGAACAACTTGAAAGGGTGCCCCCATGCAAACTGCATCTTGTTGGCACGTAGTGTATCCGCAATCTGTTTCCGCTGCTTTCATTTTTATAAAGTAGTGGGAGCCAAATCTTGATACATTTTCGGCAGAGTATCCTGGTATGTGGCTTCTGAGCTGCGGATACTCCTGTTGAAGGCCTCCACACTGGCAGTGTGGTGGAATCAGAAGATTTCATCCCGTGGTGTGTTGCTTCTTGTTCCCGTCCCTCTCACTGACTTATGTACCCTAACAATGGCCTATTTGTCATCCGTGATGTCAGATAGCAGTGTACGAAACAACTCTGGGCCAAGTTGTGTAAGTGACCCCTCCCCTGATGCCTCGGGTTGCCCCTGGATTCTTATGTTGTGTGTTTGTGATCTTTAAGATAAATCATCCAGCAAGCTCTCTGCTGTCTGGAGTCCACCAGACCTTGGCTGCGTCCGCAATTTTATTATGGGCCCGCACCACACTCTCTATGTGGGTCTTCAGTTCCGCAGTACGGGAACCAATTGCTTGTATGTCAGACTTTAAGGCCTGAGTGCTTTTATCGATTTTGTTTGCTAGGTAGGCCTTATCATTTGTTGTAAAATGCGTGCCGTGTCAGTGGAATACGGTATTGAGGAATCAGTCGGGCCTCTGCCCATTTGAGAAATGATTGTCGCCACTGACATTTACTTTCTGGCATTTTTCTTTTGAGGCAATTTCATGTTAGTGGCTATTTTCCACACACAGTGTAAAGATCTTTTGGGCTACAATAATACATCTTGGCGTTTTACAGAATGGGGATGTAGGTAGGAGCAGAGTATGGTTGTTAATATTCGTGTAGCACCTGAAAACCCAGAATCATACTGGCACCATCAGCTCCGACACTGGAGTAGAGGTTAGTATTTGATTAACATCTCCGTAGGCAATAAATATATATTAAATAAACTGGCTAGCACGAGGAGATGTTATTGGATGAAATTAACTTTAACAGTAAAAGTAATACGTAAAGTTTTCTTTTCTAACTGCTTGTTAATTGATTTATTGTCTTTCAGACAAACGTCTACTGTTCACAAAGTACAACAATTTCAAGCAGTTCTAGAACACAGACTATGTTGTTGTTTTTTTTTTTTTTTGTGAACAGGTTTTTGTGTCTTTCATAAAGTTCATACGCAATACAAAGTTACCTGTTTTGGTTTTGATGTTTTCTTTCCCCCATAATTAGACCCTCTGTCTTATCTATCTTCCGCTCATCATCAGGTCTTAAAATTGACTCTGTCAGCATAAAGTACCGTTGCATAAGAAACTGCTAGTTCAGTGTAGATTTTATTAGTAGTTGTCTTGGATTCTTAATAAAGCCTTTTTAGATGAAGATTGTTTTCTTTGGTAGTATTTGTTAACAATCACAATTACAACAGATCATAGAGTATCTTTCCTTTATTAGTCACCTCTTCATTCACCAATTTATTTCTTCCACAGCCTTTAATGCTCTTTTTTGCCTTTCTCTTACATTGCCCACACCTCTGTAGCAAGGCTTCCTTTTGTTACACCTCCATAATTGTTAGTAATGTTCCACACCACCAAGTTCTATATTTTTTCTTAAGTTCCTGTTGCATTTTTCCTTTTCTTTTTTTTTTTCCAACGTATCGCAAACTTTTACCACACATTATTCTCATGGAAATGTTGCCAGCTCTTTCAGTTTTCTCATTCTCTTGACATCTTAACTCCATCAATTTCTTTGTGTCATTAACTGTTGAATGTTTTTCCTCCACACAGACCCACACTACATCCACATCTGAGAAAGAAGTCAGCCAGTCTTCCCATTCCGAATGTTCCATAACACCCACATCTCAAGCCCAGCCAGTATGTCCTCAACATTCTGACTCAACTCTTGCCTCTCAGAGAGCCGACATGGCTGGAAAAACTCAGAATTCTTCACTCCCTGCTGTGCGACCTGGTTCTTCGTTTGTCTGCAATGCCTCAAGTGCCTTTGAAACTAGCCCCATCCCCAAAGGCCCCCTTTACCAGGGACCAGCACGTGCTGACCTTCCCCCTGACACACCTGCTGATCCCCCAAGAACAGAAACCTTGCCTCCGTCTTTTGACTCTCCTTGCCCTGAGACTGAATCAGAAGCATCTCCACTCAAAAGGTGCCGGCTGCTAACTGACCCTGTTATCACAACTGAAGTCCCAAATGGAGCTACACCAAACCTTCTCTCATGGATGGGCTCCTCGCATTCTTCAAACGCCTTAAATATTCCCGAAATGGAGCTCTCCAAGGGCAAGGAACGGGGCTATAGGTTTAATGGCCGTTCCCGGAGTGAGAGGACTTATGGTCGTTGGCCACGGGGAGATAGACTGTCCGGTTCTAGACATTCTTACTGGAAGTATAATGGTGGAGATGCAACCCAAAATGATGAGGTAGCTGGACGTAGCCAGGAACTGGCACAGCCAGTGCTTGGCATCCCTACATATACCTCTCACTGGCAGGAAGAGGGAGAACAGCCCAGGGAGCAGGAGGTGGAGGTGTGTATACACTTTAATACCCTACTTGTCATACCATCACAAATATTTTTCATGCAAGGCAATTCTTGGTTAGTTCATCCTTAGACTCTTGTGAAACCTATTCTCTACTAATTCTTGCATGTCACTTGTAATGCCTGTGTACTTTTTCTGTCTTTTATAATGCTTAGCGGAATGGTATGAACAATTATGGAAATTATCAGATGCAGAGGAAAACATTGCTTTGTTGGTTTCATTTTTCTAAGAATGCTTGGTGGTATGTTTAAAAGGACAAATTTCCATACTGTAAACTGAATTTCTTCCAGACTGTTGACACCATTACAGTTTCTTAATTTGCTACAAAGGTGCAACTTCTGCAGGGATCAGGAATGGCTGAACTTTCTCTCAGGGCACTGAACTCAGAATAGCCCCGTAGCAAATGGGGTTAAATCATCCGGTGCTTTAAGGGGCCATTCAGAAGTCAAAGTCTGGACATTGTTAAGTTTACTTAAGTGTCTGGATTTTGCAGAGAAGACTCCGTATGAGCCTGAATATGGTCGGATTTCAGTGCTGCCAGCAGGCTGTGATAATGTGCAAAAATGTATCCTTCTGGATGCTTTTGGTCCTGATTTTTAAATCTGTGCTTTGTGAATATTCTGAATCATGTACTTACTGTACGGTTCGTATGCAAAAAGCACAGGTCTTTGTGTGTGTGTATTTCTGTTTCTGTGTGTGTGTGTGTGTGTGTCTGTATATGTGTGTATGTATGTATCTGGAATGTTTTTCTGTCAGTGTGTGTACTTGTGTGTGTGTGTATTCTGCATCAATGTATGAGTGTCTGTGTGTGTGTTAGTGTGATTATATTTGTATCTGTGTGTATCTATGTGTCATTGTGTGTGTAACGGTGTGTCGTGTGTATCTGTGCATCCGTGTGTGTGGAAGTGTATAAACTACACACAAATACATGCCTGCATTCCAACCCCAAAATTCACACACATACTACATACAAAAACATACTTACATTCAAACACAAATTGTTTGTGTGTGTGTGTGTGTGTATGTATGTATGTTTGACGTTGTGGCAGGTTTATGCAATGTATGATCATATACTGTAAGTAAACCCCCATTTTTGCTTAGATTAGGTGTTTGTTTATTTTTGTATTTTTTAAATAATACAATCTGTAAGATGTGAAATGCTGTTTAGTGGATGAATGAGTGCTCTGGATCTTGTGTATTGTATGAATTGGCCCCAGCAGCACCCAATTAATGCATGTTCAGGTGGCTGCAGCCCCCTGTTTTCATTTATACATGCACACACAATATACACAGGCTGCATCAATACACACACATGCACTGCATCCACTACACATGAACTAACACACACCGTGTCCACACTGCATCCAATACTCATGCCCTGCATCCTTTTGAGTGGACTTGGAGGCGGGGCCCAGGGGGCCCAGACCGTGAGCTGTTAGGTGACCCAAAATTTCTCATGGTGCCCCGGCATTCACATAAGCTTGATAAAAGAAGCTGCATAACCTGTGCATGCCATATGTTTTTATAATGGAGACAATGTATCTATTCTCTAAATCAAGATTAGCCACTAAATTAGAAATGCTTCAAATTCAAAGTGAATTTCAAAATTAAAGTAACACTATAGGGTCAGGAACACAAACATGTATTCCTGATCCTATAGTGTTAGAAACCTCTGACCCCCCACTTGCCCCCCTTAATATAGTAAAATCTAACCTTTATTCCAGTCTGCTGCTGCTGGCTTCTTGGCTGATATATTTAGAAGTGATGATCTCATCCAATCACAATGCTTTCCCATAGGAAAGCCAAGGAGGCGGGCCATCGGCGGAGCAAAAAGCCACCCTGGCCAATCAGCATCTCCACATAGGGATGTATTAAATTCCAAGTATGCTTAAACTCCTTCACTCTGTTAACCGCTACCATATTCAAAGCATTATCTATTCTACACGATGCATTAAAATGGAGGTCATAGTCAGTAGTCTTTCAAACTATTTTCTGTAACATTTTTGTGAGATGGATACATAAATGGTGATAACTGCTAATTAGTTACATAAGCTATAACATTAAATGTTACGCTTGTTTAAGTATTTCATTACATTGCTACTTTTTTAGTGTTTTCTAACAATTGTTTTCCACCTTAGGTGCCACCCCAGCTGCTGAAACGCTCCCGAAGAGGAAGGCGAAGGGGCCAAAAGTATGTGTGGAAATTCATAAAAATGTTATATTCAAAAATGTGTCCGTTTCCAGAAAATTTTGGAAATTGAGTTTTCGTTATGTTGTTTAGCCAAATTAACAATTCTCTGGTGAGGATTTTGTATTTTTTTTTTTCTGGGATGCATAGATGATGGATGCTGATCCCAAAACTGTGAGCGCTTTTACATTCCTTTTATCCATGTTTGGAAGCAGCATTTCAAAATGATAACTAAATGAATTTTAAAAACAAAACCTGCAATGTTAAATCGTTAAACCTTTACATCTCTAGAGGTTACCTGTGAGTAGTCTTTAATTTGCATTGTAAGCCAGGCTTTCCTGGCACAGCCGGATCAAATGAAGCAAATGAATTTAACCTTGTGTTGCAATGCACACAGTTAGTTAGTATGGGAGGATTGGCCAAGCACACTTGCTCTTGCAGCACTTCAAGAGTATGCTCAGGTACGCTCGCAACACGGAATGCTGTTGTTAAACACCTAGAAGTGCACTGCGAGATCCTATATTCAGATATAAAATGACTGATCAAGGGGTAAATTGGTTGATATAGAGAGAAATTCCAGATGTTCCCTTTAAATGTTGTGCTCATTCTGTTTGTGAGATGGAAATGGCAGGGGATGATGTACAGTATTGTAAGGAAGCTAACTAATGTGCCTTTCTATTTATTATGGTAGAAATACATTCTGCTTCTCTTAGTAAACAGTCCAGGTGTTTTAAGTTGCAGCTTCCTCTTGAGGTGGAATATACAATTTCAAGGCCAGCTCCTTTCACACTGCTCAGTATTGCACAAGGAACTAGTTATACTTACCTGCCTTGTGTATCCTTCAATGTGACTGAAGCAGTGGTATATTTGCTGACTTTAACTTTGTGCCTATGACATATTTAAACCAGAGAATAACATTTCATTTTAATATGCATTGGGAATACGCCTAGGGCAATGTATCGATTGCATTGTATAGATTGCCTTGTAGGAGCTTTTTAAAGTAGTCCTGTCGTGGTTCCGCTGTTGCTGTATCATGATAGAGTAGAGTAAATGATTTAACTTACGTTTTGTTTTTTTAAAGTTATTTTTAAGCAAGGTGCTGTTTCCACCCAGGCCAAATGACAAATTAGGCTGTCTGTCTGCTCTTGTGATGCCCGTTGTTCACAGCCAGTGGCTTCATTGCCATTATTCCATGTATCAGAGTCTGAGTTATGCACATGAATTGATGACTTCTCAATCAGGGATTGAATTCAGGGCATTTGATGGTTTATTTGGACATAATGTGTGCATTGAGATGTGGAATGGGGGGGGGTCTAACCGTTATAGAACCAATGAACACTTAATGACTATTGCTGGTGGAGAGAACAGAGCTTTTTGTTTGTTTGTTTGTTTCTGGTTCATTTTAAGGATTGCCAATATTTTACATGCAACCTACATTACCTAGCAATCTAACCCTGTACATTTGCTTATTGGTCCAGTTCACAGAGGATGAGCACTCGGCTGGAAGCGGTTCCCTCGAAATGGCCAACTCCTGATCCTGCCAGTGGTTTAAATGTAAGCAATATTTTGTATTCACAGTACAGCCACCGTGTGCATAAAGAGTGAAAACTTGTTTGGTCCTGAAACTCAAGTCTCTTGAAATAGATGAGTTTTATCTCTATAAACAATTGGTAAACCAGGGCTCCACAAATCCCAGCTGCCTGGTCGTCATGGCGACTAGGAATTTTGTTCTAGCGCCTGGCTACCTTAGGACTTTTTTTGGATACTGGGTATTTGTGCACCTAGAGGTTATTAGGCAGCAGTGTAAACACTGTAGGGACTGTCTATATACACCAAAAGCACTATATTAAGCTGAGGTCTCGATTCACAGGGCTAGAATGAAGCGGCAGAGGAAAGGTTTGTTCTACAAGCTGAAAAGTAGTGTTAAGCAAAGGGAAAGGGCATATAGAAATATTTTTCGTTTTTGGTTTGTATGCACCTACCAAGTCAGAGTGTATCCACACTGAGGTTGATGGCACTTTATAATTCCTACATCTTTAACGTCTAGTTTAGATCATAATCTGCATATGGTCATCTAACGGTTAACAGGTGTAATTGACTGACTTTCTAGATTAGATGGATATCCGTTATGCATTTGGCACTGATCCTCAATACAGTTTCTAACTATGAATTTCTGTTGTCTCCAGGCAGACCGCCCCATCGTCAGGCACAACAGACCTGGACGCCCTGCCAAGAACAGAAGGCGGAGGATGATTTAGCAGATTTCGCTGGCTCTTCTTACTCTTATTGCGCTTATCCCAATTCTTTCACAGGCACTTCCTTCGACACCCCTTCCACATGTTTCTCTGAGTACAGCAAGTGATCGATCTATGCCTTTTATTTAAGCTCTTCCGTTTTCTATACAGAAGGATCACCCTTCAGATTGAAGCCAGAATACATGTTCAGTTTCTCCCACTCAACTCAGGAGATAACTAGGGCTTTCCCTTATCTTCCCCAACAGCTAGCAAATTCTGATCACTTGCTATATCATGGCCTTATTAACCTTCAATGCTATGGGATCCTTGTTTTTAAGGAATGTTACCTGTCCCTCGACAGGGCTTTTTATCACTTGGACCTACAGTATATATGAAATATGATAATACTTAATATGATAACACTTAATCCTATTTATCAGTGGAATTGTGCAAAATCGAATTATTATTTTTTTGTACATTTGTGTACACCCTCAAAAATGTTATTTACCTCCTCCACATTACTTTGGGTTTAAGCATCTCACTCTGGCTTGGCAGCCGTTTCAAGTGTGTCTTATCAGGTGTTAATTGATCTGTTTTACCCTCCACTTTGACTTTCTATACACATTGTAAGTAGTAGTTGTTCCACAACCTAATAGGGTCCCATCAGGGCCACTCTAGAATATATGAGCCATAAAAATGCTGCCTCTTTGCTCTCGAAAGCACAAATTACATTATCTGCAACTTCTTTCCTCCTTACACTGGTTTGGGATTTGTTTGAAGCTTTTTGGTGTGTATTTGTTTTGAGATTTTTTATTTTATTATTATTATTATTATTTGACCCTTTTAAGTTATTTCCCCATTAACAGTTATTTTTTTCCATACCGTATAACTTTCCCTTTAGCACGGTTTGACATTTGGTAATACAGAACAGTAGTTCCCAACACAGTTTTCAAGGCATAATATTTGTCCATGACTTAAGAATTTCCTAATTCTGTGTCTTTATTTTTACCAACATAGAATCTGCGTGATGTACATATTGCAAGGTCTCTCGTAGAACCTGTGTGATGTACATACTGCCAGGTCTCTAATAGAATCTGCGTGATGTACATATTGCAAGGTCTCTCATAGAACCTGTGTGATGTACATACTGCCAGGTCTCTAATAGAATCTGCGTGATGTACATATTGCAAGGTCTCACGTAGAACCTGCGTGATGTACCTACTGCCAGGTCTCTAATAGAACCTGTGTGATATACATACTGCCAGGTCTCTGGTAGTCTGACATCCAATACCATGCACTCATGCCAATGAGAATCTGTTAAAAAAATAAACTTGGCATATTTATTTAAATTTGTAGGGTACATTCTAAATACTAGCTCAGGTTCATCATTCAGACGACATTCATTATCTGTTTAATGGTGTAAGTTGACATCCATCGCAGTTATTGGAAGGGCACATATGTGTAAAGAGAAGGTGTGAAATAACAGCATTTGGAAAGCAGTATAGGTATTCTGTCATCTTTATCAAGAAGGATAACTCCTGCCAAGCACTTCATAAGTATTACGTGGGAGAAATACAGAAAACAAATTCCGTCCTTATCCATCAGAACTATTGTAAAACACTTTCAGACTATACATAATGAGCAATTCTGGCTATTCGTTTCCATGGTGATTATAGTACTAAGCCCTACAGTTGCTCTTTATACTTAAACCAAAATAATACTTAACACTACATGTGAGCACTCTATATTCTTAAATGCATAACATTAATTTATTTTTCTTTTCTTTAACCCATTAAGGACACACATGACATGTGTGAAATGTCATGATTCCCTTTTATTCCAGAAGTTTGGTCCTTAAGGGGTTAAAAGCATTCTCATATATCAAAATACTTGACTAGGATTCAGGGATATCATGTATTTTACTTAAGATTGTGAAGATTTTGATTACCTTGTGTTACTGCTGCCTACTCTTTGGTTAAATTAATCACTACGTACAGGACTTCTGATAATCATGTTTCAAGAAACCTTTCTAATATATAAAATTGTAATCGGAATTCAAGAAATATGTGTTCAACATCTACTTTTAGGAGTCCTTCACTACTCATAGATAACCAGTTGGGTTCTGAAAGGCAGGGTTAGATTAATGTAATCTTAATCTTGGAGCCAGACAACAATTAGCCAGTTGACAGCCGAACTGCTGCATTCACTCAATTCGTCATGTAACAGCTGAACCCTTAATTCACTCACAACACACCGAATAACGTATAGCTGTCAATTCACATACACTTCTCATGTATTTTCCACTCGGCTTCCACATCAAATGTGGCTTCCTTATACATCCCAGTGTGACACCCATCTCACATAGAACACCCCACATCACATAAATCACACAAAACACACATATGTTATTGTTTCTGGTACAGCAGTTGCCTTGTGGATTTAAAAAGCTGCATGGGGCACTGAGGTTTGTCGGTCATTGTGCTAATTTGTCACACAATCTTGTCATATCACTCACAAGGAACCAAAGGACTTGGGTCACAAGTGACATGTCACTTTCTAATGAATGCATTCATAGTAATTGGTCAGAAAGCATCTTGCTTGTTACTGACTCCGCCTTTAATACATAAACCAATTAAAACCAGTGGCTATTACTGCGTAATAGGACATTTTTCAAGTCTAAGACTGAGAATTTAAGGAACACACCAAACACCTCAACTAAAGTTCACTGTGGTTGTTATGGTACCTGGAGTGCCTAATATTATAAGTAGTCAAACTGTTTTAAAATTGTTTTCTTATCTGGTGTCTCTCTACAGCCTCCAGGAGAGCCGGAAGCTTTTGCGTAGGAGCGTCCATTTGATCACCTCAGGGCGTTAGCTGATAGGACTCAGCCAGTGAACTAAGCCATGAACAGCTGCACTTAGTTCAAATAGAGAACTTCCAGCTAGGGAGGGGGCTGCAAGGAGACATGAAGTGGCCCTTGTCAGACCCCAAGTAAGAAGTCCAACCATTGTTAAACAGTTTGACTAATTAAGGAAGGGGAGGATTAGCCAGGTTACTCCTGGCATTACAGCATGCTCTGATGGTTAGGAGTCTTGGAATGGAGTGAAAAAAAGCTGTTCATGAAATCTTTGGTAATCACTTGTTTTATAGGATGAGGAGGAGCCATAGGAAATCTTGCAATCTAATGATGTTTGGATAGTTGAAATTTTTAGCTTATACCATGCTTGTCAGCAATTTCTAAATACCGGCGGTTAATTGGAGTGAGTTCTGTCCGGAGTAGTACAGTTGGATACATATTGTCAGATCGTTTTATAGATATGCCAGTATGCCTTGTCATTATACAAGCCACCAAATTTACAATTTTCTGTATTTCTTAATCTAATCCCAATCAAAACAGACTTTGCTACGTTTAATGACCCCCAGTTTATTTAATTCGATGTCTAATTTTTTCATTTGGTTTCTACCTGATTGTAATCCATCATAATTTTAATATTGTATGTCAGTTTTATTTAATGAAAAGGAAAGTGAACTTCTCTATGGACCCATTATGGACTAATAGGCTTGTTAAGCATGTCTCAGACTAATAAATTCATTTATGAGGCTCATTCATAATGCTGATCAGTATATACAGTTCAGCACATAGCTAAATGCTGCTGGATCAGATAACCAATACAATGGCCAGTTGTAATTCAGGTGCTTACCAAGGTAAAGTTTCTTGAAAACTTTGCTCATACGTCCACTATCTGCACAGAAAGATCCATACACATCGGACCTCGATGTCTATAATGGACATCTGACTAATTGCATATATATTTTGCATTATAATGCCTTGAAACTTATTTTAACTTATTAGATGTGTTTTAAAGGGAAACAAAGAGCCATAGAAGTAAGTGTAACATTTATTTATTACTCTCAAAATAATTGCTCATTTATTGCCTGCAGATACATCTAGAAATTTGCATACTATAGGGAGGCATTGCCGTACCTGTCCCAGAAAGATTGTGGTATGGTCACACATTAATTTTAAAGAAATAATATATTGCTAGAATGTTTTGGGGGTTTTGTTGGGTTTTTTTTGTGGTTTTTTTTCTCACATATTTATTCCATGTAGGCTAACTTTGCAAATCTACTATCAACATACACTATCCTATCCCATGTCCTTTGAAGAATTTACTAAAGGATTACAATTCAATATGATACGACTGATTAGATCAAGGTTTAGGTTTAGGTTAGATCAAGTAAAGGTTCTTTAAATATTACCTTACGTTAATCATGGGATCTGCTTACCTGATTACTGGTAGTTGAGGTTTAGCATGTTTTGGTCAGATCATGCAATTTTTTGGGGGAGCTCTATACACTAAACACTGGTGATCGTAACTTGCATCCTTCTCCATATGGGGTGTTATAATTCATTGGATAAAATTTGTCATTTATATATTAAGCTCATTAGCAGTCATTTTTGTGCCTTATTCTAGCATGCAAAAAATGTCAATGTCATTAAGACTTGTAAAATTTTGAAGATCTGCTTTTCATACGTATAAAATTTGACAGCATTTCTGATGTATCATGGAGCAATTTTGTTGTTGTATTTCACAACACATTCTGGCACCTATTTTACCATATGTTCCATTTCAAAGCAGACAAATGAGTGCCAACACATCAAGACCAAAATGTATGAAATCTTGTGGTTTAGTGAACTAATGCAGTAAAACAAAATGTAAAGAGTCTTGTTTACCACATTCAAAGACATGTTTATCACTTAATAATGACCTTTCATTGCAATGTAAATGCATTGTGTTTCCACTTGTTTGTTAAAAACAACACTGTCTTGAATACTGCTGGTGAGATATTAAGGGAGTTAATTACTAAAGTGATAATTGTTGGCAATTCTAAGTCAATTTCAAGATTAAGGCCAAAATCGTTAAACTGCATGTTACTTTGAATTTTTCCAGTTTAGCTATTTTGGCCTTAGATTTTGAATTCACTTTAAATTCCTGATAATTCTCTCTCGCTTTAGTGATTAACACTATATATGTTATTTCTTACCTGGGAACAGTGTGTAATCTACAAGGGATTTGCCCATTTTTGGACAAAACAGCCAAAATTAGGGTGGGCTGGGGGGTGGAATGAAAACTTTGAACTTTGCTATCGTGGCTTAAAATTTCCAGTCCCTTTTGTAAAGTAATAACACTTCCTGCTTTATCCTGGTAGTGACTGGTCAGCATGTGGTCAGAATCTTTGGCTGTGCACCTTGTCCTCTATAGTCAGCACTGTCCAAGTTAATAAGCAATAATTCATGCATGCAAATAAACATCACACTCAATAGGTGTTACTACTAAACCAGAATTAACAGCTATCCATCCCCCTATCCTGTTGACTTACGCTCAACATGCTTTGTAAGACAAATCGCAGTAGGAGCTCCAACTGCCCTATTGGCTTGCCGAGCATCGTGGGATCTTTAGTTTTACAATAGTTGGGAAGGCGACTTTTTGGGTAACCTTTGCCTAAACCAGGAAATGTAGCTTTGATAATACCCAGTTACTGCACACTACAAGTAGCTCAATAAAGACCCACCACTGGGTGATCAAAAAGCCTAACACCTTACATGTTGAAGGTTATGAAGCGGTTAATTACAAAGTGCTTCAAGTCTCTTTCGCAGGGCGTGGGTTTAATTTGTAAACTCAATTATGCAAATGTATAACCTGTTATTTGATTATTGTAAATATTGTATAGTCCCATATTTCTTGTACATGTTTATGGCAAAAACAAATAATGACAAAAAAACAAAACCATTTTGTATCACTTTCTGCCTTTACTTGTAAAATATTTCCCCCTTTTAAGTTTTTAATATTTTTTGTAAAAAATCAAAAAAACATAAAAACAAACTTTTACAATTGTGAATTTTAGCTTTTTTTATATGGAAGTCGACATTAATTTAACAGATGAAAATATTTTGAAAACGTTTTTAGATTTTATGTTTTCTGATTGAGGGGTTGTTTTATTTTGTATCAAGTATTAAAATGAAAAGTGTGGTAATATGTTTAAATACAGTTTTTGTGTGCCTTTATTTTATTTTGTCCATTTGGTTCATGGTTTTTGTGGGTAATTAATTATAGGTACATATAGTGAAAATGATATATTTATATTGTGCACATGCTTTATTGAAGCATGTGCATAATATACCTATAGTGAAGTGACCATTGAACAAATTGTACGCGCGCTTTGTCAACATTTTCCTATGCTTCTTATGAATGTAAAGAAGAAGAAAAAATAGGTGTGCCTTGAAATGTTTTTTCTCTCATTGAAGTATGTAGACTCTGATCCAAAAAAAGACTGTGGAACACTGGCCTAGTTTGCACAGTGTAGGAGGTCATTTCTGGTCTATTGACGCTTGTGGCACAAGACAGGAGCCTCCGTGAATGTATATAGGGCTTAGGACATGACCATAACATTCCTTAACTGTGCATCGACAATAGTCTGTGAGATTTATTGGTCACTTTAGATTAGCTGCCACTCATTGCCCATTTGCTTCCGTTTGCAGTAACAATTGAGGCAGTGTGTATTGTAAGAGACTAAAAAAGAGAGGCCTGGTAACATGGAACAAAAAGGGAAGTGGCTCCTGGACTCATTTACAAGTCAGATCCACACTGCTTTTACTATGGGGAAGACATAAAAGAGGAATGAGTCATGAGCGTACCTAGAGCACTTGGCACCTGGGGCGCGTCCTATTTTTGGCACCCATCTCCCACCCCAACTGCATGAGTGTATTTGTGTGTAGTGTTGGCGAGATTTTGAGATGTATACACTGACACACATACAGATACACATTGACACACATGCAGACATAGTGGCGACTCTACGAACAATATATAGGCGGAGCCACATAAGATACCACAGTCAAAACAGGGGGGAGGGGAGGGTGAGCACTAAAACATTTCACTAGGCGATGGGGTAATGAGCTGCCATTGGCTGTCTGATGCCAGCATGCTGTGCTCTGCATGCTGGCAAGTGACAACACATTTGCATAGAATTCAAATTAGCCACCCACATTTCTTGTTGTGGGCTGGCTGACACCTCTTAACTTTGTTCTTTGTTTATTAGATAACTCTCCTATTTGCTATCCTTATGTGGGATTGCCATATTTAAGGATGCCAAATAAGGAGCTATCTGCTAAACAGCACCCTCATTTGGTATCTTTAAATATGGAAATTTCACATAAGGGCACCAATTTAGGGAATTATCTATTTAACAGCTAAAAGATCAAAATCTACAAAAATCCCTTTTCTTAATTTCAGTTGTTTAGTAGATAAATCCCTAATGTGTTATCCTTATGTGGGATTACAATATTTAAGGACACCAAATAACTCCCCTATTTATATACACACAATAGATGTATTTCTGTGTGTGCAAATGTGTATGTATGTATGTATGTATATATATATGTATATATATATATATATATATATATATATACACAATCAAAGACATAACCACATACATAATCACAACACAACCACAGAGAGACACAATCACACACATAATCACAGATATACACAAACATTACATACATGCATGCACACATTTAATAATTAAGAGGTCCATCCAGTCTCCCTACCTTGATGGGCTGGAGTGGATCCTCAGTCCCTGGTGGTCTGTGGTTGCTGCTGGGATCTCTGTGCTCTTCCATCACAGGTCCCTCACGCGCCCTGTAATGATGCCGAGGCCGCAATGACATAATATCCCGGCTGCCGGTGTTCTATCATTCTGCTATACCCCGTCAGATTGCTATACCCCGTCACTTCCGGGGAGAGGAATCAGTTGGCACTCCTGCTACTCCTCCACAGCAAGGTCCGGGAAGGTAAGTAAAACTAGTTTTACACTTTCATTATAGTTAGTGCATTCACTAAGCTTAGAACATGGGACATTTAGGGTTAATGTTAGGGTTCAAATTAGGGTTAGGATTAGGGACTTGTTCATATTTAGTGATATTTCACAGGGGAATATCACTAAATAGTGATTTCTCACACTTTATTTTAACCCTTACCCCACGGGTTAGGGTAAGAATAGAGTGTGAGAGAGGTTAGAATCACTTACCTAACCCTAATTTGAACCCTCACTTAACCCTAAATGTACCATGTGCCTAAGCTTAGTGAATGCACTAACTATAATGAAAGTGTAAAACTAGTTTTACCTTCCAGGACCTTGCTGTGGAGGAGTAGCAGGAGTGCTAGCACGCATGTGCAGCACAGGATCCAGCTGATTCCCCTCACCGGAAGTGTCGGGGGTATAGCAATTTGACGGAGTATAGCAGAATGATAGAACACCGTCTCTCTGCAGGGTGAAGACCGCCAGCCACACTCAGATGCACACAGACAGACACAATCACAGTTGCTCACAGTCGGCTTGGGCAGGAGGAGTAGTTTATTCAGTGAGTCCCTGGTGTGTTGGAGTTGGGAAAGCAGGGACTCCTTCCCCTCTATGTGCAGCAGTAAGAGGCTGCCTTAAGTTCCACCCCTGCGTCCAACTTGGGGCCGCCCCCATGGCTGATCTGGCTCTGCCCCAACTCTCAGTGCAGAGCTCCTGCTCCCACCCCCAGCTCTTAATACGCCACTGGAATGAGTAGACGTATAACCAGTATTCTCGACGTCACAAAGGTACAGGGGACTTTGGATAAAATGGCATTTCCACATACTTTGCTATCTTGCCTAGATATTATTGACAAAATATTAATATGAAGGAGCCTGCACCAGTAGTCCTTTTAATAAGGTTAACATTATTACATAAATAAAAAAGAACATTAATCCCTACACAACCAAACACTTTTTTGTGGGGGGAAAAAAAATTATTGGCTTAACATGTATTTGAAGCAAGGAATGCATAACTAGCATATAAACATATCATAACACAGTGGTTATGTGCATAGATTGCTTTGAAGACAAACTTAATTATGCCATATACATTTTGGTCCTGTCCAACTGGTGTTTTCCAATCGAGGCCTTGGGGAGCAACAAACTCAAACTGGCACAAACACAGCTGAGTAAGTACTCCAATTTATTAGAACAAAGCAAGAGTTTATAGATTCAAGACTTTCAGAGGTGTGTTAATTAAGCAAACTGAGACGTTTTGTGCAATCATATTGCAGAAAAAGATTTCTTATCATGAGAGCGATTGCCTTTTCTAAATCATAATGAGGGGGTTTGTACTTTTTATTGCTAGAACAGTCTAATGTATGTATCAACAGAGCTTGTGTAATACCAAACTGGCTTTAGCTTAGTGAAAGACTAAGTAAATTTGAACTCTTTCAATCCCTCCTTTTATTCTGAAAGAATTATTATTATTTTGTTATTGATATAGCGCCAGCAAATTCCATAGCGCTGTACAATGGGTGGACTAACAGACTTGTAATTGTAACCAGACAAGTGAACGCACAGGAACAGAGGGGTTCAGGGCCCTGCTCAATGAGCTTACATTCTAGCTACAGGGAGTGGGGGTAACAAAGTAGGTTGTTAGAAAGCTATTCACTAAGGACTTAATAGGTTATTTTTGATAGATGCAAGAGAGGAGACATGAGGATATGATAGAAGACATTAAAGTTGCGAAGTGTAAATCAGTAGGGTTTAATATGTGGGAATAGGGTCATCAGGATGTAACCGGGATGGACCCGTTAGCGTGTTTTGTGAGTAGTGTCTTTCCATAGGTTGGCTCAAAATCAACTGTAGAACTTAGTGAAACTTGGAAATGGATAGGATGGGATAGGTTAATAGCTAACAGAAAGGAGTAACTAAACATAAACAAAGAGAATATGTCAAAAGATACTGTGACCCATGTCTTACCAGCTGGAGATCTGAGCGGGGACCCACTGAAGGGCAGGGTAATTGAGCTGTTGTCCTCCCCTCTCTTGCTACTTGTTTTTCGCTCCATGTAAGCCCAATACTTCAGTGGCCATGAAAAACCCATATACCTCCTTGAGGGTGGGGAGTTACCTCAACAATGCAGACATCTACCCCTAGTTTTGGTGCAAGATAATTTTAATAATATTGAGGTCTGGAACCTTTACACATTGCAAAAAAAATATAAACATATGTTTCAGAAGTTGCAGCAAGCGTTGGAACACCCAGAAAATTAAATTGATCATATTAAATATGATCTAAAAAGGAAGATGATTAATAAGCATGCAACAATCTTTCTACTAGTATTACCTAGCAAATTGCCTATACCAAAGGTCTAATCTAAATCTCCTAGCAACCCTCGGTCTTGTCTAATTCTAGTCTGGACTTCATTTACAACTTGCAAATCATGTTTTATTGCTTGTTCTTATTAGTATTGTAAGTATATCATTGATCACCTACTATCTTACATATCCCAGATTGGACTGCCAATGGATAGTCCAAGGACGTTCTGGAGGGTGTTTTCTTGTAGGTTGTTTTTTTTCCCTGTGATTTTTCTGGGCATTTAGCAAAACAATGATATAGGAGGCATCTAGATCTAGCCTTTCACACTGAGAAAAGTCAACTGTTAGACAGAAAAATAAAATAAGTGTTGGCAAAACAAAGAATCCTGCTATATCACAACCATATGCAGGGACATGAATTACATATTAAAACACCCTGCCTAAGGTTATATACACTGCTCAAAAAAATAAAGGGAACACTTAAACACAATCTAACTCCAAGTCAATCACACTTCTGTGAAATCAAACTGTCCACTTAGGAAGCAACACTGAGTGACAATCAATTTCACATGTTGTGCAAATGGGATAGACAACAGGTGGAAATTATAGGCAATTAGCAAGACACCCGCCATAAAAGAGTGGTTCTGCAGGTGGTGACCACAGACCACTTCTCAGTTCCTATGCTTCCTGGCTGATGTTTTGGTAAATTTTGAATGCTGGCGGTGCTTTCACTCTAGTGGCAGCATGAGATGGAGTCTACAACCCACACAAGTGGCTCAGGTAATGCAGCTCATCCAGGATGGCACATCAATAAGAGCTGTGGCAAGAAGGTTTGCTGTGTCTGTCAGCGTAGTGTCCAGAGCATGGAGGCACTATCAGGAGACAGGCCAATACATCAGGAGACGTGGAGGAGGCCGTAGGAGGGCAACAACCCAGCAGCAGGACCGCTACCTCCGCCTTTGTGCAAGGAGGAACAGGAGGAGCACTGCCAGAGTCCAGCAAAATGACCTCTAGCAGGCCACAAATGTGCATGTGTCTGCTCAAATGGTCAGAAACAGACTCCATGAGGGCCTGACGTCCACAGGTGGGGGTTGTGCTTACAGCCCAACACCGTGCAGGACGTTTGGCATTTGCCAGAGAACACCAAGATTGGCAAATTCGCCACTGGCACCCTGTGCTCTTCACAGATGAAAGCAGGTTCACACTGAGCACATGTGACAGACGTGACAGAGTCTGGAGATGCCGTGGAGAACGTTCTGCTTCCTGCAACATCCTCCAGCATGACCGGTTTGGCAGTGGGTCAGTAATGGTGTTGGGTGGCATTTCTTTGGGGGCCGCACAGCCCTCCATGTGCTCGCCAGAGGTAACCTGACTGCCATTAGGTACCGAGATGAGATCCTCAGACCCCTTGTGAGACCATATGCTGGTGTGGTTGGCCCTGGGTTCCTCCTAATGCAAGACCTTATGTGGCTGGAGTGTGTCAGCAGTTCCTGCAAGACGGAGGCATTGATGCTATGGACTGGCCCGCCCGTTCCCCAGACCTGAATCCAATTGAGCACATCTGGGACATCATGTCTCGCTCCATCCACCAATGTCACGTTGCACCACAGACTGTCCAGGAGTTGGCAGATGCTTTAGTCCAGGTCTGGGAGGAGATCCCTCAGGAGACCATCCGCCACCTCATCAGGAGCATGCACAGGCGTTGTAGGGAGGTCATACAGGCACTTGGAAGCCACACACACTACTGAGCCTAATTTTGACTTGTTTTAAGGACATAACATCAAAGTTGGATCAGCCTGTAGTGTGTTTTTCCACATTAATTTTGAGTGTGACTCCGAATCCTGACCTCCATGGGTTGAAAAATTAGATTTCCCTTTTTTAATTTTTGTGTGATTTTGTTGTCAGCACATTCACATGTAAAGAACAAAGTATTTCAGAAGAATATTTAATTCATTCAGATCTAGGATGTGTTATTTTTTTGTTCCCTTTATTTTTTGAATAGTGTACATTGAAGAAAGTTACTGATACTGCACATTATTTGGTCTAATGAAAACAGTCTAGATAGGTATGTCAAAGGACACAACCAACACTAGATAGACAATGCTAAAATGGTGAATAAACAACAATCAAGCTAGGTAAACAAACAGATGACTTATACACAGAGATAATAAGTAGCATGACACCTAAGGGGCACCCCAGGTAGTAACCTTTGATTAGATTGCACATGGTCAACATTGCTAGATGCCTCTATGAGGCTGAATTAAGCTAAACAAACTGTATGACATATGGTACCATGTGTAGGGAATACTCAAAAGTAAAATAAGGAAAAAACATCACATTGTGTGAAGGCATCAGCGGGGTGTAATGTTGGCCTGCAGGCGTTCCAGTCCTTGTCATCTCATGCCCCTCAGGGGCATGTTATATACCCATGTCAGTCAGCAGGAGTAAGAGCCCAATCGTGGGCCGCAGGATCATCAGAGCGAGTGTAGTCGAATCTAGCTGCAGTTCCCAGGGCCTTGTCAGGTCGGGCGCTCACGGTAGGGCTGGTTCAGACAGTCTCTCAAACTGTCCTATCAGTGATATGCGTTTGGCTTCCCTGATGTTGTGCCTGCCCAGGTGCCTCCGTCATGTTTGGACATGCCTTCATCTTGGCGTCCTTCTCCGAGTGCGCAACAATGGTCTGTGGCAGGCCTAGACTCGAAGCCCATGCAGGGCATTGCTGTGGTGACACTCACTGACTCTGCTCTCCAGAAGTTGTCCAATATGTGAGCCAGCCTCAAAATCAAGCTGTGCAACTCTGATGATAGGGAGACATGCTGTCCCCTCCATGTTGGGTAAGTTGGAGCCGATTTTATCCAATCCACCTAAGTGGACTGTCTTGTTGGGCCCCAGGTGCCCCTCAGGTGTGGACAGTGTTCAACCCTACAGGACCAATTCGGGGGAACGAGGCTATTGCAGGATAGCTGCCTCTGAGCTCCCACTGATCAGGCGATTGTCCACCTTTCCAGTCTGGAGCACACTAGGCTGCATTAGTCACAGTGGGGTGAGCAAGTTCGTGGTAGGTTGCTAGTCACTGTTTTGCTTATCAAGTAGGTCAGTAGACTACTCCTTCTTGTAATTAGGCTGTATCGAGCCAGAGAGATTTACAAAACAGCAGATTTTGTCAGTGAAGTGGAGGAGCTCTCACTAAATGCATCTCTCCACCCTGACAGTCAAGCCCCCACCCTCACATTTTACTATTTTTTATGTGACGTAAGTTGAGAACATTTTCTGATATTCATTTTGACATTCTTTATTTTTGTTGCAACATGTTACTGGTACAGTTTTAACATTGGTATTTGACACATTTTAACAAGCTTTAATAAACTCAATGAACCCTTATGTCATTCAGGATTTTTCAAAAATTTGTATTTCTCAGTAGGATTGGGTCAGTTTTTGCAGAGAGGGTCAGTTGGGGTCCCTGGGCAAGTCAAGCTGGGCTCTTAGTGTTGGGCCTGCTGGTGGGGCATTGTTTATGCGTTCTGCGTTAGCTAGGGTTTGGCCAAGAGATCATGTGGGCATGTGTATCGATCTTTAGGCTGTGTGTTGTGGCTATGCTTCTCTGGTTGGGTGTGTCCCCTCTCACCGCATCGGAAGGGGCATGACCCTTCTTGTGAATATTCCCCCTGGGGACCAAACTCGGTCAACCTCTATTCCCCGGTGACGCTACGTGTAAGTTAGGGCCCTCATGTCAACTTCGAGCACGTCCCTCCCCCCCTAGAGAGAGGGGGGGCACCCCATGTGGGTAATATTTGGTGTGCCAATTGTCATAGCCGTCTATATTTCTTGATGGGAACAAGAGCGTTGGGGTCATCAAGTGTTTGGTGGTGTTTTGCCTTTGTGTTAATCCGTTTGGCTATTGTGCCTACGATCTTGGTGCCCTGGTTGCAGGGTCAGGGTCCCATCTAGCTGTGTCACCCTCCGTCCTCCCCCCTGTCGCCCTTGCCCATGTCTGGTGGCGGGTCCCTCTGGGGAAGGTCTCCGGTTCCCCGTCCGGCCACCTGAGTGTGGTTTCATCCGCATAGGGCCTTGTCTCCTCCAGTCTTGTACACCTATGTCTGGGTCTCTATTTGAGTGTGTGTCCCCAGATCCATACCGGGGAGGGGTCGCTGTCTGGTGCTACTGGTCTGGTCTGCCCTGGTAGGGTGGTGTCAGTAGGGGTAGGGGTGCAATATTCCTGCCCAATGAGTACTGTTTTTTCGGGGGTACTCCAACAGGTCAGTTGTCATGTATCAGTCTAGGGTTTGTTCCTCTGTATTAGGGTGCGGAGCGAGGTGGGGTGGGCCAGTGGGGTAGGGTGTGGGAAAATAAGTTTTATGCTTCCTCGGTCCAGCTCTTTCCTGCTCTACTCAGCCTCCTCCCTAGGCCCCGGACGGGCGGCCTCCCGTCAACCCCTTCCCTGGTCGGCTACATATGTAATCCATGGCACCCACAGGCGGGTGCAGCGTTCTTGTGTTCCGCGGAGCTCCGAAGAGAGGGACTCCATTGCATAAAGATCATCAACCTTGTCCATCCACTGTGAGATGGTGGGGATGTCTGATGATTTCCATCTGGCAGGGATTAGGCTTTTGGCTGCATTAAGGAAATGTCTAATGAGGGTTTTCTTGTAGCGCCCTATTGGCATCTGAGTGTGATTGAGTAGCATGGGGAGAGGTTCCATGGGGATGTCCGCATCTAAGATTTCAGTGAGTTTGTCGTAGATCTGCTGCCAGTAGGTGGTGATTCGAGGGTAAAACCACCAAATGTGCAAGTCCGTCCCCTCAGCAGTTTCGCAGTTTTTAATTTTTATAATTAAGTTCTTGCATTTTGGAGCTGAGTATTCCTTGGTGAGAGAGGACATGTATTTTCTCCCACTTCTGTTCTGTTAGAGTGACTCCCGTTGCCTGTTCCCACTTTGAGTGGAAATGTGCCGGTGGTCCCTCGTCTGCCACTAGGAGCATAGCGTATAAGGTCGAGACGCCGCAGGGCGGATATTCTCCCCTAGAGCATAGCGTTTCAAACTGAGTGAGGTTTCTGTGGACTTGGTGTTTCCCCTGTAGTGTAGCATAATATCGGTGTACCTGGTTATATCTGAATCGTAAGATGCCTGTCACTCTGGTCTGGTTTAACATGTCCTCTAATGGCCTTAATTCATTGTTTGCACACCATGCTTGTAGGTGCTGTGCTGCTCTCCCTCCAAAGCCCTCAATGTCTCTCTGCGACAGACCGCCTGCCAGGTCTGGGTTGTGTATCACTGAGGTCAGGGGTGTCGGGTTGGTTGTAAGCTGTAGCTTGAATCGTATTTCTGTCCATGTTCTCAGCGTCGCGCCTATGAATGGGTGGGCCTGCAGTTCTCTGTCGCGCATCGGGTTTTGTGTCCATACCATCGGTGGGATGCGTCCCCCAGCTTGGGTCCACCCACATGAACTTCAGTATCGCTGAACCCAGGGAGTTGAAGTAGGCCTGTGGAATCGTGATCGGGATGGCTTGAAAAAGATATAACAGGCGTGGCAACAAGTTCATCTTCACTGCGTTTATCCTCCCGAACCACGATACACACATGCATCCCCATCTAAGCATGTCCGCTCGGAGCGTTTGGAGGATGGGGAGAAATTTCTCTTGGTATAGCCGTGTCAGATCCTTGGTCAGCCAAATACCGAGGTATTTTACACGTTGCTGGCACCATTTGAAGGGGAACTCCGTTGTCAGCCGTTCAACCAGTTCGGGGGGCAGAGACAGGGGAATGGCCTCCGACTTGTCCGCATTGAGTTTTAGGTTAAAGATCTTTCCGAACCTGTCAAATGCAGTTAGTAAGTTGGGCAGAGTGACCAGTGGGTTGCTTACGAAGAAGAGAAGGTCATCCGCATAGGCCGCCACTCATGTACCTTATCGCCACGGGCGACCTCCGTGATGCCCCCGTCCTGTCTGACCGCCTCGAGAAATGGTTCCAGAGAGAGGGCAAACAGAAGGGGGAATAGTGGGCACCCCTGGCGCTTGCCGTTACCTATCTTGAACGTTGTGGACAGGACCCCATTGATGCGTAATTGTGCGGTCGGGGCCGTGTACAAAGCGGAGATCCACTGAAGTATGTTAGGTCCGAACCCCATTGCCCGCAGCGTATCTAGTAAGTACCACCAGTCCACCTGATCAAAAGCCTTTTCGGCATCGGTGGAGAGAAGGAGGCTTCCTCCTGTCGAGTTCTGTTGCATGTGCATGATGTTTAGCGCTCTGGTGGTGTTGTCCTTGGCTTCTCGGCCCAGTATGAATCCGGTTTGATCTGGGTGGACCAGGGATGGGACTATTCGGCCTATGCGGTTCGCCAGAATCTTCGTAAACAATTTAAGGTCTGCATTGAGCAGGGAAACTAGAACATGCCGCAGGGTCTTTTTCCTCTTTAGGAATTACTACTATAGTTGCTAGAAGGGTATCCCCTGAAAAACGTTCACACTCTAGGAGGGAGCTCATGCCGTTCAGCAGTTCCGGTAGCATTACATCTCCGAAAGTCTTAAGGTATCTTGCTGGGAGGCCGTCAGGGCCGGGTGCTTTATTGAGTTGGGTGCTCTTCAGGGCTGCTGCTAGTTCCTCAGGCATGATGGGGGCGTCGAGTTCCTCCATTTGGTCTTGCATGAGGGTCCGGGTTACGTGTTGTTCCAAGTATTTCCGCGTCAGTCTCTTTCTCCTATCGAGTTCGGGGTTCGTCTCGTCTGTCGGAATGTTATAGAGACTGGCGTAGAAATCCCGGAATTCATCAACTATCTTGTCGGGTACCTGCGTAATGTGGCTGCCTTGTGTCTGGATTTTGGTGATTTGGCTCATGCGGCGTTGCTGTCTTAGCATTCTGTCCAGCATACGACCGCATTTGTTGGAGTATTCGTAAAAGTGACAATTGGATTTCCAGATCGCGTGTGTCAGATTTCACGTGAGCGGGTGTTGTAGGGTCCGGCGGGTCTCGTGTAGGGCTCGGTATACTGCCTCCGTCTGGGTAGATTTATGTTCTTGGTCTAGGTGGGCAATCTTCGCATGGAGCTCTTGTAGTTGTTGGCTTTGTTCTTTCTTCCTAGCGGTACAAACCTTAATAAAATGTCCCTTAATCACGCACTTATGTGCCTCCCAGCGGATCAGTTGTGATGTGTCAGCAGGGTCGTTTTCCTCGAAATATTGGCGGAGCACCATCTTTGCCTCTGCTATGGTTGCTTGGTCGCTGAGTAGTTGTTCATTTAGTTTCCAATGTCTTCTTGTAGGTTTGGGTAGGGGCGAGGCCAATTGGGCCAGGACTGGCGAGTGGTCTGACGAGTGGTCTGACCAGGCATCCGGGAGTATTTCAGATTTTTGTAAAAGGTTAAGATATTCTTGCGAGATGAGGATGTAATCTAATCGGCTATAGCCACGGTGTACCAGGGAGAAATATGAGAAATCTTTGGCTTCCAGGTGTAGGATTCGCCAGCAGTCCGCTAGTCCCGCCGTTCTGAGCGCCGATTGTGCAGCTTTGATGCATGTGTCTGGCAGTGAGCTGCGCCCCCTTGAAGTGTCTAAATGGGGGTCTGTTGGTATATTGAGGTCCCCTGCCAGGACTAGGAGTCCCTCCCAGAAGTGCTCCAGTAGTTTTAAGGTTTTGGAGATAAAACAATGTTGTTTGGTGCATATATGGAGGCGAAGGTGTATCGCTTATCTGCTATGGAGCCCTTGATGAAGATGTAGCGTCCAAGTGAGTTGGCCTTCCCCTCCGTACAGACGAAGGGGACATGGTTGGCAAAAATTATGGCCACTCCTGCTTTCTTGGAGTCCCTGTGGTTGGCAAAATATCCAGTCGGGAACCTACGGTCTCAAAGTGCCGGGCCTGTTGGCCCCTGGAAATGGGTCTCTTGTAGGAGAGCCACTGAAGCCCTGGTTGCCCACAGGGCTCTCAGTAGATGTGACCTCCGTTCCGGCGTGCTCGGACCCCGGACGTTGTTGGACTAGACGCGTAGGGGCGCCGGGGCAAACCCCCGGTGCCCAGTGAGGCCATATGGGCTGGCGCTATGCAAGGATGGTTGGGGTGTAGGTAGGAAGAAAGAGGAGAAGAAGAAAAAAGGGGGGGGGACGTAAGGCTCGCGAGAGTACGGGCGTTCAGTAGTCTGGGTGCTCGTGCGGAACAGTAATGCAGTCTTGGTTGGTGGATCGTCTAAGGTGTCGGTTGTCAGTGAACAGAACTGTAAAACTATATACAGTGTCAGACTCGACTATCTAGGCGGGTGAGTCGGGAAGGGGTGGGTTATCCCTTTTAAATATATCCCCCCTTAACACCCCGTCCTAGTATTTTGCACAGTGTGTCTGTGGGTGCGTACGCGGCTGCAGGCACAGGGTAGTGTGTGGAGCTGGTGTGTGTCTTTTATGCTCTCCCCCCCCCACCCAGCCTTTGTGATCTAGTGTAAGTCCTCCTCCTCTATGAAGTGTCGGGTCATGCCCGCCTCCCCCCCAAAGTGGCCCCAACTAAGGGGGTGTTCAAGTGGCTGTTATCCGATGCAGTCTGTGGGATCCCTATCTAGGATCCTCCTTCTATTGCTTGCTCCCAATGCTGTGTGCTGCTGTCATCATGGGCTAATCATACGGCTACTCTTATCGGCTTCCCCGTCCCAGCCATCTGTGATGCTCTTCCTCCCCCATTAAACAAGTCTCCCTGGTTGTACGGCTTTCCCAGCTCCCGTCTCGGTGTCCTTTAGGTACCACTCCGTCTATGTCTGGTAGCTGACCCACAACTTATCGTGGTGTTCCCTCCTCCTCCCCGCATTGACTTAGAGCAATTCCCACAGTGACTGGTGGCTGTCGGGAAACATAGTGCAGTGTTCTTCCCTACCCCACTTCAGTGAAGGGCATTTCCCCCCCAGTGTCCCGCAGCTGCTCAGGGTTAGACTGCAGGGCTCCCTTCACCTCCCTGCGTCCATTGAGAACAATTCCTCGAGAGTCCCACAGCAAATTAAGAACATCGCTTTGCCCCCCCCCCGGCGACCGGACCCGCAGCAGAAGATTCTCTCCCCATTGGGGGGAGGGGGAGTAGACAGTGAACTAGCATTGTGATCTGTTGCTTGCAGTCTAACTGAGAAACAGCTAGCAAGTAACCCAACTGCTTAGTGCAGGCATAGGCAACCTTCGGCACTGCAGATGAGTTGGACTACACCTCCCGTGATGCTTTGCCAGCATTATGGCTGTAAGAGCTTTATGGGCGATGTAGTCCACATCTGGAGTGCCAAAAGTTGCCTATCCACTGCCTAGTGAATAAGAGATCATAGTTTCAATAGCTTCAACAAATTTATTCTCTCCAACATTTTTATTTAGTGATTTTATTTTTTCATTGTAGAAGAAGCAAAGAAGGTAGTGTTAGTTTAACGGTTTCGCAGGGACATACCATTTTAGAAGAGAAAGTAAAAATTCCTAGAAAACAAAAAAAAAAATATATATATATATATATATAGGGGAGGGGAGCATGGTCTTTCCTGTTTGGCTATGTTGGCTTTAAATTTTAATTTCACTTTGAATTCCAGACAATGCTCACTTTAGTGATTTTAACCCTCAGAGACTTTCTAGAACTAAATTTTAAATATTGTGTATATTGTGAATTTCCCGAGGATACTTCTATTACACCCCACCCCCACACAACATGAGGTGGGTGTGTGTTTTTTTTTTTTTTCTTTCAATCAATAAAAGAAAAAATGCACAATTCATGTAAAGACATCTCATTTTGTAAAGCAAAAAAAGTAAACAGATGATTAAAGGGACACTATAGTCACCAGAACAACTACAGCTTAACATCGTTGTTCTGATGCCTATAGCCAGTCCCTGCAGTTTTTTTAATGTAAATGCAAGTGTTTATATTATTGGCAGTCACTCAGTGTTGGCATTCAGTGTCCCCAAGCCTTGCATGGAGGCACTGAAAGCTCCCCATAGAGATGCATTGATTTAGTGCATCTCTATGGGTAGATGCTGATTGATACAGCGTTTCACCGTGCATGTACAATAGCCTCCCAATGCTTTCCAGTGGGAAAGCATTGAATTGGCTGAGATCATAAAGTAATATCAACCATGGAGGCAGGGAGTTTTTAAAAAAAAAAAAAAATCCTTTTCACTGCTTTGTCCAGTGACAAACAGCGGGTTTAACAGTATAGTACATGGGTGTCCAAGATTTTGTCTTCCCTGGGGCACATTGAGCGAAGAGGAATTGTCTTGGGCTGCACATAAATTCATTTAAATAAAACTTCAAAAGCCCTTCGATCTCATTTATTTAGTAGATAGCTCCCTTATTTGTTATCCTTAAAGATCGCTATAATGTCAGGAAAACAAACTAGTTTTCCTGACACTATAGCATCCTTAGAACCCTCCTCCACGGTCCCCCTCCCTTGGCGCTGAAGGGGTTAAAACCTCTTTAGCCACTTACCTTTATCCAGCGCCGGGCTCACTCGGCGCTGGTGACCTCTCCTCCCCTGCCGACGTCAGCTCCCAAGTGGAGCGGAATGCACATGTGCGGCAAGAGCCACACGCACATTCAAACAGTCCATAGGAAAGCATCTCTCAATGGGTGATCGGACCCACAGCAGCGTTGCAGAAGCGCCTCTAGCAGCTGTCAGGATTGCCATATTTAAGGATACCAAATTAGGGACATATGTAATATATACACACACACATACATATATATAGGTGAGAAAAAATGGCATGTCTATTACTGTCTACTGTCCCTAGTTTGTGCTTTATTTTTATTTTTTTTAAGTGCAATTAAGGTTTCACAAAGCAGTGTTTGACACTGAGCACAACTAATCTGGCCTATTTATACAGCACAACTTCTTGGTCTTTTCTGTATTTATACAGCACAGCCCAACTGTTTCCACTTCATGTCTCTCAGACATAGCCTAGAATGGGTAAGTATTGGGAAATGTAGTTCACAGAAATCAAGGCTGCCACTACTTGTCTAAGCAGTACTCCAGATTGTTTCCTCCTACGCTGCACACTGCAGGTAACAGTCATTGTGATTATATTAGCATGAATGTAGCATCAGATAGCTTCATTAACAAGCGTATAATCTCATCGGTTTGTGGCCCTTTTTTCCCCCAACTTGTTTTTAGCATAAAACACAATAACATTTGGAAAAGCTCTTCATTCTATCAAGCTCTTACAATTTTTGAAATGTAACAGGACATTTCAAAATTCTATCAACAGAAAGCTTGAAAAAAAACCCCTTGCAATATTTGTTTTACCGTGTTTTGAAACAACTTGTACTCCAGTGACACATAACAAGAGGCTCATTTTGGAAAGATCCATTTAATGTAAGAAGAAGCAGTAAGAGGCTATAAAGTTTTAATATATTCATCATTATAAGTTACTCATGTTTATTTTCAGACAGTATTTAGTGTAGAACATGTTCTTTATCCTTAAACCTGCAATGCAGTTTAACGTTATGTCAGGAGTTTTCAAGAGATTGTTTCTATATGCACTGCTTACATACTGGAACGAATTGGGTTAACAAGGACAACATCAATTTATAAATAAAAGGCCTATGAAAAATCGCTTCAGATACCTAGAATCTCCCCCTCTTCCCTCAAAGCAGGTGCCAACATGCAAAACGCAGCACCTGGAGAAATACTATTAGTACCTAGCACTTAACCAGTTAACAGCACCTGTTACCATGAATGCAGCAACACTCCGTGCATGGGCGGGCATAGGAGATGCGTTATAAGCATATTCAGGGGACTTAGCACAGGAATGGGTAGGCATATATGCCAACAAGACAATATATGTACAATGGTAAACCTTCTTCTTTATAGGCATGGGGGACAGGGAGGTATTTATTAGTGCAGAGTTTGCAGGAACTCCTGTTTTCCCTAGTATTTTGGGGGATGAGGCCTGTACGGATAAATTACAGCTCATTTGCTCAGTTTCTTTATTCTTGAGTCAATACTTGAAAAATTGTCCTCTACTGTCGCTAAATTCTCTTTCATGGCCTTCTGGACCTGTAGATAGAACACAGTAAATGTAAAACGATGTAGAAGACAGAAAAAAAACCACAAAAAAAAAAACATATGGAGCAGGTAGAGTGAGAATACTGCAGTTGAATATATGTATTAAGTATTGTAGACAAATTAAGCAAAACAAAAAGACATACCATGGCCAGGGCACCAGCATTATCCTTAAGAGAATTTGCTATAATCTGCTGCGTAGTGTCCAGATGGGTGAGAAGTTGCCCAAACTGCATGGCTGAAAAAAATAAAAAAAAAATAAAAAGGCAAATGGTTCACTTTCCCCAATTATGTTTATTTGCTATTTTATATACACCTCAGACTGTCCGAATGAGATGTTTCATTCTCTTTATCGTTACAGCCTTAAACAATTCAAAGAAACCTTTATTTCCACCATTCCAGTGTGATTGGCAAGGTTCTTGCCACACACCTGTCAAGTTCATAACCCAAGAGGATGACTCTTAGTATTATTGCTCACAGAGGTACACAGTGTTATGAAGTGTGAAAGGTTGGAAATGTAAATGCATTTCAAGTTTTAAAGCAGACTTATCAAGTCAGGTATCTTTTCAGTTCGGACTAAATTTAGATTAACTTAACACAGACAGTGAATTCCTCTCCTGCCCTAATGCACCACATTCTCTCTACTTCTGCAATGGGGAATACAGCTTCTTCAATTACTATGTTGTCTTTTCACCCCAGAGCTGCTTTGATATCTTCTACCCGTTCATCAACTTTGGTCTACATTACGCGATGTGTCGTTAACGGATAAACACTTTTCTAACTTTCAACTATTGTTGAGAGACCGTAATCAAAACGATCACACACTGAATTTCAAAAAGCCTTTCTTCTGCTGGTACATCACAGTCAGAAAACGTTAAAATGATAAATCCACAATGTTAAGCCCAGCAGACCAATTTCATGTCAACAACAAAAAAAAAAAAAAGATGATGATATAGCATTTTCAAGTCCATTTGGGTTGAATTTGCTAGGTTTTCAATGGATCATGTAAGTATTGACAATTATTCTTTAGCAAAACAACTTTCTGCATAGAACAGACTCTTGGTAAGTCTCACTGCCAGGTAGATGAAATAGTCCCAATATGGGAATATAATAGCTGGTAAGTAGTAACTGCTACATCTAGCCAGCTTAGTGCCCACTTAAAAATAAAAGAGAGTGTTTATAAACCTTTGGACAAATCTGAACATCCCTGAGCTTCCACAGGACAATAGTGATTCCAAAAAGAAGCTGCAGTGGTTAAAAAAATAATGGCAGCTGTGTTTCTAAACACCACAAATATAAGACAGAGCAGGCTTATTTTCTAAAGTGGAATATTGTGCTTCCAATGAGGAACACATCAATGTATACCAGTTCAACTTCATAGATTATTCAACAGTGTCTAAACCCTATTCTCATGCCATATTCTCTGCTATCAAACTGAACAGATTGCAGGTTATACATCCTACCCCAAGAAGAGAACACATAAATAATATATAAACTCTAAATACATAATTTGCATCCAGATATAGATCAATACCTTGCTCATGCAGCTGTTTTAATGTTACCAATCTCTGAACGACTTGTGGTAATGTACTGGACATGGAATCCCACTTCTGAACAACGTCATAGAGCTGATGCACCTGGAAAAAAATAAAAGTCACTGTAATATGTTCATAAAGGGAGCAGTATTGCAAAATATACAGTGCTTATTACTACTTAAAGGAACACTTTAAGCATTATAAACTCTACAGCTTGCCAGGAAGGCCGTGGCTCCCCCCATTGTAAGTAGTCAAGTCAGTTTAGAACGGTTTAACCCTGCAGCTGTAAACATAGCAGTTTCAGAGAAAATGCTATGTTTACACTAGGGCTAATCCAGCCTCTAGAGGCTGTCTCACTGACAACCGCTAGAGGCACTTCTCACTGTGAAAATCACAGTGAGAAGACGCTGACGTCCATAGGAAAGCATTGAGTAATGCTTTCCTATGGGTGGTTTGAATGCGCATGCGGCTCTTGCCACACATGCGGATCTGACATCGGCAGAAAGAGGAGAGTTGCCCGGCACTGGAGAAAGGTAAGTGGCTGAAGGGGTTGTAACACCTTCAGCCCAGCGGTAATGGGACCCTGAGGGTGGTGGGGAGGCCTATAGACCCTATAGTGCCAGGAAAACGAGTTTGTTTTCCTGGTACTATAGTGGTCCTTGAACTTCTTACCTGGCATCAGTTGGGCACTGATATTTCCTCCACTGCAGTCTTCTCTGTTGCCAAATTCTCTAAGCTAAACCAAGCAGTGCAGGGCTTAGCTCCATTGACGGATAGCGATCAGCTGACGCTCTCTGACAATAACAGGGCAATGCAGATGCTCGCTGCTTAGGAGCTTCCATCGGTCCATAGTCCATAATGGAGGCTTGGAGCAGTGTACAGACCCGAGAGAAGTCAAAACACTCAAACGATTTGACTACTAAATATGGGTTGTTAGTGCACTCCTGGCACCATAATCACTATATAGAGCTTGGCGAGTTCCTTCAGGAAAGGTGTTATTTCAATGAAAACTAGCCAATATTTTCCACAGAAAGTGTGTTGGGTTTTTTTCTGAAGTGTTCATACCTTGCTTTCTGTATCTGCATCTTCAACCGCTGCCTTGTGCTTTGCGATCTCATTCATCTTCCCCAGAACACTCTAAGAGTAAGACAAAACATAATTTAAATAATCACACTATACAATCATCATACAATTAGTATGTAATAAAGGGTTTTTATTGGATTTATTGATTTGCTAGTCATTGGCTATAAATGCACCTGAAGGAAATGCTGGATGAATATTTTTCCTTCTTGAGAGTACATGTGAAGCTTATGTACAGATCAGACTAATGACCAATGAATAGAAACAGATAACATTACAAAATCCTATTACTTTGCAGACTATTAAATGTTACTGCAGTCACTGGTAAGACATATATAGGGGCTAAAGAAAAGCAATCTTAAGTTTGATGCAGGAAATTACACAGGGATAATATTTTGTAAATATGATCATGTACCTCAGCAGAAAGCTACCAAAAAACAGAACAAGAAGGTTTTATACCATAAGACTAGGTCACAATACTTTGTGATGCTTGTAGGAAATAATGGTTCACTAGTTTATACCACATACGGTGATATTGTCTGAATGTGTAGGGGCGTGGGTGTGTGTCTTGTGGGAAGGGGAATTTCTGAGCATACACTATAACCAACAGTTGTGATATGCCCACCAATTTTAAGTGAAATATACTCAAAATGGAAAAAAAACATTTATTTCAAGCATGTTTTAAAAATAAAAACAACACAAACTATGTCATTGATTTAAATAAATGCTGTAAATTTACCTGAAGCCTGGCCTCCACTTGGTCCAAAGATGCTACGTCCAACATGTTTACTTTGGCCTGAAGAATTTCAACAGTGCCCTGAAATGTCCAAACAAACAAAAACTTTAATGTTTTGCAGTAGGTCTGAATGGTTTAAGCCTTGGTTGACAAAGAGCAGTAAATAAAGTTTCTAATTTATTAAAGTGACTGTCAACCTCTGAGATCTTTTCATAATTTGCAAAGATCCCCAACGGTGACTGCTCTGTGGATGCAGGAGAAGGTGAATAATACTTACCCAAACCTGTCCCTTCTTTCTGCCGACAGTGTTGTACTCTTGCACATGTTTGGATTATCTGAGAGGCCACGGGATACTCTTCCCCTCAGCCATCACTGGAGACAGCTGTAAGCTTGACATAAAGGTAGCTCTGCCATTTGTCATGCAAAGGAAAAATACAAGTCCCTTCTTTGTTGTACTATATCGTTGGAAGTTCAGTGAAATTCCAACAGTCAATGTATTTTACATAGAAATATTTGAATTACTAATTTTGAATAGGAAGGAGGTGACATACCCTCTGTAAGTGACCATATCTCACTCTTTATTGGGGATACGTGTGTAAAGTGCACTGAAATTATTTTTATTGTTGATCACTGAACATCTGATAGACTCTAGATAAATATTTCCATCCAGTCAAGTGATACTTAATGGGACACTGTATTCACCAGAAAAATTACAGCTTAATATCGTTGTTCTGTTGTGTAAAGTATATCCCTACAGACATTTAATTTTTTTTTCTCTGAAAAGGCAGTGTTTACATTGCTGAGTAGGGACACCTTCAGTGGCATTCACTTCAGACTATGTTCACGGATACTCAATGTCTCCACTGTCTGCATGGAGACGCTGAACGTTCCCCATAGAGAGGCATTGATTTAATGCCTCTCTATGAGGAGATGCGGATTGGCAAGCTCTGCGTTTTGAGGCCCATGTGCATTAGCCTCCCAATGCTTTTCTGTAGAAAAGCATTGGATTGGCTCAGATTGTCAATTCTGATAATCTCTGCCAAAGAGGCGGAGAGGGGGCAGCACTGCAATAAACTGAGTATTTAATATTTAAGGGGGACAAGGTCAGACACCTAAATTGCGTTTTTAAAACAATAGGGTCAGGAATACACATTTGTGTTTTCCTTTAATTTCATTAGCTGATAAATAAACTATTTGTTTTTTTCCGGTTTTATTTAAAGTGATATCTACAAATTATAGAACTGTATCTTTTTGATTGATGTTTAAAAGTGTAACTTATATTCTGCAAAAAAACAACCTTTAAGTATTTTTGTTTTATTCTAAATTACTATTATTTATATAGTGCCAACATATTATGCAGCGCTGAAGTGTCATTACATTCTCCATTTTTATATCAGAACCAACTTGTGGTTCCTGTACATTTAAAACTAGGCATCACAATTTCCTGTATATACATTAAAAAAAAAAAAAATAATACATTTCCACCAAGGCCAATGCTGTTAGCACAGCTTTTGTCTAGGACTTACCATCAAACTAGAACCTTGGAGCCCAACTGTAAGAGGATTCTAGAATAACAAAGAAAACAATTTATCTTAAACACAATTAATTACATTGCAAACAATTTTATTAATCGATGCAATTTTAACATACCTGTGTTTCCTGATCACAGCGCACAGCAGCTTCAAGCTCTCCCAGACGCTTTTCTATCTCAGCGACCTGTAATACAATTGTTGGACAAGTAAATACAAAATTCTGTTCTTCCTATATGCTAGCACTAAATAAACTAGTCATATTGGTTGGAACTCTGGTTAACATGAAAAATACTAATGAATTTACAGGATACAGAACTACAGAACATGCAACAGAACCTACATGCTACAAAACTAATGTTTTGGCAAGATATTGTCCCAAAGCATGCATCAATGTAGCACACAAACATAGAGAATCCTAATTAGTTATAGGAGATTGGTTTGGAGATCAGAGAGACCTGGTCATTAGAATGACTTGTCCTCCAATTCTCCCATATGTCAGAAAGTTCTTGAAGTCTCCACACAATTAATATTTTTATGATTTATGTCTTTAAGGCTTAGGCTCTTCTCACCTATATCCACATTACTGGTTCCTGATCCAAGATCCAATTAAATGCTTCTAATTGGACTGTTTCAGCGGCTCAGAGTATATGTGCGCGCGCACACTCTGGACTGGTGAGGGAAGTAGAGCGATAAGCGATAAGGGACCACATAGATAGAATAGGTGTGCACTGAAGCTTCCTCTTGCAGGCATGCTGCCTGCAAGGCAAAGCTCATTACATTTGTCACCAGCATGCAATGCTCACAGACGATAGACGTATTTTTTGTCTGCTTTTTGAATATTATCCCATTTAGAGATGCCAGACGCTCTCCCATTTCCTAACTTACCTTTGCAGAATGAGAAAACTTGGCTTGCTCGGGGCGGCAATGTAACTCATAGGTCACCAAGTTCCCAGTGTCCTGAGTAGAAATTTTTCCTGGACTTTTCCCTTCTGGACCTTTTTTTGTTTTGGCAACATCCAACTGAGAGAGCAAACGTCTAAAAGAAAAAGACCCAAAGGACACATTAGAAACTGGATTTTGTTATAGAAAATTAGTTCAAAGGGGCTTGAAATGCATTTTTAGTTTGCATTTATTTTATATTGTTTATTTCTATGAAACAGTATAAAGAAGGTGTCTTTACTGAAGGTAGTTCCAGTAGTCCAGGCATATTTGAGAAAGGAACAAAACAGATCTGTTTTGTTCACACACTTTTTTTCATGTAGGGTAAATTATAAATAGATTTATTTATTTTTTATTTACGACCTACCAAATTATTGTAAGGAACACTTGTCAGCATTTTTGGGTAAAAAAAAGCTATATATCTTTGGAATTGAAGACCAATACTTATTCAAACACAACCAAACTGAATTTAATTTTGAAACATATATTTAAGATATGTGGCCGTACTTGTATATGGAGTATCTTCTAAACTGCAAAACTGATGCTCATAGAAAAAGAAAAACAACATAGTCTACAATGTGTGAAAAATACAATATCAGTTTTTCCCCCCCACTACCCCATTTCAGGGTTGCCACCCAGTTGTTATAATCCATCGCATTTAGCTTATGGATGTAATGTCATCTACTTATCTCCCTTTGACTAGTTTACACTTTTATAATTTATGCTTGCTTATGACACATATATACATACACACAGGCCTTTTATTCTCTATGGGTGCACGGTCACTTTAATACTTCCTTGGTACCATGGTGTATATATTCCTACTCGTTCGTTCATTCCAAGCAAGTATAAATTTTATTATTGAGTTTATAATATTTGTTTTCTGATTTTAACATATTTGATAATGAGAGACATTTGGCCCAAACACAAACTCAGTACATCGAATTATGATCCACGCTGGCCTATGTTATGAGGAGAATGATAAGAGGCTTGAATTTGTGTTCACATTTGTGTTCCAATGTTACACATGCAGGCAAAGATTGAAGCAACGGCCACAAAAATCGGGACAGTGGACCTGATCATGTGACGAGGAAGGGAACCAAGGCAGCTCCTGAGAATCTACCAATCTTCTCACTTCTGTAACTAATTACTATAATGAAGTAGGAAGCGGATTGGACTTTAATGAATGTCCCCTGTGCTGATTTTATTGTGATAAATCATTGCCAACTGAGGAAGCCTCATTGTGAAGAGGTGAAACGCGTTCTGGCTTAATGTTAATTTTTTTTTATTCTACAGACAATCCTCACTTACCGATAAGGTTCCGTTCCTATGACCCGGTCGTAGAACGAATTGGTCGGTAAGTGAGGATGTAATCGATTCCCTGCTCTGGTGCGTTCGTCTATGTTCGGGGAAGTTTCCTCCGACCATAGACATGCGCACGAGAGCAGGGAATCCCCAGGACGGCTCGCACTTACGCCTGGTCGGAAGTGCGAGCTGCTCTAAAACAGGTAGGTCGCTAAATGAGGACCACCTGTATATACTTTTATTATTTGAATACACTTTTGGGACTTAGTACCTGTGCAATACCTTTTGTGTCCAGGAGGCTTTTTTGAGGTTGTGCCAGCTACCTACAACCTCTAGGTGCTTTTCGAATGAGCCCCTTGTCTAGCTTATGTGAGTCTGATTCTTAGTCTAACCATATTCATTACATAAAAGGTTGTACTATTGTGTTTTTAATTTCTTTACTTGTGAGTGCAAACCCCTGATACCGCTATTTCTCACATATTGTATTTAGCAATATTACACTATTTTGTATTTTCTTTCTTTTTTTGTAAATGTATTTGTTTTCCATGTGTATTAATTTAGCAGTTTTGAAAATACTCCACTTACAATCACTGTTCACTTAACTCAAGTAACTGTTTTAGTTATTTTTGGTCTTTTCTGGTAGAGGAACACATTTTCTTCTGCTGGATAAAAAACTATTATTTTGTATATTTGTACCTATTAGGTTTTGTTTTTTTTGTGCTGATATTCATATACTTTTTTGCATATTTAAATTAAACTTTGATATAAACAATTTAAGAGAAGTTTGATTATGTTTAATCCAGGATTCCAAATAATGTATTTGAAATATGTGATAGAAGTGTGCTGAAAATATTTAATTTTTTTTTTTTTTAATTCTTTATTTTTGTGTGCACAAGTTAAACAGACAGTCTTCTCATACCACTCAATAAAAACAGGCATTTCAAGAGGAATGGCATTTTGTGGCATACGATAGTACTGCACATTTTTGTTTTGTTTTTAAACAAGAATCAAGCCATGAGGTTACATATACAGTATACATTTGTTATAGGTTAAGTATGATAAAACAGGATTATGCTGTTTGTTGTTGTGAGTAGCCAATATAATATTATAATCGCCTGAGAGTACCCCAAGCAGGATTGCCAGGTTCAACAATGGCAATATATGTGTCACTCAGTTTTTAAAAAGAAAGTAATACATTTACAAGATAGCAAACAAGTGATTGCACAGTTCTCAGATGATAAAGACGGGCAAAGCTCCCTGTGGTGACTTGTTAGCAGTGTGGTAGTGAACAAGTGAGTGGATTTGCCTCAGGGTCTAAGAGCGTTAGACCATAGCAGGATAAGTATGCGTTTAAAGGCCACAGCTCCTAAATTCAGCTCCCTATTCTACAGGCTCAGGATATGTTAGTGTCAGGCTGAGGTGAGCTTGGGTCTGGGTTCCTGGTTCTGGGTCCCCTGATTTACGGCCAGAGGCATTAAAAGTCCTGTATATATATTAAGGCTCCTTAACCCTGGAGTCTGGAGGGGGGGGGGGTGGTTTCGTCGTGTAAGTATGTGCTATCTGTAGCTGCCGCATTAATGCGTCACCCCTGTGTCCTGTGGATTGTGTCAGGTTGGAGGACCTGTATGGATTGGGTGTCGTGCGGATCGTGTGTTAGGTGCGAGCAGTCTACTGACCGTGTGGCCTACTCCTGGCGCGGCAGTAGGCGCAGAAATGCCTAGCCAAAAAAACAAAAAGCTGTACGCAACCGGTGAAGGACATTGCACATGACAGTGTAGCATAAACATAGTAAGTCCAACCAAAATAGAACTAGAACTAGCCGGTACATCCATGAGTTCCGTTTGACGGGAGACTTTTCCCATATTAAGAGCCGGATGGGTGCATAGCACTGCTTCCCGCTGGGGCTGTCGACTCCGATGGGGTGAACGGAGTTATATTGGCGACATCCCATCGGTGTGTCGTACTCCTCTTGGCGCCTGCCACTGGACGAATGCCTAGAGCTTGTAAAAATCGCGGTGCTTCTTCTGGCGCTGTCAGCTTGTGGTTTTGTCCGTCTTGTGTGGCAATTAGCGTGCTGGGGTAGCCCCATTTATATGGAATGTCCGCCGCCCTCAATTGAGTTGTGGTTTCTTTCAGTGTTGCCCGCCACTGCAGCGTCTGGCGGCTCAGGTCCTGGTAGAAGTGTAAGGTAATGTCTTCGAAAATGTACGGGGTCTGGCTCCTGACCGCACGGAGGAATCCGTCTTTGTCTGAGCGGGATTTGAAGCTCATTATGACATCCCTTGCGGAGACGTTGTTTGGGCGCCCTGGTATGCGGAATAGGCTATCTAGGGTCAGTCCTTTGGCCTGTTTGGGTGGTAGGGCGGTTTGTAGCAGTCTCTTTATGAGGGATGGCAGTTCATCTGCCGTCACAGTGTCTGGTATCCCCCTCACCTTGACATTTCTCTGTCGCGCCATATCTTCGAGTTGCCCTACTCGGGCGTTTAGCTGGGAGCATGAGGTTGTGAGCTCGAGCGTTTTCTTTGTCGTGGCATCTTGTTGGACTCTCAGGTCCTGGACTGCGTCTTCCGTGGCTCTCATGCGGCCTGTAAGTGTGCTCAGCTCCGTCTTGAGGCCTGCCAATTCAGCCGTGAAGAATGCCTTAAGGTCAGTCACCATGCCTGTTAGGTCAGCCTTGGTGGCTAGTGGCGGTTCTGACTGCCTTGGTGGCGCTGTTTGTTGCTTCCTTTGGGGTGTCGGGGTCGGCATATCACTCAAGTATTCATCCTCTGAGGCAGAGAGTGACTCCATCCCCATGGTGTGAAAGACGTCCGCCATTTTGGGCCTGCAGGCCTGGGACAGGAGTTGCCCGATGTCCTGGGTATGTCCCGCGGACGACCCTCGGGGTTTTCGTGAGTGTTTCCCCATATTGTACTAAGTCTCTTGCAGCCTTTTCCCAGCTTTTGGAGGTGTATTTTACGGAATCCGTGGCTAGTTTGCTGCTGTAATGTCGGAGCTTGGGTTTCATGCGTCTTGCAGGCTCGGCTGCTAGCTCCGCCCCCCCGAAAATATTTAATTTTATACCTACACTTGCATGAAATTATCAAAATAATGAAACTCATTGAAAACAAATTAAATGCAGTGGGTGTCAAATGACACATTTTGTATAATAACCTTGAACCTGGGAAAGCTTTTCCATACTAAAATTAACACTCAATCTGATTCAAATTTGAACCCATAAACAAGTTAGCCAAACTTGCGCTTAACTAACCTTTTCTACTCAAACTCCTGACCCATTCAATGATATTTCACTTGACTCAAGGAAAATCGACAACTGAAAACTTATTGTTATTGATCAAAAACTGAAGGAGAATAAGATAATTTTTTATCATGGAAGTTTATCTCCATGTCATAGACTAGACAAAAACAAAAACAAAGGCACCCCCCCACCCCTAATGCTAATGATAGTCTCAAGTAGCCCACCCCCCTCTGTGCTGTTTGGACTAATGAGGAAGCATTAGTCTAAGCAGCAGTGATTAACTGATTGGCTGTTTCAACTTACCGTTATCAGTCAGCCGACTGTTGTGAATAGGTATCGGTAAGGAAGAGTAATCTCTGCTTTAGCCATAATTCCCTTGGGGGCTGTGCTGTGGTTTAACACTGAATAGAGGGAGAATGCCAGGGGACAGCATGCACTTTACCCAATTCAGTGAATGAAATGGTTAAAGTGCAGAGACTGTCTCTTTTATTCGATGTTTGATGTTTAAACAAACTAATTAGCCTCTCACAGGAAAAATATACTAATGGTAGGCAAAATCAATGATCACTCACTGTGCAAGTGCTCCATCTGGATCTGTAAGGTTGATAGTAGCATCAGGACCCAACAATTTCTCCAAATGCGTGGACACCAATTGCCGCTTTAAACCAGCTACCTGTTTGGCTAATGCCACTGGGCTCAGTTTCTCTTCTGCAGAAGAGTCTTTGACAGTGCTCTGGACGTAAAAATAAATTAATATGTACGTAAAAAGGATAGTAAGAATACAAGGTCTAAGGAGTTAATCAATAGAATGACCCACTTATCCAACAACTGTTCATGAAACACAACAGCTATAAGCTGTCATTGATGGAAAATATTGGACAATTTAGATATTATGCCAAAAAGTAATCATATGCATTATACTTGATATCATTCCCCCTTTTTCCAGTCTCCTTCCACTGAGGTCTTGTTCTCATCAATCACAATTCTATCAAGCAAATGATTTCCTTTGTTTAATGATGTTTTTTTGTACACTACTGCTACATTATCATTTTTGACAAGCAGCTGTTAGTTCTCGAAAACTGATTTTTTAATAAAGATTCTTCACAATATACTTGGTATCAAAATTTAATTAAGAACAGAGCATTAGGAACTAAACTTATGGTATAAAATTATTTTGCAGAGATGTTCAAATTAGCACTGCACATTAAGCAAATTCTAAGCCAAACCTAGAATTGAATCTATGTATAATTATATTAAAGGGACACTATAGACATGCAGACCACTTCAGCTCATTGGAGCGGTCTGAATTCAGTGACCCTGTCCCCCTTAGTTCTGAAGTGTTAATTATTTCAGTTTCTAAGGAAATTGCAATAATTACATTGCAGGACTAAGACTGCCTCTAGGGAGCCTTTCAATCGGACAGTCACTAGAGGCACTTACTGCTTGCTAGGCAACTTTTGGTAGCCTAACTGATGCATGAGGACATCCAGCAACAGTACAAACTCCAGCAATGCTTTACTATGGCGAGGGCCTAAAGCGATCGCGGTGGGGTTGACAGCGAGAAGTATAGTGTAGTATGGGGCCCTATGTAAAACACATTGGGATGTGAGGGGAGGGAAGGGGAGAGAGTTTAAAATATTCCACTGTATATAGCAGTTAAGAAAACCCACCTGTATTTTTTCAACTTCCTCAGTCAACTCTTGGACTTCATGCAATAGCCTCTGATATTTCTGCTGTGGAGTTTCTTTTACTCCAGCACCTTCTCCAAGCTGAAGAGAAATCATAAAAGTAAATAACGTAACAATTTTGGTAATTTATACAATGCGTTCAATAGAGGAACCCTAAAGACATCCTTTAATTCATAAAAATGAGAATAAAACAACATTGCAAGTAAAGGGAAGCTGCAATGCATCTTTTTGTTAACATGGTCAAAAAGCTTTATTCATGAATGTAGCTAACTTTGGATGGACCTTCTCGACAGTTTACAGCTTTCATAAGAAACTGGGAGCTGAATAACAAATGTCACAAACAATTAACGTGCAATGGCTTATGGGATATGTGATAATCACATGGATAATCATGGGAGCAACTGAATAGGATGAAAATTTACTGTGGATTTTCAGCAGGAACCTCAAAAATGTGAGTGTCTTTTTACAGTTGTTTTACAAATGCATTATTTCTTCAACATATTAAAAGGGGGAATCACTTTCAGTATGAATAGTCCCTTTAATTACACTTCTACTTACTAATTCATACTCCCCTGATTCATAACCAGTTCGCTTTGACTTGCTGATTCGATCTGAGAAATCTAGAAGAGAAATTAAATGTAAGATACTGATCATATCAAACAATAACTCAACTTTTCAACAGAAGCAAATCAATTCCAATCTGAAGCATTAATCAGTGAAGGTCTAAAGTTGCCCTAAGTGAAAGAGCTGCTACAAACAATTAGTGTTAGGAGAGCACAATATTTTTTTTTTTTTGCTTTGGCATTTTATGAGGAGTGGATGTTGGTCTTGTAACAAAGTATTTGAGGTGACTATGAGATGTGTGTGTGTGGTTTCCATGGTTTACCATGGAGGAGACACTGTCACGGGCAGGGAAGCTTTATTGGGGAATGCTGGATATCTCTAAGGCTCCTATAAGGTCACCATGGCTTGATTGGCCTCAGGATTGCTAGTTGGACAATCTTTTTGCAGCATGATAATGACCAGATAGTCATTTACTGACTAGATAGCGCAGAGCTGACAAGGGGAAAATAATTCAATCAATATCTCATACAAATTGATTTTAAATGGTCATGGTGCCTGAATTTCATCCTGTCATGCTGCAAATTCATCTACTTTGATTGCATGTAACTCCACCCCTGTTAGTATCATAGAGGTGCCAATTAGCCAATACAGAACTAGAGTTCCAGGCTGGCAAATGTAAATTCTGTGAAAACTTTCATGCAGAGTGTGCAATTCAGTCAGCTGATGCTCTCAATAAATGAATGGCAATTGAATTTGTTTGCTCAGCTCTGCAGAAGACAGAAGCCCATCACCAGAGATACTAGGAGTCTCAGAGCCCAGCGGGAACCCATGGAAGAGGGCAAACGTTTGCTAAAAACTGCAGCAGGCTGTATTGATTATGATGCTTCGAGTGATCCTTGGAGGCAAAGGTTCACTTTTCTGAGGAATCCAGGATTTAGTTAATATATGCAATGTTCTTTCATGAATACGGTTTTCTACATTGAAACACCTGGCATTCATTGGAAATATTTCAAAAACCTTGCATAATGTTCAATAAGAAACAAGCCATGTTTTCAGCTAGGGTTCTTGTACAGACACTGCAAACTCGGATAATTTTGGAGACGGACAAGGCCATAATTATAGGATGCTACAAGCTAATTATAATGTTTAAATGTTTTATTATATTTTATATTATACATACAACATTGAAAGAAAAATATTATACATAGACAATACAATACAAAAGTTAAATATATATAATATTGCTAGTATAGTTCTCCGGTTAACGGATATATATATATATATATATATATATATATATATATATATATATATATATATATATATATATATATATATATATATATATATATATATATATATAGAGAGACACAGTATATCAAGGTTTACAGGTTTCCAATTCATAATAAATTATTAAAATGTTTCCCTTATCTTTTTAATCCATTGATCGTAATGGTGAATATAGTTTAAAGGACCACTATAGTGACAGGAAAACATAGTCGTTTTCCTGGCACTATAGTGCCCTGAGGGTGCCCCCACCCTCAGGGTCCCCATCCCGCTGCGCTGGATGGAGAGGAAGGGGTTAAAACTTACCTTTCTCCAGCGCTGGGCGGGGAGCTCTCCTCCTCCGATCCTCCCAGTCGGCTGAATGCGCACGCGCGACAAGAGCTGCGCGCACATTCAGCTGGTCTCATAGGAAAGCATTTACAATGCTTTCCTATGGACGCTTGCGTGCTCTCACTGTGATTTTCACAGTGAGAATCACGCAAGCGCCTCTAGTGGCTGTCAATGAGACAGCCACTAGAGGATTTGAGGGCTGGATTAACCCATTTATAAACATAGCAGTTTCCCTGAAACTGCTATGTTTATTAAAAAAAATGGGTTAATCCTAGAGGGACCAGGCACCCAGACCACTTCATTAAGCTGAAGTGGTCTGGGTGCCTAGAGTGGTCCTTTAAGTTATCGTTTGAGTAGGAAACTCCCCTTTCCATTTCAAGTTGGAATAGAAGTTGTTTTTTTATACGGAGTAAAATCTGGCGTTGATATTTGTTTCCAAGATCTTGCGATGATCATTTTTGCAGACATAAGACAGTGTAGAATCAATATTTGATGTTTTTTGGGAGTTTGCCCCATTTAAGATGAAGGCGGCCAGTTTCTGGGGATTTCCTTAGGTTTATATTAAAAACTGACATTGTGGAATATATCGAGTCCCAGAATGTAATTATTCATGGACACTTCCACCAAATATGTAGCATAGATCCTTCATTGGCTAAGCATCTCCAGCAAAGTGGAGAATTAGTCGGAGATATTTTAGCCAATTTAGTTGGAACTAGGTACCATCTGTGAAGTACTTTAAAGAATGTTTTTAGAATATTAAGGCAGTGTATATTTTTTTTTAACACACGGGTGAAACGCATTGATGAGCTGAGAATCCATCTCTTCATTTATTCTTCATTTATCCTGCATCTTTCCGGCATCAGCGGTATTGTTCAGCGGTCTGAGATTCCTACGTCCCCCGGTTGCATTATTCCTTGTGCGGCTCAAAGAGAGAACTTTCCACTACTATAGCTGCCTCAACAGAAAGGTAACTCAACTGCTCAACTGCCTGTACTGGACTTATTAGTGGCTACGATTTTATACCACTTTTGGATATATTTTATTATTACTTCGTGTTATATTTTTATCACCACAAATAAGACGCTTTTCTATTTACAAATAAACTGTTTGATGACATCCCACTTATATTAATTTTTGCTATACCAAATCTGCATTATTAAGCTGTGGATTATCAACATCAGCCTATTCCTGATGATGACATCAGGTATCCAGTGAATCTATTTTATCAAGACATATTCACTATCGTGCAGGTGTATTAATAATACACCCACAAGAACATTTGGTTTTATATCAGTAACTTTTCCTTTTTTAACTATTAAGGATAGATTTTTTTGAAGCGCTGACACTTTCTATTAAGAGTGACATTACCACTGCTCACAGCGCATTGTGTTTTAGATTAGCACTAAAATTGTTGTATTATAGTGTCATCTTAACTTAAGCACCTTGTGTTATTACGAACTTATGATATTTAGTTGCGAATACAAATGAGATCAACTTAAATAGGTTTGTCTTTTTGGGTTTTTTAGAGGCACAATAATGCCATCCGATGTGCAGAGCTTTGGCAGGCATGTAAGAAGATGGCTCCTTTCCAGATCACTACAGCCATGTAGAAATGCTTTCGGGATAGCACATGATAAAGAAATTGGCATTTAACTGTGTGAATTTGAATTGACCCTTTAAATTTTATCTTTGGATCAAGCTTTATAAAAAAAATAGATTTTAGAATAATTCTACCACATGTTTTAAGAAAAATGACTTACCCAAACACTTGGTGCCAACTTTCTTGTCCTTAAATTTGTCATATGCTGCATTGGGGTTGACAATGATATGCTCTACACTGGTGCTAGTCAGTTCTTCCTAAATAAAATAATTAGTTAAATGAGTGAACACTCCTTTTCAAATTGCAGAAAGCCAGGCATTTTGTCTATGATAATATATAATGTAGAAATCAGGGAATGCTAGTTTGAAAGGGTATTTTGTATAGTGGAGAACCTATTACAATCATCAGAAAACTATGGAAATTTAATTTTTTAATAACTTAAAATGTATTATCAAACCAATATAAAAACATTGACAATCAACAATCTGAGTTCTCCAATACTTAACAGATAAAACAACAAGAAAAAATGTCCATTTATACTACATCTTGGTAAGTAGTCCTCATAAACAACAGAATTATGTACCTTAATTTGTTTTTGCATATTCAAGAAATCTCATACAAAATATACAAAAATTATCAAACCTAGGTATACAATCCCCACAATAATATGTAACAGGGTCATTCTAAAAAACTATTTTGATTTGTATGTATAAAATTAAATAACTTAACACAAATAATAATCAGAACATTCATTTGTGGTGTTAATCCGGGAAAATTTCACTAATATTCACAACACGTTCATTATTAAGTATTTATGATAGATCTAAATATGTTTATTGCTGCATTATCAAATTAAACATGATATAGCTGCATTATTTAAATATACGTTCCGTAACCAACACAAAGATAAGACAATGTACAATAGGCAAGTTAATACAAGCATGCCACTTATCTTAACAAAAACAAAATCATCTTGTTACAATAATAGCATTGCATAGCTCTCAGATTATAAAACAATTTGGAAAGAATTGGATTACAGCAATTTCAGGCATCCATGCAGATAGAACAATGCAAAGAATATTAGCAGGAAATGAAATGTGTATCTATTGTCTTTCTAGGAAGGTTAAAAAAGGGAAAATTTTAATGTGAGGTACCAAACCCAATGCTTATTCACTGCTCAATTCACTGCCATCTAGAGGTCGGATGAGAATTAAAAAAAATGAAAACTATTAAAGGGGTTGCATTTGAAAGGATTCCTTTACTAATTGCCCTGAAAGGTTCAAAGGGGATACCAAGCACTATGTCCTCTTCAGTGATTTGAAGTGGTCATAGTACCTGGCTAATGTGATTTCTTTGCATATTGGATGTCTGACATCAGCCCACACAGCACGCTTGAGACAGGCATCACCTGTTCATGTCCTCCTCCTACATGCGTCCCTCAACAGCAAGGTGGATTGATGGCAGAGAAGGAAGATCAGGCCTTGACTTGGTTGCCTTGTTGTTTTTTAGGTACGTTTTAGCTTTTGGGGAAGGTGGGTGGTCCAGCATAGGAAGCTTTAATCTAGCCAAAAATTGTGTTTTATTAAAATACTGTTATTTGGTTGCAGTAGCTCTATAAGTGTTATAGGTTGGTGGTGTAGCCTTATTTTACAACTCCTAACATTGTACGGGGCCCATTTCACCAGTAATTCCTGCAGGAATAAACTTCACTACAGATATCTTTATGGAGAAAAAAAAACATACAATAGAAATATGTCATTTTAAATAATTTGTTTCTACATTTGTATGTTCATTGTGTGCAGAAATATGAGGTTCACCAATGTTAGTCTAGAATAGGCAATAACAGGTTTTATATTGTACAGTATGTGGTCATGAAAAAATAACAATACAGGCTCACTGCTCATGGGAGTTCGTAATTACACAGTAGCTGTTTTGGAAATTGGGTCTCCCAAAAAGTCACAGATTTTAAAATAAGAAGTTTGCACGTGGGCTAAATCCAGAAAACCAGGAATCCGTAGGGCACTGCTACTGCAAAATGCTCAGCCTAGGGCCTTCCCTCCTCTTCTGCTCTGGATGCTACAATTCAGCCCTTTACTTACTAAACCTTGCAGCCTTATGCCTTTACATTATTGGAAATCAAGGCGGTGGGGGAACGGGTGGGGGGGGTTTAGAGAAGTGGGGCGATGACAGCATTTCTGAGCAAGACAGAGCTCCAGCTGTGAAATTCCTTTATCTTTATCTCAGAGTAATGATGTCAGTCACAATTCATTTATTCATTAAACTGTCAAATTTGCGATAGCAAATTCAGTCATTTTTAGTCATCTCAATTCTCTCCAACAGGGCTGAAAAAATCCTCTGTGTCCTTTATTCACCATCAACTGATTTAATACTTCATTAAACCAAATGAGTACCATTAATTAGCTAACATTAATAAATAGATCACATAAACTAATGGCAATCTAAATGTAATTGATCTAAAAATGGCAGGCATCAGTGGATATCAAACACTGTGCCGCAGACAAAACTGAAGTTTTAAAAAGGGCCTTTTTTTTTTACAATCATACACAAGACAAGTGGGTATAGCCTGCTAGAGGGACTAATCTAATGTTACAGGTTTCGATTTACAGGTACACTCCCGGCTCAGGGCAATTTAAGGATTATTTTTAATAGGATCAATTCTGCCTGTCCAATGGGAGGCCAGGAGGAAAATCCCTGCTAGTGTTGTATAGCCTCTATCCAAATGGAAAAATACAGAATACTGCGCCATAAACCTGCCTCTTTGGTTACACCCCTTCAAGCCAGAAAGACTTCATTATCAAACGTATGCACCCAGCATAGGTAGTGATATCCTTACTACATGACTGCCCAAGTGTCTTCTTCTAATGCAGGTTATTTGTAGTTCAGATCACTCTGCGTTCAACGGCTGAACTCTGTATCTACATTTGAAATATTTTTATGGAGTGATGGGCTTGAGTAAGTTGGCAGGCTTATTCTGTCAACCATTTATTTTTTTGTGCACAAATGATAAAGATTTGAGAAAGAAAAAAATAAATACATTTTAAATAATAAATTAAAGCATATTAATGGTGCTCAGAGTCCCTTTAAGTAATTTAAATGTACTGTTCCCTATTATGTATGTTTATGCTATTTTAGCAAATGGACAATCTTGCACCTATATGCATATGGATCAAAGCCGTAAAGTATATTATATAAAAAAAGGTTTTTTTTTTATTGTTTTTCCCCTTTCTTTCCTTAAACTGCTATTATGCTTTATCACTGTTTATTGTTAAAACAGCTCTAGAATATTGTTCTAAGAAGTAAAGGGTGGGGGAGGGAAGTGTGATGGGTAGGAGAAGGTAACCCTAATGATTGTTCTCTTATGTAGATGTGCTCACTTTTCTACAAATGCTCAGTTGTATTTGGCACGCTATTGGTATTCCTTCTGTTTGGACTACTTAACAAAAACTGAAAAACGCAAAAATAAAGATTGTCAAAGACATAGTACAAGTCTGGTACCTGCAGTGGATGTGTAAGCAGATATGCAAGAGCATTTCAAACACAAATTAAGGGATCAGAGGTATGTTTAAAGTGTGTCTGAACTGGAAAAATACATAAGTTAAAGATGGCATACTATAGCTTATACACAAGTAAGACAACAGTCACCAGCAACAACTGTGCCAATTCTTAGAGATGCGTGTGCATCCCCAAAAGGCATTTGACTCAATCCTATGTGTGTATGTATGTATTCAGTATTATATATTATATACATACATAGACACGCATATTAACATCTATCACTCAAACCTGTTTCACGTAACGGATTTTAAATAAACAATGTCCGCAAGTGGATTTTGAAGAACACAACAATCCTGATGATTTGATGAACGCCTTGTTTATTACAGAGGTTAGAAGCATGATACTTGCATTCATTTATTTTTACATATAGTCTGCAGTCATGAGAACGACGTTATATGAGTAAAATTTAAATGGAAAGAAGCATCACAAAACAGACACACAGCAGTCCAAGTACAGCAACATAAGATGCAGACAATAGCAGACTGCTTACCAGCTCCTTGCAGATTTTCCCAAGAGGTGACAGAAAAATAACAAAACAAACATAAGTTAAAAGAAGGAAGAAAGAACAAACAAAAAAAAAATGTATTAGAAGATTAAAACATGCAACAACTTTATAATAAGCTTACAGTACCTCATGTACAGTTAAAAAAAACAACAAACAGCTAAAAGTACTTGGAAGTAGAAAGAAAAAATGCTTTAAGACAGAATTGCAAGTTTTATACTTAGCATTTCTAGACCATGTACATTGTAACATTTGAAGACATGGGTTTTACTTTACATTATTGCCATTTTCTGCAGAAAGATCAAAACAAAATATTCTATGGCGGGGATTTGAAAAAAAGCCAATCTTCTATGATAATTTCTGTAAATTTAGCCACATTTTGAAAGCATTGCAAAGTCACTTGCTAGGATAGAAACATAGAATGTGATGGCAGATAAGAACCATTTGGCCCATCTAGTCTGCCCAATTTTCTAAATACTTTCATTAGTCCCTGGCCTTATGTTTTAGTTAGGATAGCCTTATGCCTATCCCACGCATGCTTAAACTCCCTCACTGTGTTAACTTCTACCACTTCAGCTGGAAGGCTATTCCATGCATCCACTACTCTCTCAGTAAAGTAATACTTCCTGATATTATTTTTATACCTTTGCCTCTCTAATTTAGGACTATGTCCTCTTGTTGTGGTAGTTTTTCTTCTTTTAAATATAGTCTCCTCCTTTACTGTGTTGATTCCCTTCATGTATTTAAATGTTTCTATCATATTCCCCTGTCTCGTCTTACATGTTAAGATCCTTTAACCTTTCCTGGTAAGTTTTATCCCGCAATCCATGAACCAGTTTAGTAGCCCTTCTCTGAACTCTCTCTCTAAAGTATCAATATCCTTCTGAAGATACGGTCTCCAGTACTGTGTACAATACTCCAAGTGAGGTCTCACCAGTGTTCTGTACAATGGCATGAGCACTTCTCTCTTTCTACTGCTAATACCTCTCTCTATACAACCAAGCATTCTGCTAGCATTTCCTGCTGCTCTATTACATTGTCTGCCTACCTTTAAGTCACCTGAAATAATATAAGGGATAGATAAAAAGATAAAACAAAGGGAACCAGATATTGTGAAGAACTAAGGATTAGATCCAAGTATCTGTATGTATAGATTTAGTATAAGCAAGTTATTCCATGTGCAGGTTTGATTGAAGTGATGAAGCAGGAGATATTAAAGCAAACTAATGTGCGTCATTAAATATTGAATAGATTGGGTTAAACTAAGCTAGCAAAAAGGTGGTTTAAGCAGTGTAAAAAACAAACAAAAAAACATATGAATATAATCTTACCAGGCTTTCCACATTCATTCAAGAGGTCTTGGTTATATCACTTAAACAAATGCAAGTTAGTAAGACCTATTACCAGTTGATGTTTACTTCTTCTGAACAGTGAAACTTGTTTTACTCTTTGCAATATTGCAGTAATAATACATTTACACTGGTCTTATAATAATGGAAGATATAGAATTATTGTGTGCCACGGACATGAAGTGCATCCATAAAGCTTAGCCACAGGATGCAAGCTCAAATCAGGGACACTTAAGAGACCACTAAATAGGTCAAACTGCAGGTGAAACTATATAGTGAATGTAAATTTCCAGCAGCTGGTGGACTACAACTCTTTACCTTACATACATACAGACCCGGTAAGAAAGATCACAGAGTCCCGGCTTTCAAAGCGTTGCCGTAGTTACCAACGCAATGCTTGAATCCACATGGTCCTGCTGGGGCTCACGAGAAGCGGGGAAGGGCGATAGCCACTACAGTGCCAGCAGACCAACATGGAATGCGCCATCGTTTCCCCCCCCCCCTGGCCACAGATAAAAAAATGAACTAATTTAAAAAAAAAAAATTTCTTTTAAATACATAAAAAGCTGCACCCCTCTCAGCCCCCACAAAAGTCAGCTTCTATCCTACCTCAGAAACTCTCTCACACTACACTCACACAATTACTGTGATACTTATTAATGGGCAAACCTACTGTTGTATTTACTAATTGGCAAACTTACTGTGATATTTATTCATAGGTAAACTGTTTTTAATGGGATAACTGACTGTGGTGTATTTTTAATTGGAAAACTGACTGTGCCATGTTCTGTGGGGCAAAGTGACACTGTTCTGTGTATGCACTTTATTACTCCTATTCTTTATTTATATATTTTTGCCTGTGGTGTGCTGTGGATTTCTTGGAAGAAGTTTGGCGTGTCTTGGAGGATGACAATAGCTGGAGGAGCACTGTGATCGAGTATAACATTTAAAGTGGCTCGGTCACCCCCAAAACATTAAATTGTTACGATTGTTTCCTCTTCATTTCCGCTTACAAAATCTGTTCTTCTTTTCTTCATTTCTGATCTAGTTCTCTTTAGAACATAGGACAAATTAGAAATTACTTTGTCTTACGTAGTATTCATATGCTTGACAACTAAGACAAAATGGAGGAGCTTGAGGCAAGCTACACTTTCATCATGAAGCTAACAAGTGTGAAGCTTGCCTTGAGCTCCACCCTTTGTCAAGTCCTTACTTAATCTTGTGTTTTAAAGATAAATAAATCAGAAATGAAGAAAAGGACAGAATCTGAAAGAGGAAGAGAAGAGGAAACAACAAAAGAAAGGTAAGTTTTATGTGACAGAGCCACTTTAAAACAATTGATGTTAGAGAAGAGGAGGGCCAGGTGTCATGCAGCTGTGCATTTGTATGCCTTTCTCTGCTGTTTTAATAAGCAAATTGACTCTTCTCTTTTTACATGTCCTGGATATTTTCAACCAATCTGCAGCTTTTACGCTCCGGCCCATCTTTTGCCATTTATGACACCCCACTCGCCACCCTCCCATTTTCTAGCATCAGCTGTTTTAAGAGTCATACTCTATCATACTGATCAGTATTGTTTCAGACCTGAGAAAGAGGACAATTCTCAAAAGCTTGTCTTTAAGCATTATGTTCAATAAAAAAAGTAATCATTTCATACTGCAATACTTTGGTATCTTGTCTACTGGATATGGCTAATCCAATACATATATAGTCCCAAGAACTGAGCTCATAGTTTAGTTACTCTGTGCTTACCATGGTGCAGCAACCAGCCGTAGTTATATCAAACAAGTATATGCTTTAAATCAAGTTTTACTGCTTTATTAAATCCAAAAGCAGACAATCACAGTGTATCAATGTTTTAGTCTTCACAGGAGAAGAGTCTCCTGTTGAGATGGAAGTGTTGATAAGCTGTAATTGTCTGCCAATACATTTTACATTGTATTTTTTAAAATTTATTTTTAAACGGTAAAATAGCTTTGCATGTGGCGTGGGAACAAAAAATATATAATACTTGCCTTTTAGGTTCCAAAAACACAAACTGTACCACATGCACAGGCAGCTGCAGCTGTTGGCAGGCCGCTGTCAAAAAAGGTAGAGGTTCCAAACAGGATCCTCTCATTCTGTTTTCTTATCGCATTAACCCTTCTATGCAGCACAGGTTTATCTTTAAGCTCCAGTTCCACAGATCATATAGGATGAGCAAAACAGCACACTGATAACAGCTATATAAAAGCAGTTACCAACTTATTTAAAGTTATGTTCACAGTTTTGTGCGTTGGGCTGTGAGTATGTACTTGGAACAGAAAAGGGAGGGGCGAGATGTCGGTCCAAATTGTGTGTGCAGAAATCATTCAGCTTGAAGCATTGACTTGACCACTCCTGATCTTGGAGGGGAAGTAAATACTTTGCAGTCAGTCATCCAGTGTCATTAAGCAAACAAAGCTGCAGTTTTCAGCCACACTAGACAAGACAGGGCACTCTGTTTCTCTGCATCATACCCTTTGCATTGATGCAAAGTTGTTAGTGGTAAGAGTGATCCTTTAAACTTTTCCATAGAACAAAAAAAAAAACATACAATCTCAGCACCAACAATCAGTATAACGATCATTAGCCAAGATTTAGGCTTTAAAATAGCAAAGTTAACATTATTCATGTTTAATCAAATGTAGATTTACTGTGGCATTGACAATATTCACAAAATCAAATTTTCAAAGTTCCTGAGTGTAAAAAGCAAAAGATGTAATGATTACTTGATTATTTTATTATTAAATCCAAAATCAGAATTAAATCAAATGCAAATCAAGAAACTTTATTATTATTATTATTTGGACATTTAACAATTTTAGCCCACATTACTGATCTAAAGGTGATTTATCAGGTCATTCGGTAGAATTTAACATTAAAAGTGGCACTACAGAAATCAGATTGCATGCGAACATTATACTCAGAAAGCATGCATTAAAAAGAAGCATGAGTAGTCTTACTTGTGCAAACTAGCATCCAGGCATGGTGGTCAAAAAGGGAGGGTGAGAGGGTTAGATTAATTAACATGTGTAACAATTGCATTACAATTCAACATTAGTAGATGGTGTCCCCAAGCATGATATGAAGAGCTGGTCCAGTTTACACAGTAAGTATTTAAAAGTCTACAGCTAACAGCTACCATTAACCCTTTAAGGACACAGCTTCAGAAGTAGAAGTTCAGTATGATACACACATTCAATCATATGTTTTTAAGGGGTTAAACATGATTGTTTAGTCACAATAGGTCCATGGTTTAAAAAAGTGTTTCATCCTTTGACACCCCCCCCCCCATAAATTGCAGTTATTATAACGTCAGCAAAAAATTAAAGCTACAAACCCAATCCAAATATCTGTAATTTTGGCCTAACGTTTTTACATTCTCATTTAATTCCTGTCAGTTCACACTTTGGTGAATAAACCTGCTAATCTCTAATTCTGGGGCAAAGTGCTCTATGGCAATCAGCTGTGACATCCATTGGCTTGCTAGGTAAGTAGCCACAAAGTGCTCTATGGCAATCAGCTGTGACATCCATTGGCTTGTTAGGTAAGTGGCCACAAAGTACTCTATGGCAATCAGCTGTGACACCCATTGACTTGCTAGTTAAGTGGCTACATAAAGCACTATGTCCTGAATGGTCTATCTAGTCTTGGCTCTGTCAGTATGGCCCATAGTACAGGCCAGCGGGACACCACCTATAACTCACCGGGCCTGTCCTACACCTTACCTGTGTGTGATAATGCCCACCATATGACAGTGTGCAGAGCTGGATGGTAGAATTAACCAGAGTTCTGCAAGTGGAGCAATCAGTCTGAACTTGAATACCATGCAGAGAAACTGTACTACATCTAACTAAACACTTGAAAAGGACAATGAAAAGCTAAATCTTACTGCATGACCTCTGAATTGCCGAATGTCATACCGGCTTAATTTCAACTACATGATGTTGAGTAATATTAGCAGGCGCATCCTGATAATTTCACCAAGCAGAAATGTCATCTCCCTAAATTGTCTTATTGTGCGATCCTCAGGACTGCTAATCATATCTTTGCTTTGAGATACATGTGTTCCTGTGAAGTCATACATGTATAAGATATCAATCAATATTTAAATTGGATAACTACTTTCAAACAGCTAACCACTTACCAGATGTAATTATCAGGCAGAGTAACAGTCCAGGATACCAGTGTCATGCAAATACTAGTGCCACATATACTGATGTTTAAGATGGAGTTACTACATTCAAGGTGGAGGGACAAGTCAAAGCAGCCACATTTCAATCATTTTAATTGCCTCCAAAAGGGTTTCTGTGCAAGCCACACTATACAGCAACTTGCAAATGTGTTCAAACATGAATAGTAATGTGAATAAGTGTTGGGAGTTGCACCTGTACTTAAAACATGGTTTGGTTTCATCCATTTTTATTTAAAACAGTAAAAGAGGACCTCTCCCTTGCAGGGATGACTGGCATAAAATATGTAGTCGAGTTGAATAAAACCCTAAAATTGTACTTACTTTGCCCATATGCACACTGTCGAGGACATAATTTACGGAAAGGTATAGGATGCATTAAAAAAATGCGTGCATCAGAATGTTTCTTTAATTAGGAGAGGATTGCATGTTGTAAAACATATGAGAATATGGTAGGTTGTATCAAATTATGCCAGCCAGTGTTCTTTAAAAAAATAATAATAATAATTCAAGGGAGGTGTTCACTCAAAGTTATATTTTGAGAAAATTACATTTAAAAGTCATACTCTATCCACCTTAACCACTTCAATTTGATGCATATTTGCTCACATTGGATGTAAATACTCTCCACCCAAAAACATGAAATCGGCAGTATGTCACTGCGAAATGAATCAAACCCCAGTTAAGGGAATCCCCCCGCATAGCCCATTCCCAACTACCCAAACTCAAAGGCAGCCTAGCCTTACCAGACTTTAGAAAGTACTACCTAGTACTACTCTGCCCTGGATCACAAGGGAAGCAAGCAAACACTCTAACCTCACAAATCCATTCGTGAAAGCCACACTCCATATCTGGCACCAAAACAGCACCAAATACTACCTTACAATAGATCCCAGCCCCATGATCCCCCTGAGAGGCAGCCCGGACTTCCCGGCAGGAGACCAAGGGCCTCTCAGACACCTGACGAACCATACCAAAAAAAAATCTGTGTAGCTGATGTGCTATACAGAACAACAGCACACATTTTTACACACTATGGCGAGAGAACAAATATCGCACTACGCCCGCTCAATCCCCCAAAAACCATGCCTACTTCGAGACCGAATGGATTTCGAATCCCTCTGCCTTCAGGATGTGGTACCAAGAGCAATCTCCCTGATCTGCACCACACTTGATCATCACTCACATCCACAAGACTCCAGGGTCAGCAAGGCTGCAGGAAAACGCAAATAAAGTCTTCACAAGATGGTACATCACCCCCGCCGCCCTCCGCGCCCAAAATTACACCACGCCTGACACCTGCTGGCGATGTGGAGAGGAGGGGGGTATCTTCATCCACCTTTGGTGGGACCTGGCCCTCATTAGACCATTTTGCGAAAAGACCGGCCGTGTGATTCGGGGAGTGACTGATGAAATCCTACCGTCCCCATATCTCCTCCTTTACACCACAATGCCGATGCCGGCCTATAAAAGTTCAGTGACTCCAAGACTCCTCAATGCAGTGAAAGCTATCAGCCCCATCTACGGAGACAACAACGCACCCCCGTACTCAAGAGATGGGTAGAGGAGGTGGAGGGTACAAGGAAATTCGAAGAGTTGAAGGCAACCTCGGCGAAAGATAAAGAAAGGTACACGAAGAGATGGTTCCACTGACCGAGACATGTCTCCTCAAAAGAGTTCGTACAGAGGGCAGGCCGGGGACACCTGGAGAGACACCCGTGAGGGAGCCCTCGGGGCACGGAGGGCTGAGGCAGTGACCGGGGTCAGTGCTCAGGCGACACTGGTTGAGGGGGCAGAGGGATGGGAGTTGCCCTCCCGCCCCCCTTTTTTTCCCCCTCTCTTTCTCTTCTTCTTCTCCCCCTCTCTCCCTCCTTCTCTTTTCCATCCACCCTCTCTCACCTGACCCTCCAACCAGGGCCCAGCCCACTACCCTGACACAGAACTAGACCAATACCAGACGACCCTTTGACAGGAGCTGACACACTCCACGGAAATGGACCCACACCTCCCACCCTACACAATCCCTGGGAATGGATGACAGGCTGCAGATGAACCACTCATCAGTCTATGTAAACCACATTGACTGCGGTAACCATGTCCCATGCTAACTGTACCATATGCCACTCCTGAGTGGACAACCAGTTTTTTGTTTTTTTTCAAAACTGCCATAACTGCTTTACCAAATCGAAAGCCTCTGCGTAGGCAAATGTTACTATAACACTGATAAACTTTCGCTGATACATATACCGTTTATTGCATGTATACTACCTCCCATACATGGAAAAATTGTTTCCTGAACTGTTATCAATAAAAACAGATTTAACACAAGTTAAGGGGTAACATTCATTTTACAAAAACAATTTAACTTGGTGTTGGTAATGTTTAGTATGGAAAGTTGTCATTTTGACGTGTATTTTCTATTCTATGTTATGAAAATATCATAAAAGAAACAAGTCACATACTTGGTCAAATAGATTAAGATTGATAGATTACTTCTTTGTTTTTAATCTATTTGACCAAGTATGTGATCTTTACTAGGGAACAGCAGTTTGCAAGATCTTCAAATCTAGATGAGAGCACGATGATGTAACAGTCATACTCTTCAACTTTAGAATAATTTATTTTACTATGTGCTGTTCATATAATCAAAGTTGGTACAAACAGAAACACAGTAAATAATTGAAAAATAATATTTAGCTTAATTTGTTCATGCATTTTACTGGGAACGGTTTAAATCTGCAATTCCTTTTGTTAGCTTAAAGCAGTGCTTCCACCTTTTACCTCCATGATGGCTGATGTTTGCCAGACAAAATGTAGATGCTTGGCCAGCCAAAAGAAAAAATTAAAACTATAATATGGCTTTACGGTTTTACCATTTAAAGCATATTTGAGTTAATTCCAATGCAAAAAGCTGACGAGATACATTGCACTTTTGACAGAATATGCAATAATAAAAATGTCTTATACAATGAACTGATATGCTTTACTTATGACAATTGCATTTTAATGAAGCATGCCAGAAACACTAACAGCCAACAAATTGGCAAAGTTACTTACTGCGCCTAAAATAAACTCAAAATAAGAGCCTTACCGCATCAAATTCTGCCTGGTCATCCTCAGGCAAATCACTGGTTTCATATACATCAGGTTCATTCCTTGCCTAGGGAAAAACAATCAGACAAAATAAAATAATTATTAGTACATATAGTTGATGAAGTGGAATAAGTGTGCCGTATTCTTCAGGAGCCAACTTATCGACTATGCAGGGCCGGCTAAACTTGGTATAAATGTCGGAAGTATGAACTTATCAGACCAAGTAAAATCACAAGGAGCTTGAGCATCTGGTACAGCAGGGTAAGAGTTAAACCATTCTTAAAGGGACACTAAAGTCACCAAGATATGACATTGGGAATAGGGGTAGGGACCAACATAGGACCTGCCAATAAAGCAAAATAATTTAATTGGAAACATGTGGCAACTAGAAAGTGGGCACATAAGCCTGGTGTCATTTTTTTGGGAGCATCACTGGAAAATAAGTATCTATGGCAGAGGAAAAGAGTTCCCGAATCGAAACTTTCCCATCTGATCTGGAAATTCTGGAAGGCATTCACCAACGATTAACCAATTACAATTTAATAAATGCTGGGAACAAAGAACTCATTTCCAAGTCACATATCTTTGGAATTGTGCTTATAAAATGCATTTTAGCTTTTGGCAATATACAGATTTAAAAGGACAGAATGTGTCCAAAATAAATAATATGTATTCCCACATTACATAGTCAGCTAAATTTCAAATTTTAAAAAGGATGCAGATGTTCTACTCCACAGTAAGTCAATTATTGATGCATTTTGGTTATGCTTTTATGGATTTGTTTCCAGTAAAGAAAATAAAAGTACAGCAAGTTTTTTGTTGGTTTCTCTTTTTTACAGTAAACCATGAAGGAAGACATGACCTCTTAATATACTGATCTTGACATTAAAGGAACATTCCCATGTTTTATTTTAAACAATTTAGTAGATATACATGCACATTGGTGGCATACCACAGCTTGCAAAGCTACAGATCGCTTGTCTTCTTTCCTAGTCCAGACTTTCTGTGGTTGTCCAATCACAGACTTCCCAGTGCAGCTTAATGAGAAGTTCTTACAAGGCAGGGGCTCTGGGTTATTGCTGCCTCTTGAGTTTAGCTGCACTGAGCTAAACAAACAGGATTGGTTGTCTCATTGACAATCAGGGTGGTGTAAACTGAATGAAATTTAATTCACAAAGATTTTGTGACTAAACAAACCACACCATATCCCTAATAATCTAGCATTGTCTCCATGCATTAATCTATAGTGAAGCTAACTGTGTGGTCAGCAAACATCAGTTTCCTCTCTGAGAATAAATGTTTTAAAAAACAAAAAAAACATATTGGGAGAGGGGGTGGGACACTTTTTCAGACAATGCACAAACAGTAACTCTGCCCGTCAATAAAAATAATCTTATTTCAATGCCAATAAAAGTACGCTCTGAACACACGCTAAAAGATTCTTTAGCCAACACCCAATGCTTGAAATGTTAAACCAACAGAAACTGAAATAAGGATAGCTAGGCTTAGAAAACATCTCTACAGGTAACTGAACGTGTACAAAAGGGGATATATATTTTTTCTAAACATTACTGATACTAGAAAGGTTATTCACTAAGCGTTTGAATAGGTAGAGAATGAAAATCTGAACAGCAAAATTTAAGCTAAAATAGCCAAGCTGTGTGGAACATTTTCCAGAGAATATTTAGCTTAAATTGTGCAATCTGGGGGGCGGGGCTAGGACCTGGAGCTGAGCAGACACCATAACTGCGGGCTCCTACATTGAAAGCTGAAAATTTTAATTATCTTGAAAAGCGCCCGACACGCAGCCCGTAGCACAGCAGGACCGATATCGGGATCGTACACCGAATCGGTAGATGCCTTTCCAGCACACACCGAGGTCTGGCAAAGTAAAACGCAGACCCAAGGCCTACCAAGCACCGACCATCCACGACCTAGAGAAGCTAATCGGCGTAGCCTACTTACAGGGTGATTCTGACCCGTAAAACGACTTCTACCCGTACCTAAACGAAACACCCAAGACCATGGGGAAGCGCACGCAAAAGTCCTCCACAGAACATGACATCGGCACCTTACTACAGAGGCAGATGCAACCTAGAATGGCCCCCTCTGACCAGATGCCATCCCGATCACCGGCCCACTCCTCTACCCAAACAGACACAGAAATCACGATGTCGGCAACCACTGCAGCGCCGGGTGACACCTCACTTGCCACTAAGCAAGATCTACAAAACTGGGTGCAAGACATACAAAAAATGCTGGCCACGGATGTGGGACTCCTGAAAGCTGACATGCAAAATGTCACCAACCGCGTGCGAGCGACAGACATCATGGACATATAAAGCAGCATGACAAACATGCAACACACAATACAGCAACTGCAAACCTCACAGCAAAGTCTAACGCTGCAAATGTCCGCCAACGAAGACCGCGCCCGACGCAACCACATAAAAATTTGAGGAATTCCCGTCGACATCCATGGCAACGAATTACCACATTACGTACTGAGACTCCTAGCCACCATCCTGCCACTGGCAGTTAGCCGGAAATTTGTGCTGGACGCCATATACCAACTACCAGCCACCCCCAAGGTACCCGCTGCAGCTACCAGGGATGTCATACTGCGCTGTGCCACATCTCATGATAGTAACCAAGTCATGTCCACAACCAGAGGTAAAACCCCTCTTACATTTGAAACAGCACAGCTATTGTTCTACCAGGACTTAACCCGAGCTACGTTGCAATGGCGAAAGTCGATGACACACTTCACAAGTCAACTACGCACAATAGGAATACCTTCCCACTGAGGAACACAGAGATCCCTGCTAATCCCCCACAACGGAATCACCCACAAGATATCATCAGACGCGGAGGTACCCGCACTTCTAGCTAAACTGGGTCTGCCAGATATACCTGCCAACACACCCCAACAGCCACAGCATAGTGTATGGGACCCAGCCAATAACGCACCGTTCACCCCACGACTGACGGCACCCACGAGCTCAACGACCTGACTGGGAACAGAGAATATACAACTCGAGCAGGCCAAGAAAACTGGCCGACACTGACAGCAGCCAGTGACAGTGTACTCTCGTTCCTGTATGCCACCTGTTGTGACAAACCTGAACTTATTGTTTCTCTTCTTATGGATAGGTTACAGCTCCCTCACCTTCTTAGCGCAACGACTACACCCCCTTCATCCCCCCCACTAGGGGTAACACAATGAAAGAAGGACCCTCTAAATGTACCCAAGTTACCCTGGAAATAACACACACCTTTCATTAAGACAGGTTAGAATACTCAATTAGGGTTCAACATCTTGTTTTCTTAAAACACCAAGCAACAGACATCAGTCCTAGGCACACCTACTATTCAAGCAAGAATATGTAAGACAGCTACTCCACTATAGCTATGCAAGGGGTATAGGATGTATATATCAAATATAATGTATTGAAGTTTGCAGCTGCTGCCTCTGACCTGCCTGATGTATGCTGACATCATCAGAAGTGGTGGTCTGAGCCTATCACAATGCTTTCCCATAGAATTGGCTGAGACTGTCAAGGAGGCAGATCAGGGGCAGAGCCAGCACAAGTCAAACACAGTCCGGGCTAATCAGCATCTCCTCATTGAATCAATGCATCTCTTTTAGGAAACTTCAGTGTCTCCATGCAGAGAGTGGAGCAAAGCAAGATAAGAAGGAAGATTACACAAGCCCCCACTGGACCCCAGGGGAAGGATCCACTCCAGCTCTCACAACGGGAGAGAGGCTGGGTGGACAAAACCTAAATGAAAACAAATAATTTGGGAGTGTGAGAGAGAACGTGTTTATCTGTCAATGAATGTGTGTGTATGCAGTATTGGAGACCGTATCTCCAGAAGGATATTGATACTTTGGAAAACGAGAAGGGCCACTAAACTGGTTCATGGATTGCAGGATAAAACTTACAAGGAAAGGTTAAAGGATCTTAACATGTATATCTTGGAGGAAAGACGAGAGGGGGGGATATGATCAAAACATTTAAATACATAAAGGGAATCAACACAGTAAAGGAGGAGACTATATTTAAAAGAAGAAAAACTACCACAACAAGAGGATATGGTCTTACATTAGAAGGGCAAAGGTTTAAAAATAATATCAGGAAGTATTACTTTACTGAGAGGGTAGTGGACGCATGGAATAGCCTTTCAGCTAATGTGGTAGAGGATAACACAGTGAAGGAGTTCAAGCATGTGTGGGATTGGCATAAGGCTATTCTAGACTTAAGATAAGGCCAGAGACGAATGAAAGTATTTAGAAAATTGGGCATACTTGATGTGTGTGGGTGTGTAGGTGACCGCCCCCCTCCCCTCTCCAATTGCATGGGAAAGATGTTTTTATTTACCCTTTTTCCCCACACTGCGCTGGCCAGCAAATGCTGACATAACCAGTGTTTGATTGCAGAACCAAGTTTGACTCTGTTCTGTAGGCAGAAATGCCTGTTGAAATCTAGAGGTGTATTTAACCATTCAAAGTAAAGATTGCTGTTTCTACAAAATGGGAATGTTTCACATCGAAGGGTTAAAATTACAGGACCAGTGCATTGAGTTGGTGTCCTCGTTAGCTTCAGTTGTCCTTTAAACAGTAAACAGAAGCAGAAAAGTGCCACCCACAAAATATTATTTATGCTGTTCTTAAAGGGACACTGTAGGCAACCAGACCACTTAAGCAAATTGAAGTAGTCTGGATGCGGTGTACCTTTTGCACTTAGTACTGCAATGTTTACCAGACAGCCACTAGAGGGCTTCCCGAATCCTAACAGACTTTTGATCAGTTATCCTCATGGACCTCCAGCGTCAGATTTTCCCCATAGGAAAGCAATGAATAATGCTTTCCTATGGGGAGGTCTAATGCGCACACTGCCCTTGCCACACATGCGCATTAGGTCTCCCCGCCGGCTGCCGTGCATGCACGATTACCACCTAATGCTTTTCTATGTAAAGCATTGGATTGGCTGAGATCATCAAGTTTGAAGACCAAATCCAAGAGGGCGGAGCGTGGAGTAAATCACCCTTTTAACCGGAGGTAAGTGGGAGGCTATAAACAGCTAGTTAGACCTATAGTGTCAGGAATACACATTTGTATTCCTGAAACTAGTCTTCCTTTAAAGACCGTACAATACAGATAAATATAAATACATAGTAACTCACTCCCATCCAGACAGAGATGGGAGAAGAAAGGTAAAACTGAAACCACCACTGCATACACATAACCGATATCATACAAACCTTGGTTCACTAAAGTAGGAATTGTTAGTATTCAAAATTAATTTCACATTAACCGCTTAAGGACGCAGGACGTTCTATGCCGTCCTTAAGGAACCGGCTCTAAACGCCGGAGGGCGGCATAGAACGTCCCCGGCGTCCTATGTACTTACCCGGTCGCCGGTGATCCCACGCCCGCGATCGCGGTATGGGGACTGACCTGGGAGCCCAGGAAGTCCCCCTCCTTACTCTTCGGCCTCTCTGGGCCATGTGATGGTGAGGTCCGTACGAGGACCTCGCGATCACATGGACAGCATAGCCGTCCAAGGCACTGCCAGCAGGGGGAGTGTCCGTTATGACAGGTACTCCCCCTGCTGTCTGAAGAAAAAAAAAAAAAATGTAAAAGTGTAAAATTAAATAATATATACTTAGATCATTTATATATACATACACTGTGTATTTTAAAATTAATATATAATATATATATTCATATCAAATTACACGTACAATGATATTGACTAAATATATATATATATATATATATATATACACACACACACACGTGTAATTTCGTTCTATTTTAAAAATATATGTACATACATAAGTATATACGTATATATCACTATATATATATATATATATATATATATATATATATATATATATATATATATATATATATATATATACACACACACACACACACACAGCTATATATAAATAAAATAATTTAAAAAATTATATACGTAGAATTAATATATATATATATATATATATTTATTTATGTAATAATTTTACATAATTAGGTCATTTTATTAATTACAATTTGCAGGGCCTGCCTGACAACCCAAGCCAAAAGTTCAGGGAATTTAATTTGCTAGCTTTCCAAGACACCATAAAACCTGTACATGGGGGGTACTGTTTCACTTGGAAGACTTTGCTGAACACAAATATTAGTGTTTCAAAACAGTAAAACTTATCACAACAATTATATCATCAGTGTAAGTGCAAAGTTTTACTGTTTTGAAACACTAATATTTGTGTTAAGCAAAGTCTCCCGAGCATAACAGTACCCCTCATGTACAGGTTTTATGGTGTTTTCAAAAGTTACAGAGTCAAATATAAGGCTTGCGTTTCATTTTTTTCACATTAAAATTCGCCAGGTTGGTTATGTTGCCTTTGAGACCGTACGGTTGCCCAGGAATGAAAATTACCCCCACGATGGCATACCATTTGCAATAGTAGACAACTCAGGGTATTGCAAATGGGGTATGTACAGTGTTTTTTACTAGCCACTTAGTCACAAACACTGGCCAAAATTGGCGTTCAAATTTGTTATTTGCATTTTCAAATATTAACACTAACTTTGGCCAGGTTTTGTGACCAAGTGGCTACTAAAAAAGACTAAACATACTCCATTTGCACTACCTTGGGGGTTGTCTATGTAGCGGAGAGGCAATATTACCCAGGTTATCTCCGCTTATAATCCAAGTGAGACTCAGGAACAAGTAAATAGTAAATCCAAAGGCAGGGTTTCCAGCAGGTAAAATACAGCAATATCCCAACAGCAATCCCAATAACTGGACGACACACAGTTTCAGGAGCATAACTGACAAGCCTTTAATCACAGTCTCCTTATAAAGCATGCTCCCATGCAAGGGAGGGATTTACAGTAATTATTACAGTAGCCAATCCTGTCCTGGTAACCTCCCACACATCCCCTCCCCTCAGCCAGCATCATAATCCCCTTATCCAGCACACCAATTCCCCCCGTTTCTGGATGTACCCCTAAACGTAGGGGTACCCCTTTAAATCCTACACCCCCTGATAGCCCTGATCTGGGTGAACAACATATCCAAAAATCACCCAGATCGGACCAGGGGTTCGGGAAAAGTATGGAGGGAATAAAATGACCGACCGCACGAACAGAGATAGCCGAATTCGGTTCCATGTGAATGGGCCTTGCGGTCGGTCCTGGCATAAGGGAATAAAATACACGAAAGCCTCTAGCTATAGAGGCTAGGGAGGGTTCGCCTGAATCCCCTCGTTCGGTATTTTCTATTTACCGAACGAGGGGCCGTTCGGTAGTTTGGAACCGAACGGACCAGGGCTGTGGAGGTCTCAGCGGTGTTCGCCTACTCGAGTGTCCGATTTTAGTTCCAGGCACTCGACGGCAAAACACCGCTGTTCGGGAGTTTTAAAATGGCCGCCGCCACGTGTTCGTTTGTCGAATGGCGGCCACCCCCGAGAACAAAGGACGGCTACTTACTGTTCAATTACCCGTTCGCAACAATGTTGCAACTGGTAATTGAGGACACACTTCACACAGGGAGGTCTGGTTGTTCGGTAGTTTCATTCGAATAAACTAAGGGAATGAAACTACCGAACAATCAGAGGAATACAATTCTTTTTAAATACACAGAAATTACAGCAGATACACGTCTGCAGCTTTATACAGTATTTCTTGTAGGGTCGCCTGGTGCCATCTGCTACAGTCTACGTTTGCACATAGTATGCCATCATGGGGGTAATTCTTATTCCTGGGCTACCGTATGGTCTCAAAGGCAACGTAACCAATCTAGCGAATTTCAATGTGAAAAAACTGAAAAATGTAACATGCTATACTTGACCCTGTAACTTACCAAAACACCATAAAACCTGTACATAGGGGGTACTGTTTTACACGTGAGACATCACTGAATACAAATATGTGTATTTTATTGGAGTAAAATCAAACAGTATTTTGACATTCACAGTTAAAATGTAACGTAGAACTAAGATTTATGATGTTCCATACCTAAATATTTGATGTTAAATTAAAGTCCTGTTTCCCCTGAATAAAATGTTATATAATAAGTGTGGGTGGATTTAATATGAAAGAGGTGAATAACGGTTGGACAGAAATATAGCGCAAATGCCAGGTTTTGTTTACGTTTTCATCACAACTTGTACATTTGGCTGCGGTCTTAAGGGGTTAAATGGATGGGAAAATTCTCCATATCAGTTCAGCTTTTTTGTCCTAAATGTGAAATTTGCTTAGAATTTTGATAAATCATACTTTGGTAAAGATCCCTGCCAGATGATTCATACAGATAGATATATTATACAGGGCCATATATACCATGAGGCAACAGGAGCAATGCTGGGGCAAAGTCATTTCTGTCAATCAACAGTCCCACCCAGTGGCTTACTACGTAAGTATCACAGATCACTAGGGTAAAATATGTTGTCTCAGTCAGTGTGCCGTCGCTCCAGTCCTGGCTCAGTCAGTGTGTCAGTGTGCTGTCTCTCCAGTCCTGGCTCAGTCAGTGTGTCAGTGTTGCTGTCTCTCCAGTCCTGGCTCAGTCAGTGTGTCAGTGTTGCTGTCTCTCCAGTCCTGGCTCAGTCAGTGTGTCAGTGTGCTGTCTCTCCAGTCCTGGCTCAGTCAGTGTGCTGTCTCTCCAGTCCTGGCTCAGTCAGTGTGTCAGTGTGCTGTCTCTCCAGTCCTGGCTCAGTCAGTATGTCAGTATGCTGTCTCTCCAGTCCTGGCTCAGTCAGTGTTGCTGTCTCTCCAGTCCTGGCTCAGTCAGTATGTCAGTGTGCTGTCTCTCCAGTCCTGGCTCAGTCAGTGTTGCTGTCTCTCCAGTCCTGGCTCAGTCAGTATGTCAGTGTGCTGTCTCTCCAGTCCTGGCTCAGTCAGTGTGCTGTCTCTCCAGTCCTGGCTCAGTCAGTGTGCGGTCTTCTCCAGTCCTGGCTCAGTAAGTGTGTCAGTGTGCGGTCTCTCCAGTCCTGGCTCAGTAAGTGTGTCAGTGTGCTGTCTCTCCAGTCCTGGCTCAGTCAGTGTGCGGGTCTTCTTCCAGTCCTGGCTCAGTAAGTGTGTCATGTGCGCCCTCCAGTCCTGGTCAAGTGTGTCAGTGTTGTCTCTCCAGTCCTGGCTCAGCTCAGTGTGCTCAGTGTGCTGTCTCTCCAGTCCTGGCTCAGTAAGTGTGTCAGTGTGCTGTCTCTCCAGTCCTGGCTCAGTAAGTGTGTCAGTGTGCTGTCTCCCCAGTCCTGGCTCAGTCAGTGTGTCAGTGTGCTGTCTCCCCAGTCCTGGCTCAGTCAGTGTGTCAGTGTGCTGTCTCTCCAGTCCTGGCTCAGTCAGTGTTGCTGTCTCTCCAGTCCTGGCTCAGTAAGTGTGTCAGTGTGCTGTCTCTCCAGTCCTGGCTCAGTCAGTGTGCTGTCTCTCCAGTCCTGGCTCAGTAAGTGTGTCAGTGTGCTGTCTCTCCAGTCCTGGCTCAGTCAGTGTGCTGGCTCTCCAGTCCTGGCTCAGTCAGTGTGCTGTCTCTCCAGTCCTGGCTCACTCAGTGTGTCAGTAGCATCTCTCCAGTCCTGGCTCAAAGGCCAGTGTTGCTGTCTCTCCAGTCCTGGCTCAGTAAGTGTGTCAGTGTGTTGCTCCTCCAGTCCCGGCTCAGTCAGTGTGCTAAGGTCTCTCCAGTCCTGCCCAGTAAGTGTGTTCAGTAAGTTGCCCCTCCAGTCCTGGCTCAGCCTTCTCAGTGTGTTGCCCTCCAGTCCTGGCTCAGCCGCAAGTGTCAGTGTGCCAGTTCTCCAGTCCTGGCTCAGCTCAGTGTGTCAGTGTGTTGCCTCTCCAGTCCTGGCTCAGTCAGTATGCCAGTGTTGCTGTCTCTCCAGTCCCGGCTCAGCTGCGTGTTTGCAGTTGCTGGCGTCTCTCCAGTCCTGGCTCAGTCAGTGTGCTGTCTCTCCAGTCCCGCCTGCCTTCTGGGGTATGTCAGTGTGTTGTCTCCAGTCCTGGCTCAGTCAGTGTGCTGTCTCTCCTGAAATCCTGGCTCAGTCAGTGTGTCAGTGTATGTCTCTCCAGCCCTGGCTCAGCTCAGTATGTCAGTGTGCTGTCTCTCCAGTCCTGGCTCAGTCAGTGTGCTGTCTCTCCAGTCCTGGCTCAGTCAGTGTGTCAGTGTGCTGTCTCCCCAGTCCTGGCTCAGTCAGTGTGTCAGTGTGCTGTCTCCCCAGTCCTGGCTCAGTCAGTATGGCCCATAGTAGAGGCCCGCCGGACACCGCCCATCATGCCCCCATGCCGTGTCAGGTAATGGCCGCCATGTTCCGTGTGCAGGGCTGTATGTGGGTGGTACTCACGATGCCGGGCAGGTCGGCGTACTTGGGGTCGGCCATGTTTGCAGTGAGGGGGAGCGGGGCGCGGCTCTCCGCAGCTTCGTGCCAACACGGCCCGGTCAGATGACGCACAGGAGACTCCGAGCAGCCGGAACAGACCCGCACACAGCCCGAACCGATAAAACCGCTATCACCGAGTACACCGTCCCAGTGCCAACCGGCCGAGCCGTTACCGACAGCCAATTACCGGCACTCTACCAAATCTCGCGACAGCCGATCGATTGGCGACAAGCGGACCGCGGTGCTCGACGGGAAGTGTAGTCTTTCTTGTGTCAGCCATTCCTGTGGGCATCTCACACAGCTATAGAATATGATGGAAAGTGCTTCTGACATGAGCCTCTCCTACAGATAGAGTTAGACCAACATGGCTCTATATCTTCCAGGGTGTGTTGCTGTTTTATGAGTAAAATGTGTGAGAGTATTTAAAATGCAAGTATTTATTTGAGGAGTGTTAATACAGTCAGTACACTATGGACACCCCCTTTATGGCCAGTGCTTTATAAATAGCTACATAGTTACATAGCTGAATAGCCTTTCTCACATGTTTTTGCTGTAGATCAGAAAGAAGGCAAAAAAAAAAACCCAGTCTGAAGCGCTTTCAATTTTGCAACAAACTAGAAAATAAATTCCTTCTTGACCCCAAAATAGCAGTCAGATGTCTCCTTGGATCAAGCAGCTATTACCCCACTAATTAGATATTATATCCCTGTATGTTATGTTTTTGTAAGTATTTATCCAATTGCTATTTAACCCCTTAATGCCGTTTGCGCGTACTATGCCGCTCCACATTTAGTGAGCCTAAACGCCGTTAGGGTGGCATAGTACGCCCTAACGAACGTGAGCTCCCCTGTCCCTGCAAACTTTCCTGGACCAGCGATCCGTGTCGATCCTTGCTGGGGGGACTGCCTCTCGAGACAGGCAGTCACCCTCGTTCCACTTTGGCCCTCCAGGACCATGTGATCGTGACGGACATCGCAATCACATGGCAGCAAAGCAGTGCAGCTATGTTCAGGCAGTCCCCCTAGTGCCTGCAGAAAATAAAAAAAAAGTTAAACACACATATTCAAATAATATATTATACATGTATATTATAAGTGAATTAAAACACCTGACAAGGAGATATAACTCAATCATCTGGGGTGGCAAGACATAGCCTTACATATTACATGCGACAAAATATGGCGCAGTGACTTATGGGGCTAGCATATATTTTTTTCCAGGGCTGCTTTGTATCCTCAGTCCGGCCCTGGGGGTCGGGGTTGTTCTTTCTCAGAGAGAGAGAGAGTTAGGATGCCCCTTTGCATCCTTGTGGTTACTTCTCCAGAAAGTTGTCTCCATCCGAGCATAACTCTGACATTGGTAATAGAGAACTGTTAGCCATCATACTAGCGCTTAAGGAATGGCGACATCTTTTGGAGGGTTCCAAGGATCCCATTCTGATTATTGCTGATCTCAAGAACCTGGCATATATTGGGGATGCCAAATGACTGTCTTCTTGACAAGCTAGATGGTCATTATTTTTGTCTCCTTTAACTTCATTATCACCTACAGACCCGGTTCTAAGAACGTTAAAGCTGCCGCCTTGTCTAGGCAATTTGACATTGAATCGGATCTAGAACAAGAGACATCACCTTTTATTTCTTTTGAGTGTATTATTGCATCCACTGTCCTTTCTTTATCATCCCCTTTGCTCCGTGATATCATGGCGGCTCAGCCCCAGGCACCTTGCAGCAAACCTCAAGATAAATGGTTTATACCATTGCCTGACAGGAAAGAGGTGCTGAAGGTATTCCATGACAATGTGACCACTAGGCATCCGGGTATTAATAAAACTGTATCCGCCATTTCCAGGTCATTTTGGTGGGAGTCACAAAGGAGGGATATTAAAGATTATGTAGAAGCCTGCTCTGTCTGTGCAGTTTCAAAGGTTACTCGGAAACTTCCGTGTGGATTGTTATAGCCACTTCCTATACCCAGTATCCCATGGTCTAATTTATCGATGGATTTCATTGTTGAACTGCCTTGTTCCAATGGGAATACAACCATCCTCATAGTAGTTGACCATTTTTCCAAAACAGCACACTTTACTCCACTTAAAAAATTGCCATCGTCTCAGGACCTGGTGCACATATGTATACACGATATTGTCAGGCTACATGGTATTCCTCAAAATATTGTGCCTAACAGGGGTTCCCAGTTTGTGTCATGGAAATTCCGGTTCTGGCTGACCGCAGATGCAACCTGACTTGGAACGCACAAGATTGTGGAAATCTTAATAGATGTGTACCATCCCCCGTTTTCTTCATTATCATTGCTATTTGTTTACTATTATGCTGGTCACCACCAGGGGGCTATAATTATATATCCTAATACCATCTCATTTGGAACGCATGAGATCATGAAACACGGAAGTGTTATGCTGTTTACACTTCCGGTTCTGGCTGACAGCAGATGCAACCTCATTTGGAACGCAGAAGATTGTGGAACGCGGAAATATTAGACCGTTCGCTCTTCCGGTTTCGGCTGACCACAGATGCAAGCGATTGCGATCATGATGAAATGAAATAGAAGCTTTAATTCCAACAGCTGAACAGGACCTGCTACTACACCAATTACAAAGAGGAATAATGGAAACACCCTCAGATCCACCAATGGACACAGGGAGTAGCCCTATATAAGGGGACTAGTAGGTGGGGGGGGGGGGAAATAGGCTGCTTTTATACTGTTATTGCTATTTGCATTTGATTTTAACTTGTATGGTCCCTGAGGAAGTTCCAGTACTGGGAACAAAACGCGTAGGACCTTTGCTGTTCATATTTTATTATTTATGGGTGATTGTTCACCTTCCAATAAAGCTGCTGAACTTTTTACTACCTACTGAAGTCCTGTTTTACATTCACCCTACCGGATCAACAGGAGGGATAAAATAGCCTCCTAAACAACATTGGGGGAGGCACCCTTGAGCGCAATTACCATCTTTATCCTGTGAGTGCATTTCATTGAGCGCATAATTGCTCACAAAACTGTATTAGACTATATATTTTCTTTGTTCCTTATTTTTAGATTTTACAGCCATATCCCAAATGTTTCTGGTTTTTCTATAATGCTCTATTACTTTGTCTGCATACCTTTAAGACATCTGAAATAATTACCCCTAAATCTCTTTCCTCAAATGTTGCGGTTAGGACTGTATCAAATATTCTGTACTCTGCCCTTGGATTTTTACATCCAAGATGCATTATCTTGCACTTATCAATATTAAATGTCAGTTCCCGCAGCTCTGACCATTTTTCTAGTTTACCTAAATCATTTGCCATTTGGCTTATTCCTCCTGGAACATAAACACTGTTGCAATTTTTGTATCATCAGCAAAAAGACATACCTTACCATCAAAACTGTGGCGGAGCTCCTGTACTCTGACAAGTACCTCTGCCAAGTTCGCTTCCTAGATGCTTGCCAGGACCCTGGAGCACTTCAACCCCAGTTGCCGAGACTTGATTGGGGTCTCTCTAGAGCTTTTCCACCCGACCAGACTGCAGCTCTTCTTCTGGGCAGATATCGACCCCTCTGCTTATTTCTCTGCAGCCTTTCTTCCAGCTTGGTATCGTCCCCTCTGCCTATTCCTCTGCAGCTTTCCTCCTAGGCAGGTATGCACCTCTGCCTGCAATGTGATAGCTCTTGTCTTTATAAAGACACTTGTGGCTCTAAGGCCTTCCTCTCTTTGATTTGCACCAGGGCTAGAGCGATTGTTCAGCCAGACAACAGATACGGCAACTCTGTTACTGGGATTCATAAAAATCCACACAGGACATACAGTTCCAACATGCTCATCTTTATGGCTTCTCAGGACAAGCCCATATCGTTACATAACACCTAAGGTGACAACTCATTAAAATTTACAAACAATCAAATCACATTAGATAACATACAGGAACTTATAATAGCATACTGCAATATTTATAAAGGGGTGGGGAAGACAATAATTAACACAAAATCTATCTATCTCTGCCTGCAGAATAAGCAATATGCAATAGACATGTGCAAGTAGTTGGGGTAGGGGTAGGGTTGGGGTTGGGGCTATGGGTAGGGTTAAGGTTGTGGGTAGGGTTATGGTCAGTGGTAGGGGTAAAACTAGGGTTAGGGAATTGCCGAAGTCCCGAATTTCGGAAGTTCCAAATTGCTGAAGTCCCGAATTTTGAAAGTGCCAAACCGAACCAAAGTGCCAAATTGCCAAAGTCCCAAATTGCCGAAATCCCAAATTTCAGAAGTGCTGAACCAAACCAATTTTGTTTGCCCATGCACATCTCTAATATGCAAAACTACCTGAATATGTGAATTAGCAGGCCTTGTTATTCAGGAAGTGTATATAGCTGTTGCAACCAACTGTGTAAAGACTCCACAGTCAAATCCACCTTGTTGGTATCAAGCATCTGCAGGACAGGAGAGCACATGAAACATTTAACCACAACCAATTATATTATACACACCTTGCACATATAATGGGCACAGGGTGACTAAAACATAAGAACAATTTAGGAAACTTTGTAAAGTGTCCTTCTGTTCCCAGTGATGATTGTGACTACCATCACAAAGACCTTCTGCAATATCACTAATAAAAATGACTCATAAACAGTTTCCAAGGGGGAGTGGGTTAGGCTGTAATAGAATGTGGGGGAAAATGGAAAGAGTAAAAAAATCTTATGTAGGATACAACCCAAAGAATTTTAAAAAGAATCTAAAATATAATCTTTATTATATCCAACTAGAAAGGCTCTGCAAAGCTTTTAAGTAATAAACAATATATAAAACTATATATTTATATCCAATAAAAAGGATCAATTGATCTGCACAACTTTTGGATAATAGAATATATATACCGTATATACTTGAGTATAAGCCGAGTTTTTCAGCACATCTTTTGTGCTGAAAAAGTCCCCCTCGGCTTATACTCGAGTCACTGTCTGTATTATGGCAGCTTACATTGCCATAATACAGACCATGACCGCCGGGATTGTAATGAGCCTGGCGGTCCTGTGGGGACTGGGAGCAAGCTGTTACATACCTTTGCAGCAGCTCCGTTCAGCTCTCCCAGTCTAAATCTCGCTAGACCCGCGGCCGTGAGAGCGTTGCCACTGGTTACCGTGGTAACGCTCTGCGTGGCACACAGACCGCAAAGTTGAACGGAGCTGCTGCAAAGGTATGTAACAGCTTGCTCCTGGTCCCCCCCCCTACTGACCAGGACTGCCGGGCTCATTACAATC